CTCTCTCTCTCTCTCTCTCTCTCTCCACGCTTTTTTCTTCACTAGCGAACACTATGGTGCATCTTATTAAATTTGTAAATGTAAACTTGGTTTGCTCTAAGAAATACGTGATTTGATCAGCCTGATGGTTCATCAGGCAAACATTTCTTTAATTATTTAAATAAAAAGATTTTAGGAATAGTCATTTATAAAAATGTGTAATTTTAAGAGAATAAAAGATTTGGTGTTTTCAACGCAACCTACAAAAAAGAAAAGTTTCTATTGTACGCCGTTTCTTACAGTAGTATCATATGTATATAGGTCATTGTCATAACTGCATTAATTTTGATGAGCCATTAGGGTTTATTTCGCAGCCTTCGTCTTGCCAAGGGGTCGATGAATATTTAAATTTTGCGTTTCAAGAGCGTTTGAACACGAAAATCGAATGGTAAAAACTGCATGAAAAAGGCTGGGAGGAAATTTATATCTTGCGATGAATCCCATGGGCTCGAAGCTTTTTTTCTCACCCTATCCTTCGTTTTTCTTTTTAAACGATGTAAATGCGAGTTTCCACACGGAATCCGAAAGAGCAAAACCTTGGCCTAGCTCGCATGCCTTCTTAGCGATAAAGCCTACACGACCCTTTTCCCCTTCACCTGTACATTTTTGGATAATTTTACCGCCGTAATACGAGTCAAATTAAACAATACATAATCCAAGCTTACAAGCATCTGACTTTTTTTAAAATTTTAATTTTGGCAAATAAGCTGACAGTTCATCAATTTTTTCACTACAGTATTTAAATTCTTTAAACTGCTAGAATTTTAATTTATTCATCCTCGACGAACATACAGTATTAGTTTCCACTCCCTAACGCGATATTAAAATTTGTTAATTTTATTGATTACCTATATATATTACAATTGTTTATAAAATTCCGTTTGTTATTTTGTTCAACCTTTTTTATTACATATGAATGCATTATATATAAGATATGAATATCTAATCTATTATTTTATCTTTTATACGATATTCGGAATAACATTAAAAATGTTGGTGAACTGTTGAAGATGATAGATAATTCAAATGTTTCATTAAAATTTATTTAATACTCCAATTGTAGAGAGTAGTGCACTCAGATTTGAATTTTTATATTATCGGTTTAGAAGTTCTACATTTTTATGATTAACGAAAAGGGATTTTTTACATATAAAGCAACCCGAATTGTATTTATTCCCACGACAGTTTGATTAGCCTAAATAAATAATAGAGAATCATCATTATTTGCATTAAACAGCGGAACATAAAGTGCCAATGGTTGAGGAGTTTTCATTTTCAATAGTTTTAATATTTCTAAAAGGATAAACTGTTAAAACAACAATAGGGAAAAGGTTTGTTAATTTTTAAATAATAAACCAAAATGAAAACTTCTATCCAAGTTACGGACACTTAATTTTAGAGCAAGCCCCAGGTGTATGCAAGTTTGGCAAGTAGAGAAAGGTTGTTCGATGTTTCCCATCTAGTTGATTAGTGCAATTCATTGGTTCCATATAGAGATCGTGTAGGAATGCCACCCGATATGAGAATCGTTTTTGAGCAAGGCAGCAAGTATCTGGATCTCCTGTTCCAATATTTGGAGTAAACAGGGTTGTTATATTGTATAGATTACTGATAGTTTTGTGTCTCTGAGTGAATGTATTTATTGGCGTGAATGTATATTGTATATAAATATTCGGAGATCGTGAGATGCGGTCTGGTGAGACGTAGGTTTTAGAAAAACATTTTCTTTACCGTGCCAACGTTTCGATCTTTATTGAGATCATCTTCAGAGCTCAAAGTGTTTGTTTTCTGCGTAATTGTGCCATTCTTGTGTGTAGTGTTGAGAGTGCCCCTATATATCATATTTTTTAAGGATACAATACATCCTACATATACAATCAGAATAAGTAGATTTATTCTTTTTTAATAATATTCATTGTTAATTATTTTGTGAGATTTCTGATGTGGTCTGTTCTGTAATAAACCTTTAATTTGGTCGTTACAGATCACTTTGATCTGCCTATCATCGCCGAGTAAATCAAACGTGTTTCGGTATTTCGCCATATTCAGTTTACCTGAACGTCCACTAGTAACGACCAAATATGGTCCATCAGACAACACCCTCACAATCTGTGTTGTCCTAGTTTTTATTGGTCAAATTTTATAACTGATTTTTTGGCTTACAGATACTATTATTATTTATACAATGTTTTGACAAATTTATGTCGGTTTATTGGAAAAGATCGCTCTTTGTAAGTAAAACCATCTTTTCTAATAAGTGAATCGACATACTCACCCTACCTCCATCATTTCTATTAATTTATGTCGGTGCCATGCTGTTTTTATTGTCTGATGAAAAAAATTATTATTATTGTTTTACCTTTTATTTTTATTTATACATCTAGTTTAACTAAACTATTCACCAAGCATTTGATAATGTGAAATGTATTCAACAGTTTTTTCTTTCTTTTTGTTTGTCAAAGAAGACAAACAAAAAAGAATTTTTAACTAAAGTAAACAAAAGCGAAAGGATTATATATAAAATAACTGAAGAAAGCTCCACATCACTAGCTTATTTTTATATTGCATGTGGATATATTAATATTTTGTACCGATATAGCATTTTTGCATAAATATATTTCTTTTCATCAATGGACATAATTTGAAGATTTTTAATTAAAATTTGACGGAATCTTGGCTTGTTTTGTAACTGATTACATTTAAATGTGACAACACAGTGGTCCTGACCCTTTCAAAAAGTTTTTCATAAAATTCAAATTTCAATTTTATTTAAAAATAATTTATTCCTCAAAGAAACCGCTGTTTTGACATCAATGAAAGTAGTCTTAACTTTTTCTTCCGACAATTTCATTTAATAATAATGTCTTTATTAATATAAAATTAGAATTTATGTAAATAAACATTGTTAAAGACAAACATGGTTACAAAAGTGTCCGATGGAAAAAACATCAGTTATTTTCTATAATAATCAATAATTAAATGTTAATTTCTAAATTTGGCGCCTTTTGAAAAACAATAAATTAACTTGGCCTAATTTTCGTACTTGGTTAAACTGAGTTAACAAATAAGTTGTGTCAAGTCGCCTGCTTCGAACGTTAATGGAAATTGTTGAACTACGGCTTGTTGAGCTAATCTAGAAGAATATATCTCGCTTCCTTTAATCAAGATTCTAATAAAAATATCTATAACGTACATAAACATATTTCAGCTTGCGTTTGATATAAAAGTTTCACAAGTAATTACTTTTTTATAAAGAATTACTACTGGAATAATTACTTTTATAAAAAATTCATTTTTTCTGGTATAAGTGTCAATTCTTATAAAGCAATTTAATCTGAAAAGGTTGACAAAAAGACTGGGTCCGTTTATTATCGCTGGTTTGAATAGACGGACCCAGTCCCAGTTAAGTGATGAATGTCGGTTCAATATGAAAAAGTACAGAAATGGAAATGAAAAATCTCCTGTTCCGTTGTGATCTTTACACCACTGGATTTTTTACTTTTGATTATTAACTAATTTTTTACTTAATTACTTTTTACTTGTGAATATTAACTAAATCCAGCACGAGGATTTAGAAGTGTTGGATTTGAAATTTCAAACATCGCTTTTGTCTGCGTTGGAAGATTCATCGCGTATTTCCTCCTGTTGCCTTAATTACGTCTCTAAGACGTCTCGGCGTATTTTCTACTAGTTTGGAAATGTCTCTTTCCTGGAGGATAGCCCATTCTTCACGAATAGTCCTTTCAAGGTCGTGGAGTATATCAGGAAGTGATGGACGTGCTCTTATTCGTCTTTTGAGGTTATCCCATAAATGTTTGATGGAGTTCAAGTCTGGAGAACGGGCTGGCCAGGCTAATGCTGTTGAAGGTAGGTTTGTATTATGCGAACGACATGTGGACGGGCATTATCGTTCATTAGAATAGGATTGTCGCTGATTTCGAGGGTAGGCCACGCATGATGTTCCAAACTTTCATCCACTTAGCGAGTAGCCGTCAAAGGCCCTCCACGAACGACAACCAACTCTGTGCTACTCTCCATTGAAATTCCCGACCACACCATCACTGAGCTACATTATAAAGGTTGGCTCTGGGAAAAATTGTAGGCTTCGTACCTTTCATTTTGCCTTCTCTACACTCTTTCACGCCCATCTGGAGATCGTAGAGCAAATCTACACTCATCTGTAAAATGTACAACAGGCCAATCGTCCAAAGACCAATGGCTGTTCTCGAGCAAATGCGAGCCGTGCAACTATGTGTGTTCTGGTCAATTCTGGTCCTCTTACGAAGAGGGGGGGGCGAAAAGTCATCAATCCATACTGTTTTAATTTTCTTCGAGCAGTGCGTTCAGAAATTTGGACACCTCGAACTTCCCGGAGCTGATGAATTGCTTGAACAAGAGTAAGGTGCCGGTTTCACAAAATTCTCAAAGTCAAAAAACGTCTTCCTGTTGTTCTGTTACCCTAGGACGGCCTGAACCTTCTTTGGTAGACCCAGTTATTCGAAAACTTCTAACGGCGTTTCGGAGTTTCGTAGGGAAACAGTTTATTGCTTCAGAATTCAAATGAGAGTGAACAAACATTTTAAATTCCGCAAAAAATTAAACATTGAAAAATCCTTTATCCTTGTTTTGGTTTAAAGATTAAGTGTGCTTAATTGATATGCCAAATTTAAAACATAGATAAACAAATATTTATTGGTAAAAACTGTGGGGAAAATTAAGGGCAGAATTTCTTTTATCGAGAAAATAAATAAAAATTTATTGGGTGGAAATTTTTGCCTGTCAGTGTATTTAAATTATTCTGTATTAAGATTGACTTAAGACGTTAGCTGACTTTGTTGATTTAATTTTTTTCTATATAATGTATACCTTTTATCACGGCACATACAATAATTTTATGAGCTGTTGAATATAATCTAAATTTGTTAGAAATTCGAAGCCAAAATTGTGTTCTTTTGTTTCAGAATGCCAGTTACGGCGGCAAAAAGAACGGAATATGGTATGGCCCGCCGCCCCCGAACTCCGGCTGGAGCAAACCGCCGATGAGCAGAAAGCAGTCGCTGGTCGACGGAGATCTGCCGCCTCCTGGGGGCGGCGGTGGAAACAAACCGAATTCCGGTAGGGTCATCAGAATCATCAACAACCTCGACCACACTGTCCAAGTAGGAAAATCATCGTCGCTGTTTTATACATTTCCTTCGTTTAAAACAACCCCGTTTTCAGTGTCGAGTGCTGCTGAACCTCAGGACGACCCAGCCTTTCGAAGAGGTCGTCGAAGATTTGGGACAAGTTTTGAAAATGAACGGAGCTAGGAGAATGTTCACCGTCTCTGGGCAAGAGGTGAAGCAGATAAGCCGATTGTAGATTCGCACCCCTTTATTTATATAACTGCTGCATGCTATATAATTAATAATTAGTATCGGCGGGTTACCCTTATTCGGCATTCATGAAATTCAGATGTTACGTGGCCACGACTCGACTGAAGGTCACGGGCTGAGCAAGAATCACCCTATACTTCAACTTTATCGTTCAATACATTTTAGACTCTTTATTCAATTTTCAATGCGTTCTTTGCTACAAAATAAATAAACTACAATATAAACCCTAATTGACTCCGGAAGATGAATAACTTTGGATCAAAATTCAAGTTTGTAATGTTTAGAATAGTTTAATCAATTTGTTACCATGTTTACCAGGATTTTCAGCTTATGCTATAGCCTTTCCTTGTTTAATAAATTAAAATAAAGGGAAAACTTTACAAACCTTAATTCAGAGGAGTCTGGCTTAGTGACTTAAAATATGCCCAATCTTTCTTTGCCTATAATAACTATGTACGTCCCATGTGACACTCCAGAGCACATCATCTCTAAGTTCGATTATCAAAAAACCTCTCGCTTGTCTTCAATATCCGATCCTTTGCATACTTCGTATTGGTTGATATGGGAAGATCAGATAGACCAGTATAGCGGGGGAGTCTGTCGAAAAGCAAAATAATTTTTTCGGCATAATCTGCAGCAAGAGGCAGATACGCAGAAGGTCAAGCGTGTAATGTGCAGTTATTAAATATTAGGAATTTTTTACATTTTCGTTTACGAAAGTAATCAGAAACTTTGATAATCATCTGTTAGGAAAGGAATTAAAACACAACAATTCAGTCAATACGTATTTACACAGTGATTTATCAATTTATAGTATTAGATTAATAGTTTAAATTGACAACCAAGGCATCTTTTTTTTGGTTAGGATCTTGGGGTAGTCAAATAAAGATTCGAACCTTTTCTCCACTGCGATCTATACAAGTCACAGGTGGAACTCCAATGATAAATACCATACCGTGGATTTTCCTTCAAGACTAAGCATTTTCATCGGTTCCTCCTCTCTTGATGTGACAATTGCCTTGCTGATATACTTTATCCTATGCTTCAAATTCACGATGGATATGTGCCACCGTCTCTGGTTTCTCCAGACCGTGTCGAAAGTTGCTTTGCTCGCCCATCTTATTTAGGTGTCTTTTTTAGTTAAGAGGCTTGTTGCCGGAAAAGAGGTCTATAATTTTCCTCACATCTTGCTGCTAAGAGAGACGAGTTCCTAGTTGAGAAATTAATAACTCTTTGTGCTGTTCTCATACCTTAAAACTTTAGTGTAGTGCTTGAGTATTTTATTTCTCAAGCCATTTTTCCAGCTCTAACATTAACGCGCTTTCCCGTGCGTCTATTTTAGGTTCCGGTCCCTTTACCCTTCTCTGGCTAGTTGGTCAGCCTGCTCTTTTTCTTTTATACTTTCAAGCCCCGGAACCCATCTCTAAATAACGTTGTTGTGTTTTCCTAGAGCCGTTAGGCAATTTAGGCATTTTCATATTAGTTTCGAGCTAAAAAAACATACGCATTTAGTGACTTTATAGCTTCCTACTACCCGAAAGGATGTAAATCCACCTTGGAAGATGTTTAGGACCAGTTCAAGGGGTTTTGCTTGGGGTATTCGGCCCCTTTACCCCTACACTTATTCTATGTTCTTTGATCCATCAGTGTATAAAAGCTTGCAGGTGTCATGAATTGAAAAAATTTATTGAAATAAAGAAAATGTCATACCCCATTCATGGTGTTAACCTGAACTTGTCCGAGGGCATTTTCACGGTAACCTGTGATTTTAATGAGAAGATTATAATTTACATAAATTAATATGAATTGTTATTCACTAGTTTATAGCGATTCGTCAGAATCAGGTGTCGCATGGCCATATCTTAAGCCATGGGCAGAATTTACTGTGGAACTTGGTAATTTTTTTATTAAGTAATTTTTAAATAAATGGGATTTTAAGGTAGTTTTAAAGGGTGGAAATATAATACGGAGCTTTTACAATTGATCAAAGGACTTTAGATGAAAGGATTTTGAGATATTGGATATTGGAAAGTTTAGTGGTTCCACACAGTTCTATACCGTACATCTAAATAGCTTGTACTATCGTTTTGTAGATTGTAAATGTGTTTTTCGTCGATAGCTTGGACTCGTCCCATAAATTGGAAAAATCTTAGTGGACAAAAAATCGGTAAATTTAAATTCAAACAAAAATGTATATTTAGGGGTTTCCAGAGGTGCTAAAACGAAATTTCATATTAGTTTCACGAAAAATTAATTTTATGACCTCGTTTACTTAAAAAATATTTGGTTTTTAAAATTTTTTTGATTATTGATAAATTTTTATAGCTTTTAATATCTTTTTATTGCAATCTACATATATTGGGTTGTCCGGAAAATAATGCAGGATTTTAAGTTTTCATTAAAAAAAATCTATATAAAATATTCTGTTTACGTTTACAGGATTACTCATNTGGGAAATTATTTTGATTAAAGAACATTGCTTTAAAGTAACTAGTTTCTTTTTTTTTGTTTAATACCAAAATCCTGCATTATTTTCCGGACAACCCAATAAAATGCGAAACCAGGGCTTATTCACAAGAAGTGGCGGTGGTCCGATGTTTTGGAATGTAGTATCACAAAAAAATGTTTGGACCAGCCTGGTCGACCCCTTTGTTAGTCCAATCATAACTTTAATTTTACTTAAAAAACATAAATTAGAGTGATGATATAAAAGTTCAGTCATACTTATTAGTTATTATTAATTAAGAATACAGAATTGTTAGCCCATTGGACGTCCTTTTATAGCTTAATATAATCGTCACCAATTGCTCAATATGATGTACTATGTTAAATCTAATCGTGATTTAAATCCAGGTGAGGAGTTTTTCTCAACTGAGAAACGAGTTCGCTGACGTTGACACCTTTTACCTCGGTTCTGGAGCTCTCATGTCCCCGGTGCGAAGGAGCAGGTCTCGAGGGGCTATCGCATCCGGTCCGGTCGTCGTTGAACCCGTCGCGATCAACGGCCCTGTCAGGAGGCGGGCCAGGAGCAAATCTAGGCCGAGGAACCTCTACATGGAGCAGGAAGTCATCAGGGGCAACTCAGGTATCAATCCATATAAATGATACTGAGCGGGCGGGCCAGCCGAAATCCACTTTTTATAACTAATTTATATTTTGTATTTATTGATTATGATGAAGATTACACGCTCTTGGAAGTGCTGAAGGAAGAGCCTGTCCGGCTGACCATCAAAGGAATGAGGAGAACTTTCTACCCTCCTCTTCACCATGCTCCTCAGGATAATTCACCACCTGAAAAACGTCTGGTGCTCGATTGGGTGTATCCTTTTAACTGATTAATGCGTTCATCAATCAATAATCTGGACCTAAACTCCTCCTGTAAGATTCCTGCTTTGAGAGATTCTGATGAAGGTTTGCAAGAGGATGTTTGGTTCTTTCTAATCATCTAGGTCCGCCTATTCACGCTGGTTTGCCTGCACCCAACACTGAAGATGGCAAAATGCCGAAACGTTTTTAATAGACCAAAACAGCAATGAAAAACGAACAGAGTATGATCGGAAACGAACCCTCATAAGAGTTCTCAGAATATTTGTAAATTAATACATAATTAAATTAAATATACCAGAAATACGTTAATAAAAAATATGTCATGTAATTATTAATCTTTACCAAAAGGTAAATAATTAATATTTATAGTTGTTCAAGGAGTGACCATTTAAATATTAAAACTATAGTTTTGATAAGGGAGAAACAGTTTAACTGCTCCTTGACTTTATGCTTAGATATGGGTACAGAGGTACCGATTCGAGAAGGAACCTTTGGGTCCTGCCAACTGGAGAGCTTCTGTATTTCGTTGCCGCGGTTGCTGTCCTTTTTGACAGGGACGAAGAAGCCCAGAGGCACTACACGGGCCATACGGAAGACATACAATGGTAAAAAATCTTTCAGTGTTCCTGCTCGAATAAGAGCCTGGGAAAATTTAGTGACTATTGCACATTGTGGAACTCGAAGGTCATGAAAAACCAAAAGATGAAAATTAAGTGTTCTTGCATTGATCAATGGAACCCCTACTCTAAAACTACTGTTTGTTGATATGTGTCTGTTTTGCAGCATGGACCTCCACCCGAGCAGAGAGTTAGTCGCCTCGGGTCAACGTGCTGGCAGGAACCGTAAGACTCAGGCCCACATCAGGATCTGGAGCACGGAGACACTCCTGACACTCTATGTATTTGGAATGGGAGAGTTTGAAATAGGCGTATCAGCTGTGGCGTTCTCTCAATTGGTACTTTACTCTCATTTAAAACTTGCTGATACTTTTAAAGTTTAGAACACAAACATTATAGATTGATTTTTTTTTAATCTTCTACAAACCATTAATCATGCTGATATCAATGTAACAGTTAAATCCATGCAATATAAGGTATAATAATAATGTGGGAAGTTGAAAGACCGACAAACAACTGGGTTTTTGGTTGGCCAACTCATTGATGGCCCTTTGCCATTTGTTTTTACATCTCTTTCTGTCGTTCGCATGTATTTTTCCTACAGTCGTTTGAGTGTCTCGATCTATAACTGACTCTGCTTCTATATGAAAACTAAGTTGATTCTAGCCTCTCATTTATACCTCAGGTTGTCAACTAAAGAATAAAACATACATATATATACAACATTACAAAAGACGTCAGGTCATATTCACTCCTCCAGAATACTCTATATTCCTCGAGGTGGGGTTGAACCCACTCCATTCTCACTAATAACTTTCTTTTATTCTCCACTATCACAATCACATAGTACTCAATATTCCTCGAGGTGGGAATATGAAAAACTTAATTAAATTTTTTTTGCCCCTTTCAAAGTTCAAACAGGAAAAACAAAAAAAAACAAATGGCTACATGGCCCCTAAACATCCGAGAAAGAAAATAAATTCAGTCAGTTTTTATGAACAAACTATTACTCATTTACATATTTTGTTTTATGTGATAATAGTTTTGTTACAATTGTTTTTCTCAAAAATAAAAGCGTGGATGATTTAAATATCATTTTATCTTATTTTATCTGGTTCAAATATTCATATTTTAATTGTAAAATTTGTTCTGATCCCTCGATCAAGTAAATATCTGCACCATTAAAAGTACAAGTCGCAATTATTCAACATATAATTTATTTAATCAATGAGTAAATGAGCTTGCTTCTAGTTCTTACATCACAATATTTTAGTTGTTTCAGTAGTAACGATTTGTTTTAACTTTTTTGGTGCAATAATCCAATTTAATTTAGTCAAACTATGTTGTTCAAATTTCACCTTTTATTGTAGTGATTGTTTTTAACACTTTATTGGTTAATTGTTTACAGAACGGAGGCAGTTATGTGCTTGCAGTTGATGGCGGAAGGGAAAGTATACTGTCTGTCTGGCAATGGCAGTGGGGCCATTTGCTGGGAAAAGTTGCAGTGAGTCATATCACCAATTAATCTTTACTTATGTTAATGATCGGCCGTATCATGGCATTTTACATGACCAATGATAATTGCCTAATTTCCATTATTCATTTTCATTTCTTGTTTCTCTTATTCTCCCCCGAAATCAATAAATTTACATATTTGAACATGCAAAACTATTGTTTCTCTCTTGTATATAATTTATATATCTATTTTGTTTGTTTATAATTGAAAAATGGCAAAAAGTAGGGAAAATTCAAAAAGTATGGTTGAGATGGGGGTTGGTGTCCGAGTGGATCGAGGTCACGATAGCTCAAGTGGTAGAGCAGCGACATATCAAGCCGAAGATCGTGGGTCGAATCCCACTCGTGCCATTGACTTTTTATCTCAACTAAAAACCTTAATTAATTGTAAGATATTAATTGGTCAAGCGGACCACGAAACTAGTGAATTTGTTTATAATGTATGAAATGTAAACTACAAAGTTTTATTTTTGCTACGTAACACAGTTTATACTGACTATTATTAACTTTTTTTATTCTAATGTACTTTTGATGCAGACTCTGCAAGAAGAATTGACAGGTGCAGCATTCCATCCATTGGATGATAATTTGTTGATAACGCATGGCAAAGGCCATTTAACATTTTGGACAAGAAGAAAAGATGGATATTTTGAAAAGACGGACATTATAAAACCTGTAATTTTCAATTTTAAATATTAATTTTTTATCAAATTTGTATTTAATAAAATTAATAGATTGTATTATTATCAGCCTTCAAGAACACATATAACATGCCTTCAGTTTGAACAAGACGGCGATGTTGTGACTGCCGACGGTGATGGTTTTGTCACAATATATTCTGTTGATAGCGAAGGAGCTTATTTCGTTAGAATGGAATTCGAAGTAAATATTACGCATGAAAAATAATTTCCATTGCTATATTATTTTATGTTTACAGGCTCACAACAAAGGAATAAGTTCACTCATGATGCTGTCAGAAGGTACTTTGTTATCTGGCGGTGAAAAAGACAGAAAAATTGTAGCATGGGATTCCTTGCAAAACTACAAGAAAATAACAGAAACTAAAGTAGGTTTTTAATATTAAAAAAATTGTAAATTTGATAATAACAAACAAATTTCAGTTACCTGAAGTGGCAGGAGGTATTAGAAGCATATACCCCCAAAGGCCAGGCAGAAATGATGGAAATATTTACGTTGGCACAACTAAAAATAATATAATGGAAGGATCATTACAAAGAAGATTTAACCAGGTAAACTAAAGCGTTTGAATTTTATTGACAAATTCAATAATAAATTTTTTACAATTATTTTACAGATTGTTTTTGGACATGGAAGACAGTTATGGGGTCTTGCAGTACACCCCGATGATGAGATGTTTGCCACTGCAGGACATGATAAGAACATTGCACTTTGGAAGAAACATAAACTAGTCTGGACAACAACTGTAATATCATATTAAGTTTATTTCATTCTTCTTGTGCCTAATAAATTGTTTATTTCAGGTCGCGCATGAATGTATTTCAATAAGCTTTCATCCATTTGGTGTTGCCCTTGCTGCAGGCTCGACGGATGGGCACCTGGTAGTTTTGAACGCTGAAGCTGGAAATATTGTTGCAACAGTAAGAGTATGCGGCTCCCCACTCAATTGCCTTGGCTATAACCCAGGTAAAAACGTAGGCATTAATAAATAGGAAATAAATTGTAACTTTTACTAAAATTATCAGCTGGTGATATGGTGGCGATTGGTTCCCAAAATGGCAGCATTTACCTGTTCAGAGTAAGCCGTGATGGATATTCTTATAAAAAAATTAACAAAATAAGAGGGTCCCAGCCTCTTATGCAGATGGATTGGAGCACAGACAGCAACTTCATTCAGACTGTCACTGCCGATTATGACTTGACTTTCTGTAAGTTTGACAACAAACAGCTTTTTTATTTAAGTTACAATTTAATGTGATTTTTAGGGGATGTGAAGACACTTACTTCAGAAAAGAGTCCAATCACTATGAAAGATGTTAAATGGTATACGCATAATTCAACAGTCGGTTTCTTGGTTTCTGGTAATAATATCTTTATCACAATGTAATAAATGTCATGCTAATAAAAAATCTCCATCAGGAATTTGGAACAACAGATACTATCCAATGACATCTATAATCTCAACTGTAAACCGCTCAGCTGCTCATGACCTCCTCGTAGCAGGAGATACAGAGGGATATTTGAGATTATTCAGGTATTTTATTAGTTTTTAAACAGTGTGTATTTCATGTTTTACCAGGACTAAAACGTTTGATCCGAACCAAAAGCATATTCCACACCATAAAGCTAAAAAAACAAGCAAAACTATCACCAAATCCATAATAAAAATTAGGCCCTGATTAAAAATGTAACATATGACTTTTAATTTGGAAGTTTTCAAAATTTAAGAAAGATGGACAAAGTGATTATTTTATTATGGTTGTTTATTTCAAAATAAATTAATGGTATGTGTCACCAGTGCAATTCCTGAAAAGTTATAAAAATTAATTGAACAAAAATTAGGCTTAAAAATAATTTTTAACTTTTTTATTTTTCATTTTTCTTAAACTATTTATAGAAACATGTATGTATTATGTTTTAATAATTATGAAAGTGATATTCCAGAATTCCAGAATGTAAAGGCTCAAAAAAAAGCATTGAAATTTAAAAATTAATTTCATTAAAACTTGTGAATTGTCAAATCTTTAAGAAATGATGCCCAAATTAGAACATTAAAAGGCAGTTTTGCCTTTAATAAAAAGACAACTTATTAACTTCAAAAATATTTTTTTAGGTATCCATGCATCAGCACGAAAGCAGAGTATAACGAAGAGAAAGTGTACAGTTTGGCCATCGCCACTGCTCGGTTTCTTTTCAACGATAGGAACGTCGCTACGGTCGGTGGTACAGACGCCTCTCTGATGCTCTGGGAAGTAATAGACGAATGAGTGAAGCTCATGTGGAGTGTCGAGATTTATCCTGAAAGCCCTTGAGCTCGAAGAAAATGTGAATTTACTCCAATCTCAAGAGCTAGCCATTAATTCCAATTTAACTGCCATTTTGACTATCATAACCAATTTTCTATTCTTAAAAAAAAATATAGATCACTCATCACTAGGATAGAAAAATGACTGTCCTAGTCATTATAACTAGATACAAATATTAATTATAAAACCTGTATAGCTAATATTTAATAAATGAGCTTTTTATTTACAAACAATGAGTCATAGATTCACTTTGTAAATCAAATATATTTTTATCACTTTATAATAATCAATATATATATATTATTTTTTTAAAAAGAGGCCATTGCTTTGTTGTTTAAAAAATGTTGTCCATTTTTCTAAGTTATTAGTCGCTTTAGAATAACTGTTATGACAAATCCTTATAAATATGTATATATACCATAGATACATTTTTCAATGTTTAGTCTTAGAAATTGGACTTCTCATTAATATTTTTTTTTAAATGCACCTAATAAAAAAATATACCAGGGTACAAACAATTGTAAAAAAAAGAATTGGTTATGGATTTAAATGAAATTATTAAAGGGAGCAATATAACAAAATGTTAGTGGATAATGACTTAAATTTATTCCATTTTGCTTACCCGACACTTAACATGATTTTAATATCTTGTGACAACCAAACCTCATTATTTATTCTAAATTTTATTTCTTGAAATGTATGTGCTCAATATTTAAATATAAACACCACTGCAAATAAAGCAAGCAATTACTAAAAAAATAACACTTGTAATGTCTTTTATGTATTTTCACTTTTAATTTAATTTCAGGATTATGATGTTTAATTTAGAAATCAAAAACATCATTATAATTCTCCGTGCCATTCTAAAATTGGATGAATTGGATGAAAATATTTTGTTTTATTTTATTTTAAACGTCAACTTCTAATGGAATGTAGATACTTGCATTAAAAAAAAAGAAAAAATATATATTAAACATATACTTTTACAACTTATATGATAAAGCATTCAAATTTGTTCTAAAATAGATTATATTTATGTTTAGTATCATAAGTTCCATAAGAAATCAATGATGTTCTATATTTACCTCTTGGAGAAAAGCTTCAACCAGATTTTTAAAAAATACATGCTGTCGTCTTTACAATAACCGTAAGTATGGAAAATATGGAAATAGAACTAACTTATGATTATTATATTGAAAGGATTTTGACAAATCTGAACATAGCCACGCTAAGATGTGTCAATTAAGAATGCATCATCACCAAAATTAGTTGCATTTAAAAAAGGAGTAAAACTGAATGTTTTGGAAAAATTTAGACAGCCTATTGAGTGTGAGTTCCTTACAATGTAAAATCAAAATAGCAATACGTATAAGAATTTGAAGAAAAAAATCTATTTACAAGAGTTATGATGATGTAGGATATTTTTTTCAAACACTTGTTAAAAATATGAAAAACAAAGAAATTAAAATGTATCATATTAAAAAAATATGTTCAAACTGTCCATTTGCTTTTAAATTTGAAAAACATTTAATAACGGTAGTGTTCTGGTTTGAAGGGTCCTGTTTTGCAAAGGCCCATGTATTTGGCTTGTTGATCAGTGAGGACGGTCAGATTGGCTCCAAAAGTGCCTAAATGGAGATTGGCGACAAGTTCATCGATTTTTTTAGGCAGGACATAAACTTCTGCATGGTATTTGTTGGCCGGTTGCTTGAAAAGTTCTATGATGGCTAATGCCTGTGTCGTGGATGTTATGGATGCCATGAAAGAAGGTATTCCTGCGCAAGACATATTGACCATTCTTCCTTCTGCCAAGAGTACAATTCTTTTGCCATTGGGCCAAATGATGTTGTCGACTTTGGAACGGACTTTTTCCCATATGAGTTCAGGGGTTTGAAGATCGGCTACATCAATTTCAATGTCTGAATGCCCCATGTTGCAGACGATGCAGCCGTTTTTCATTTTCTCCATGTGCTCCCTTGTCACGACATGTTTGTTTCCAGTTGCTGTAATAACTATATCAACATCTCTTACAACTTCATTTAACTTTACAACTCTGAAGCCGTCCATGCAAGCTTGAAGTGCACAAATGGGGTCAATTTCTGTGATATATATGATACAACCCATTCCTTTCAAAGCTTGGCAACAGCCTTTTCCAACTTCTCCATAACCACACACGACAACTTGTTTTCCACCAAACATTAAGTCTGTACAGCGTTTGAGACAATCTAACATCGTTTCCCTGCAGTTATAAAGTGTGTCAAATTTGTTTTTTGGCACGGAATCGCTTAAATTAATCGCTGGTGCAAACAGTTCACCTCTTTCGGAGAGATTGAACAACCGATGGACTCCTGTGGCCATTTCTTCGACAATGCCTCTGAGGGATTTGAATAAATCAGGAAACTTCTTGTAAACCCTGTGAGTGGCATCACCCCCATTGTCCAATATTAGATTGGGTTGCCAGCCAGGAGCACTGATACACTGATCGATACACCACCAATAATCATCCACGGTTTCACTTCTCCATGCGAATACTGGTACATTTGCCTCTGCCAAAGCAGCAGCGATGTCGTTTTGGGTAGAGTTGACATTACAGGCACACCACCTTACCTCAGCACCTAGGTACACCAAAGTTTCGATCAACACAGCAGTCTGACAGTTAATATGAGTGCAGCCGATAATCTTAGCTCCAATCAGAGGCCTATCTGAAATCCTGTTTCGCAAAGCTATGATTCCTGGAAGCTCCTGTTCTGTAAGTTCAATTTCTCTTCGCCCGAAAGAATGCGCTTTAATGTTCCTTATGCGAAAATCCGAGAAACCTTTTGAGGTGTGTTGAACATGCTGTCTAGGGCTGACCTCGTCTTCATCTGAACTGCTGCTTGATGTCACCGAAGAAGACATTGAGGAACCAGAAACCGAGTGTTGTTGCTCTGAACTCCTTGTGTTAGTCTTGACCAAAGGTTGTCTTACTTTTGTCAACTTTTGTGGGCTATGTACAGGAAGAGCCGCTGCGACTCGAGCCTTATCTGCTGCAGCGCTTACACCTGCAGGGGAAGTTTTTCTACTAAAATACATCATATCCTTAGCAATTAACAGAAAATTCAAAACACTGACACTATAGAAAAACAATAAACACAATTTTAATTGATTGTTATACCCAAACCATAACACTCCTTTATATTTATTGTATGTAATTTTTAGCAGATATACCTAAATTAATACTAATATTATACTTTTTTTACACATGACTAAACATATGTTGAAAATATTCTGGTTCCACAATGGCAAGGCAAGTAAAAACAAGAAAAACAAAGGCCCTATTCCATTTTTATTGTAGATTAAAATGTGTGCAAAATAATTTCTGTACACACTAAACTACAAATAATTTTGCTCCCATTTTTCTGCACACATTTTTATCACATAAAATATACAGAATAAAATATTAGATGGCTTAAAGATGAATTACATTTTCTATAACATCATTACTGTATAACCATGAAAAAGGGTGGTACATCGATCAAAATATTGTCATACATGTATAAACATTTCAAAAATTAATTCTATCTTACTGACCACTGCTTAAATCCACATTATCCATTAGGAGGTAATAAAAGTTCATGAAATTTATGATCAAAGTTGTAAGTTTTATCAACAGCTGAATAATTTTATTGGAGTGTATTGTTTAGAAAAAAATTGTTTAAAAATGCTTGGAGGTGTCCTGCACGATATGCCAATTTACAGATTTAAAAAAAAATTAAAAGAAAAAGAATAACCATTTTTAGTGCTTTAAAAGTGTTTTATTGTAAAGAACAAACATTATGAACAAATATATATATTTTTAATTACAAATCTTAACAACTATAGTTAATGAATAAATTGTAAAATTTAATGCAGACCTATAAATTTTAATTAAAAACAATTATAATAAAATTTCATGTCTATTTTGGTGCTTTATCCTAGAAATGAATTGACACAAATACAAATTTAAAAGTTATAACAGACTATAATCATTAAAATATAACAATTTTTGTAACAAACTGAAAATCTTGTTATCGAAAATATACTATTTGATTTTGAACTGAACTGAACTCATGGGATTCTTAGATTCAGTTCAATTGGTGATGTCGACTTGACTGTTAAGAAAAATCTGGCCTCTTCTTTCGGTTTGTATGTGGAGGGCACTAAAATATAGCGGCCAGCAGGCATTTTTTCAAGCTCTAAAACAACAAACCCTAACCTGTTGAAAAAAAGCACTTATTAGAATTGTTATTTCTATGCAATCACTAAAAATAATCTCAAATCGTTCACACAAATGAAAAATAAAACCGTTTGAACTTATTAAATTACAGTACACTCCCCCTTAACTTAAACTTTGTACTCTAAATATACCAGTAATCCGAGGGAACAAATTTGAGGAAGTCGAAATTTTAAAGAAAACAAATGAAACATAATTGGGGGATGATAGAGAGTGAATAGGGGAGATCATGTGAGAGAGAAAAAGAAAACAGAGAAAGAGAGAGAGTGTGTGTGAATGAGAGTGAGAGAGATTGAGTGAAAGGAGAGAGAGAATGTGAAGGGAAGGTGAGTGAGTGATCGAGTGAGTGAGTGAATGAATGAATGAGTGAGAGAGAGAGAGAGAGAAAGTGAGTGAGTGATAAAGAGAGTAAGACAGAGATAGAGTAACTGAGAGTAAGTGAGAGAGAGATTGGGTGAAAGAGGAAGGGAGTGAAAGGAGGAGAAAGAGTCATAAAGGGTGAGTGAATGAGTGAGAGTGAGAGAAAAAGAGAGCGAGTGAGAGAGAGTAAGTGAAAATAAGTGAGTGTGAGAGAGAGGGTGGGAGGGAGAGTGAGTGAAAGAGAAAGGGGGGAGAATGAGCAAGTGAGAGAAGTAAGGATACAAGTGGGAGAGGAGAGGGAGAGAGAATGAGGGAGCGAGTGAGTAAGAAAGAAAGGGAGTAAGAGTCTGAGAGGGAAAGTCATACAAACGACCACGACCAGCTTAGAATATAAAATTTTCGAGAATTTCTTTTATTCAGTGAATCCCTCATTTCCCTTCACTACTAAAAATGAATTGTTAAATCAGCCTATATTTTCTGTGTTAACTATAATATACAAATTGCTTAAAAATTAGCAAAAAGGGAGAAGAAGCAATGAAGAAAATGTTACATAAGTAAAAAAAGAGGTTTTAGAGAAGAATTGACAGTATATATGCGTTCTAATAGGTTTTGTGTATGGAAAAATAATAGTGTTGTGTTATGTAATTAATTAATTAACTGAGAGGGTTAAGTATACCACAACACAGCAAAAGCAATTTTATATGGGTCATGAAATATTAACAAATTCACATGAAAGTTTATAAAAGAAAAGTTTTGTTTTCTTGCTGCATGTACCTGTAAGGCCCAGTTGTTTTGGGCTTCATGGAAGAAGAATCTTCTGGATAGAGATCCATTCCAATTCTGAATTGAGTCGGAGCCTTCAAATCCATGCATACATTCCCGGCTTCTTTCAACTGCAATATATACTCTGGATTATCATCGTACGTTGGGTAGTTGCGACAACCTCCAGCTGTCTTTCCTTTCCATTCACCATTGGTGATCTAAAAAGAAAAAAAATTAAAAATGAACAAACAACTAATCAAAGCCTCCAATTTACCTTCTTAATGTAATTGAATCCATCGTCGATTGGTTCCAATATAAAAGGGCAAGTTGAATATGCCCTCAGTGTATAATAAATCGTTGTTGTCTTTTCATACTGTGAAACAACAAGAGTGAACGTCCTGCTCTTGGTTTTATCCAAATCAATTTTAACAAGAAAATGAGGGCTGTTTATTCGAACTCCATCAAGAAAAGGTGGAGGATCATCTGTCACAAATAGATGTCTTTTTTATTTGTTTACTTAAAATATATTAATAAAGCTAAATCTTACAGGGATAATAGACACGTTTTCCACCATTTGTATACACGAGTACAGTGATATATTCTTTGTTGTACCTAAAATCCTCAATATCAGTAATATGCCTTGTCAAAAGGATCCAAGTAGCTCCTGTTTTGATTTTAGGCTCTACTTTCAATTTGAACTGAGGGTTTTCGCCAATAGTGTAACAATCTTTAGCTGGTCCGATTCCAGCTGACCATGCCCTAAAAAAACCGGTATGAAATAGTGAAGAGAAACTGCGATAAAAAAATACCTACTGATGAAGGCAGAAAGTGTAAGAAAATAAATTTGGATTCCAGTTAAGATAAAACACATCAAAAAAGTGTAAAACTGATTTATAATCGATCCAAAAAACTCCGTTGTCAAAAAAAGCTGCTTTTGTTGGATCATAATCTAACGTCTGACACAGATTAGCATCCCAATGAGTTGCATCAAGCTCTGAGTAGTTACCTTTCCAACGCACATGAGACCAAGGATTTTTCAATTGAAATAATTTAACACCCTACAAAAACAAAAAATTAATTCAAGATGAACTTTTTAAAAGTAAAATAAAAATAAAATCACATCAATCTGTCTTATGTCTAAAACGGCATAGGCATGCAATGAAACCAATCCGGCTCGATCTGCCTCAGTTTGAGTCATTTCTGGGGTGGCGACCGTCAGCAACAGGTCTCCTCTTTTCAACCTTTGGCTGAGCATACGGAAAGTTGCTTCAGCGTTAAACACCTCTTCTTCATTCTGAATAAGAATCCTCTCTGGGATCCAGCCTGTCAGAGCGTGTAAATCAATATTCTAAAATATCCAGAAATTATGGTGAATTATTTTTCTTTAGTTTGTAAAACATCAAGGAATCATCAAGCAATGCATTGAAGAAATTTAATACAAGTTCTTTGTTAATTTTTTTTTTTTTTTTTTTTAATAAACTACTTACACTGTTTGATCCAGGAAAGTTGTACCCTCCCATGACCTTCATGTACGCTTTTTCTAAAAGAGATATCCACAGTTCGCCCTTTCTTGTTGAGAAGGAACTTAAGAGCTGATTCTTTTTATTAACAGGCAGTCTATCATCAATGATAACCTTCCTTTGTACCCCATTAATCATGAGTTTTACCATATATTTACCTAAAAAATGTACCACATACATAAACAAAAATATAATTGATTTTTTTAAATTAATACCGCTTGGATTATAAATAGGCTGCCTGTTCTTCTTCCTTGGAAAAATAATATTCGTGATTAATCGCTTTCCAAACTTTCTCTCATAAAGAGCGGCGACGGATAAGGAGGCGACGAACGAGCAGTCAGAGATGATCTAAAATGAATCGATTCCTGTTACAATTTTTTTTGTTGAGATAAAGGGACATCCTTACTGTCTGCTTGATGGAGAAGCAGTCAACATGATCTCCGAGGACCATGCAGGGATTTTCATAAAGCTGTGAAGGTCTTACCCACTGGTGGAACACTTCCAGTTGTTTAGGTGCAAGTCGCAGAAGACCATCGCGGTCAGTGAAAGGTATTGGATAAGTAAACCTACATAAAATAAATATGCGTTATAAGAGACTAATTCTTGCAATTTTTTTTTCTACTTCATCCTTTTAAGAATCAATTACTCTACGAGGAAAGTTATACTCACGTTTCACCGTAATCCACAGCCATAAAAGGAACAAACTCAATGTTATTGATTTTTGATGAACACAAGAGGACTTGCTTTTCACTGTCCGTGTACTGCCTTTTACCACTAACTGTTAAATTCACACTGTTCACCCTCTGCATAGGTACTCGGTCTTCTTGGTTTTTTAAAGTCCCTGAAATTAAGATGATCTCTAGTGATCGTCATTTTCAAAGATAAAACTAACTCACCTGCTGGAGATTCAGGTTGACGCTTGTTTATATTTTTTTTAATGTCTTCGACTCTTTCTTTAGCCTGCTTCAGTATTATTTCAAGCTTCTCCTTGAGACCACGCTGTGTCACTTTGCCCAGCTAGAAAATTACAAGAAATTTTAAACAAAATAACTTCTTTTTTTTTCTTAATGAGACTGCAAAACATACGGCTGTGACCGTGGCTTCAACAGCCTCCCGATACAGTTTCAGCGCAAGTTCAATATCTCCAGACTCATCAGTGGTCAATGCTTGGCTGAACAAGAACCTGCACTGGCCCAATAAGACCATTTCAGGATGTTTCATTTGCTTGTAAGTTTCTAAAACAAAAAGTAAACATGTAACTTATTTTTACAAGGAATATCAAAAATCAAGAAAAAACTATTGAAGTATTTAAAAGTTTATGAAGTTCATGATGTAATAAAAAGTAACTGGTTAAGAGTAAAACAATTCTATTTGAGTTGGGTCTTGTAATAAATTTGTTCTATAGCTATCTTTTTTTCTATCTAACATGAAAAATAATTTGTTTCTTACTCGGAATGGAAATCAGGTCAGCTCTGCTTTTGTATTCATGGGCCTTTTTTAGCCATATAGGACCGTTGATGTTGTCGTCTCCTGCAGCTTCCGTAAGAAGTGATGCAGCTTGGTTATAAAAGTAGGCTGCCGCATCAATGAAACTGCTTTTGTCATACTCAACTGCTTTTTTGGCCAGTGCTTGTGCTTCTTTGACAAGATCCATTGTTGGGCCTGATCTTAAGGACTTGAAAAAAAAATCATTTATTAGTTAATCATAATGATAATTTATGATATAATATAGATTTATGAACAATTGGCATAGATAAAAATTCAGTTTGTGTTTGACCACACAATGTTGAGATAATTCACCCGAGATTATTTACCCCTTCAGCAAAATTTATATTTAAAAGTGAAGCTTTCAAAACCTGTTGACTTACTGGGGGTTTGAGCTTCTTAGGCATTTTTGCAAGGTAGAGATGGTCAGTGGCCCAATTGTGGTTCTGGATTTCAAGATTCATCTAGGTGGTGGTGCAAAACTGGTGAAAACTATAATTAACTTCCTGTCAATCACCATGAGAGCATGTTCTAAGTATGGTGAGATGTTCACTGTCAATTTAATGTGTGAGGGGCGTTTGAAATTTAGCCTCTTGCATAATGCCTAAATTCTTTAATTTATAAAAACATGGTGGGAAATGTTGAAAATATGTGGTTACCATGGCTTTCTTTTATCAATAAATTATAAATATTCTAAAAAGTACATACATTTTAACAATATTTTAAATTTCTTTGAAATCATCTTTAGTGATATATCAATTCAGACAAAGGAAATGTGGTGCTTTTAAGTAAGGCTTTACATTATACTTTAATGAACTCAATTCAAGCATTCCCATCAAAGTTCATACTGCACTATGATTTTCTTTGAAATTCACATTTTCAGCAATACCATGAGAGAAAAAAATAAAATAAGCTGTTATTTCATTTTCCAAAGCAATAAATCAGACCTAAATATAGTTAAAGTGTCAAATTTCAAAATTGTTGGTCCTCAGAAGCCCAGACAGTTTTTTGACTTAACATTGAAAACGAATTTGAGGAGTGGATAAAAGTTATTGTACTCTCCACTAGCCTTTCTTTTTTTCTACAGTTTGTCAGATGGAAAAGATTTGTTTTTTCATTAAAAAAATAAATAATAAAAAGCTTGTTTGTGCTTTTAGGTTTTGATGTCAATCTATTTGAACATAAAAAAAATGCTCTTTCCCATATTCAACAAAATTAATTGGATTAATATGTCTACCATTATTTAACATAACTAGAATAATGTCAATGTTATTATCTTTGTTTCATTTAAATCAATTTATTTTCACTAAGGGACCAGAGTATCCGAGATTAGGTATCAAATTAAATGTGGTATTGCTCATTTAATTTTGATCATTTCTAATGAGAAAGGATTGTTAAGATTCCAGGCAGACGACGATTTTGTGATCCCTAATGCAAAAGTAGTTACTTTACAATTAAAACTTTTTTACAATTTTTGAACAATCATTAAAACTAAATTTGCTCAGCTGATTTTACATAATTGGCTGGGTACAAAATGTTTTAGCATGTATTATTGTTTAGGGTTAATTATGTCAACAAATTAATGTTTATTATTTACACCCTCAAATGCCATGTTAATCACACTTTTTGAGTGTGCTGAATATTAGTATTTATTAGCAAAACATAATGTGTACGTATACAAGAATTAAATAAAATAATTTTAAAAAACCTTAGGATTTCAAAAATATATTTAATTCAACTAACACCCTACACATCATTAAAAACCACCCTGATCTACTACATTCCCTGTATGTCTTCTGTTTTGGCAATTTTGCTATATTCCTTGACTCATTTAACAAATTAAAAATTAAAAAACTAAAAGTCAGAATGAGTATGTTCAAATTACACACCAACCCTATTTCGACTTTGGCAAACAATATTGTTAAAAAATATATAAAACCTGTGTATTTAGTGTGAGACCATAATTGACCATATTAATTATTTAAATTAATTATTATTTTTATCTAAGGTCTTGGTTGAGATGAAAAAGTTAGTGTCACAAGTGGGATTCGAACCCACGACCTTCGGCTGAATATGCCACTGCTCTAACCACTTGAGCTATCGTGACTTCAATACACTCGGACACTTTTTCAAGCTGAAGGTAGTGGGTTTGAATCCGGCTTGTGGCATTAACTTTTTCATCTCAACCAACACCTTAGATAAAAAGAATAATTAATTGATTTAATTATTATGTAACTTGATCATTTTGGTCTGCCTATCCTTGCTGTTTTGGCCTGTCAGACTCATTTCAGCTTTTCACCCTCGTCAGTAGAGGGTTTATGTTAACAGGCCAAAACTGCAAGGCCAGGTACCAAAATTTTAGATTAGATTAGAAAATACAGCTACTGGTTTAATAACCAACCTCAAGATGAACTTGTATATTTGAGGTTGCTAAATTTTCTGCATGTAAAAAAAGTAAAATAATTCTCGTCCAACTGCCCGTAAGGGGTCAAACCACGTTACAACACTTGCTCCAGATTAGACACAATTAAATATCCGTAGGCTATGATAGGATTCGAACCCAGGTCCACTAGCATGGCTGAATTTTCTACATGTTTATCTTTTAAAGTGTTAACTGTTTACTTATCATTGTGTGAAACTTTCAAACAATGATTATTTGAAGATCATGAGATGCGGTCTTGTGTGATGTAGGTTTAAAAGAACATTTTCTTTATTGTGCCAACATTTCAATCTTTATTTAGATCAATTCACGATCTCCAAACAATCATTAATTAATGGTCACTAAAAATTACACAAAACTTTCAAACAATATATTTTTAATTTATCGTTTAAGTTCTGATATACAGATCACCAGTCCAAGATTAGTTTTTGACAGAGCCCTGAAGAGTGTTCAAATAATATTATAATAAACCAATCCTTTTAACTTTTTGAGACATTCCAGGTAGTTGAATTGTTATTGCATTACTAACAGCAGACTTTTATTTGATTTATATATTTAATAGTCAGGTAATAAATAAATTAATTCAATCTAATAAATACATTTTTTGTTCAATGCGACAGTTCGGTTACAAAGAAGCTTATAAGCATTTAAAATGCTGAGTAGTCATTCCTGTTATTAAGAATCATACAGCTTTAAATAGTTAGTGGTAAAGGTAAAATAAAACATTGCAAAAAATGGTAAAAATTGTGCGACATATTGAAACAGACAAAAGTTACATATAAAGCGCATTAAAGTAACAAAATTACAACAAAAAAAACCTTAAAACTTTTTTAGGCAGGAAATTTAGGTGACATTTTTTACAATTTGGCTGTTACTGACCTTTAACACGCAATTCTTGGGGCACTACACTAAATTGTTTCAATGTTCAATGAGGTTTCGGTTTGTGGCCGTCGACATAAAAGTTCCTAGTTGCCTTGGGAAGGGTGAGTTCCATGCCTTCGAGTTCTTTTTTCAAGATAATCTGACATCCGAGCCTCGAGTTCTCTTTGAGAAATGGCGCTAAGTCCAGAAGATCTTCCTCCTTCTCTTCGGCACAAGGCAGCTTGTCGCAATAAGCCCGATCGACATAGACGTGACAGGTCGTGCAGGCAAGGGACGCCTCACAGGCGCCTTCCATTTCTATGCCATGCCTGAAAATATTTTAAAATAAAATGATTTGTTTAAAAAAAATTCATTCGTATAAAAATAATTTGTCGATTTACCTGCGGGCGAGAAAAAGCACATTGTCGCCTATTTTCCCTCTGACTGGGCGCTTTTTTCCGTCTTTATCTATGTAAACTATGTTGACAACTTCGCTCTCGGACTTAGGATCTTCCCACTCGTACTCGCCGTGTCTCAGGGGACTCGCCCTGCTTATACTTCGACCCAGGGTCAGTATTTTATCCGCGCCTAGGAATTGATAGCACTTAATTCCAAATAATAACATAGCCCATAAATATTCGAAGAAAGAAAAAAAAATGATAAAACTATCAACGAACCTTCACCCGAGTAGACCAGCTGGTCTGCAAGGTTACAACAATACCTGACTACCTGGTCAACTGATTACCTCCGCTTATGATAAAACTTTCCACAAATCGTTCTTTCAAATTGGTCGATCTCATTTTTAATACTGGTTAAACAGAAGATCAATTTCAATCAAATGAGCAAAACCGATGATCTCATCCGTATATCGAGCCATACTAATTCAAGCATCAGTAATACATCAATTTTGTTGCTACATAAGTTATATTATGTATTAAAGAAAAACTCTCACTTAATCAATTATCTCAATGGATCCTTTAAGCACACAAAATCTTCGCTGAGGGTAATAATATAAATAATAAAACTGTGATGCTAAAATCATAAAACCATCCTAACCCTCCTTATGTACATATGAGTTAATACAGGAAAATATGAAAGGTGCACAGATGAACATACACTCAGACAGTCATAAAGACACTAAATGCATGTTTTCCACTCCAAACTTGTCTGGGCGTGCTTAAACTGCTCAATGACTCCGGGATAGCAAAACAAAATTTCCTTAAAGTGTGTCCTCGGACATGAAGGTCTAGAAGGAAATGAACAGGCTGAACAACTAGCCAAAAAAGGGGCTACCCTCTCGCCCATGGGATCAGAAACACAACTTGGTGCGCCGGAGTGCGTGGTTAAGTTGGAACTGGAAAAATGGATTGAAAAAGAAAAGCTCAAACACTCCAGGTTTGAGGCAAGATAAGAGATTTATAAACATCTCAAAACTATAAATCATGAAATCATCTACACGATGTACTAATTCAAACAGTCAGTCACCAAGCAGTGAGGAAAATCATAACACAATTAACCTGATTATTGCCCATTGTATACCTCTTGAAAAATATTGGACAAGACACAGAGGTACATTGACTTGCCTTGAAGTATCTATGTCATCAAACATAGACTAGATGAAACAAGTAGCCATAGAAAATGGAGATGTTTGGAAGAAAGGTGGCCCTAAGTTTCAAGAACAGGCCATAATATGGTACCTAGATGGATCGAAGAGGGAACAGGGAGTAGGCCTAAGGGTAAAAGAGCCGAACTACTCCCTAGCAAAGCCTCTTGGACTAACCACAACAATTTTCCAAGCTGAAGTTTATACAATACAAGTATGTCCACATGAGTGAATAAAGAAAAATATGAAAGGGTGCACAGATGTACTTATTCTCAAGCACCCATAAAGACGCTAAATGTATATATTTTCAACTCCAAACTTTTCTGGGCGTGCTTAAACTGCTCAATGACTGGGAGAGAAAAACAAGATTGTCTTTAAGTGGGTCCCCGGACATGAAGGCATAGAACGAAATGAACAGGCTAACCAACTAGCTAAAAAAGGGGACACCCTCTCACCCATGGGACCAGAAACATAAATAGGTGCACCGGAGTGTGTGGTTAAGTTGGAACCAGAAAAATTGATGTAAAAAGAAAAATAAACACTCCAGGTTTGAGGCAAGCTAAGAGAATTATAAACATCTGAAATCTATAAATCATGAAACCATCTACACAAAGTACATGGGTTCTTAAGTTGGGACTGGAAAAGAGGATTGAGAAAGAAAACAAACATTCCAGGTTTGAGGCAAGTTAAGAGATCTATAAACATCTCAAAACGGAAGGTGAAAGAACTCTCAGCAGGCATTTTTCGAGAATTATTGGTCTCTGAACACTGTCCTCTTAACCATCACCTTAAAAAGATGGGCAAGACTGAGATGGAAACATACCAGACATCAGCACATATCCTTTGCAAATGTAAAGCAGCCCGTTTAGCAACTTCAGGACATTTCTCATACCCGATTCCCACAAAAAAAAAAAATTGTAAAAAAAATGGGAATTCCAAACAAGTTTCATTTTTGTCCCATTTCGAGTCATAAGGATTTCCCCCTAAGCGCTTTAACTTTCTGTGTACAATCTTTGCTAATGGTTTTCCCAGATTTCCATTTCTTTAATGTAGTGCAGAATTCTTCTCAGGTATACGGTATCTAGGCTTATATTGCCCAGGCTGGCTTTTCTAGGTATCAGAATTTTTCTAGCTATTGTAGGTCAGTGTATGTTCTGTTGTCTGTCTCTTCTACACAAAGTCAACATTGGTTATCTGTTGATAGTCCATTTTCTAAAGCGGTATTTTACTATATCTTTTTTTTTTAATTTCTTTCTAGTGGGTAGGACTTCATTCTTCAATTGGGTTGGTCTTACAAGTTGTCTTTTTTTTCCCTCGTGCTTGCCAGTTGTAAATATGGTTGACTTGAGGATCAGTCATTCTTGATACATCTACAAGGTGATGGACTTGCATTATCTCTGTTTCGTTATTTTGTAAATAGTTTATTTAAAGTTTCTTCAAGGAAACAGCAGAATGCATTATATAGACAAAACTAGGAAATCTAGACCAATCTAATCAGATGAGATCTAAAAATAAACAAGACCCCTGCAACAAACATGTTATATTATAAACACTTGGAATTTTTCACATTAATAAAAAAAATATATTATCTATTTATGCCTCCTCATCTGTCTTAATTTTATCTTTTAATCGGTTTTATTAATATCTAATATTCATGGCATTGTCATCTAATAATAATCGAGATCTGTTATGGCTAACATAGAAACTTTATTTTCCTCAATTAATAAGCCATTATTAAAAACATTTTTGTTCAAATAATTGAATTAAAAGGATTGTTTTTTAAAAATCTTATATTTAAAATACTATATTTTTCTACAGCAAAATAATGAGGTTCATTAAAAAAATATTCCAAATACAAAATAATAATGAATATGATTGAAAAAGAAAAAAAAAACATTTATATATCCTTTAAATAAAACTCTGGTCTTAAAGAAATATATTTTTTTTAAATTTCAATGACAAACAGGACTGTCATCAATAGTTAAAAAAAAATATATATACATATTTTGAATACATATATATTCATATTTTAAAAAGGACTAGAATTATTCTATTTAAGTGGGGCAGGGGCAAAACGTGAATTTACAATAATGTAGGAAGAAGAAGAATAATGAAAATAATTTTTTTTTCTCTAAATTATTAATATTTACAAAAGCACGTGTTGAGAGAAAAAATATGAGAATTGCTTTCAACTGTTATTAACTTTTTATATTAACTGAAATAAATGTATATATCACAGGATATCAACATCGAAGCACATTATTTAAATAAATCTGGGCCTGACAGTTTGAATCATTTTAAGTTTGTGAATTTAACTCGTAAAATTCCTTTCACATTAGATTATTTTAACCCCATATTTATTTATACACAATAAAAACAGTCAATACAAATAATTAACAAGTAGAAAAGAAAAAACATAATCTTTAAAGCAAATAAAGAATATGCATGTTTAAAAAAACCTGAAGAAAAAGAAAAAAGTAATTGTGCTATCAAATAAAACATTGTAATGATTTTTTTTTTAAATGCTCGTTTAAAATTATAATACAAGTTTAGGATTTTATACAAATTGGATGCCGCCTGTAGAGAAACGGCTCATTGGCTTCCCCCTGTCTGTTCTTGGTATACTTCTATCAAATCGTCGTTCTTCATATCAAGCTGAAACAATTTTGAAAAGTTAAACAAATCGCATGTTTAAGTTTATACAATGAGAATTTCCTCGTGAACCAACCGCTTTTGGGGTCTCATCGTCATTGATTCTCCGGCCGTCAAATAGGAATCTCAACGAAGCAATCGGGACACCCTGGCAGAAAGAGAACAAGCGTGAAATATCTATGACAGGGTATGAAAAAAATTGAAACCCACCACTCGCTCGCTGTACGACTTCTTCAGTTTTCCCATCTGTGTTGTCAACTTGACTTTGAAGTGTATTTCATTTGAATCCTGAAATAATAATAACAATAAAGTGTATAAAAGTGAAATATTGTACTAAAAACTTTGGTACGAATGTACCCAAAAGCTAAACGAGCAATTATCTAGAAACAAATCTATTATTACAACAAATTATATTAAATAGTTTAAAACTTAAAATGGGACCAGCATAATTTGTATTAATTAGAGAAATAATAAACAGCAAACTCTATCAGCACCAATAGTTGGTGATGATGATGATGAGAAAGATACTAGGAAGCAGGGGCATTACAGCCTTTTGGATTATTGTATTTATTCTAGTTTCTTAGTTCAATTCAGCTGACTTTATCCTTCTTTTAAGAAATGTTAGGTGGTTTTGTTTGCCTAATGTAAAATTGTTTAAAAAAAACAAAAGTCTTCACCAAACTGGAGGTCATTTATTCTCTTGCTGTCCGTATAATGTAATTTCAACTTAACAATGAATTTATCACAAAGTTTTGTTTTTTGAAAAATGTATTTGGGGCATTTGGATTCAACTGTATAAACATTACCAGGAAATAGGTTATCATACAAAAAGGTGACCATTTGCACTCTTTGCCAATTTAATTGATTTCACAGTAGTAAATGCATTCCTCTAGAATGAACAGCACTAAGATTAAAAAAAAGCCTATAATCACCGACAACGCTTATGTTTACTGGAAATCAGTGGAAAACTGGATGTGTGCCCATTATCCAGAAATGACTGAATAATCCTGGCGTTCGTAACAGGCTTCCAAAGGAATTACACCAGAGTTGCATACAAACTGTTCAGAACAATGCAGAGGAACAAAGGAAAGATGTATCAGGTGAGGAACCAACCACTTCCATCCAATTAGCAAAGGAAGAGATTTGGAACTTCTGCCCACGGAACATGACACCAAGGGCCATAGTTGCAAGAAATTAGTACTCACCAAACCACCATCATTATATGGTTCGAGCATTGGTTGGCATTTTAAACTGCTTGGGAACTGTAATTGTTACATTTGTGAAGCTATAACTAATTTTCTTAAGTCAATGGATGTACTTTGCTTGCTGAAGTCAGGTTCAACTATTGTGGGATCGGAACCGTTTCAAGGGGTAAAATTACTTCATATCTGACAGGTCAGTCTCACCCATTCCTTCCTGGCTCCATTTTGAGGGCTCCAAACACGTATATAAACTGAACTCCCTGTGTGCCAGTGTTTTTCCATCGAAGAAACTCATTTTTGTAGGGGTCGAGACCAAAGATCCGATCACACCCCAGACCTTCCCAGTGAAGAGAAAAAGTCCCAAGGCAACAATGGGCCGAATCTGACAACCACCCAGCTACTGTGGTCCCACGCAGCAGTATCATTACCAGTGCTACTCCTTTGATGAAATTTTTCACATGCCTCTGTCTTGTTCTAAATTACCTTTTAATGGACGACATATTTTTAATCTATTGTCTGATGTATCTATGTTTTTGCAGTTTGGTATGCCGCAATAGGGTTCAGGACCAGTAGGTGTCAACCTTCCTCAGCCGTTTTATCAGCCTGTTAGTTGCCTTGTGTGCCCCCGGGTAATTCTGTTTTCTGCAATGCCTGACATGTAATGCAATCCCAAGACTCTGGATTACCTGCTGCATTCGCAGTTTTAGCTTTACAAGCCATTAGCGTGCTAAGAGGTGGTAAGTGGTAATTTGTTTGGTAGGGAAAAGGAAAAAAAGGCTAAGTTGACGATTGGCAACCACTTGTTTACATGGAGAAAACTCCACACCGGTCAACAATATCGAAAGTCTTTAAAAAAACAGGTCCTTTAACAGTTGTTACTTACGTTTCCTACGACTTTGAGCTTGATGTAATCCGAGTTTTCCTTCTCGGTCGTCGCCTGTTCGGGTTTCTGTATCAAACACAGAAACAAAACAATAAAAATCATTGAATAAAACGTGAAAAATAAAACATATTCGACTCGGTTGAGTCAACGTACTTGGGTTGGTTGTGTGTCGGTCATTTTTGAAAAATTCAAAGGGCTGCCCTTCCAAGTTCGCGAGTCGATCGTCCAACGCCGAGCGGCAACTCAGGACCTCTTCCAGGATCTTCTGCAGACGCCAGACGGGCGCCCATTGGCTGAGACCTGGCCCCTGCCGGCAGGATCGCCGACCGGCGAGGCAATTTTCGAAGGGCGCCCAGAGGTGAAGATCAGGGCGGACGCCTTCTCCGCGCGGACCCGGGGCAAAAATCAATCAGGGCAGACTTTCTGCTCGGGCTTTTTTTTAAATTAGAATTTCCTTTAGCCGTGTGGTCTCGTTTTGAGTGCATTTTCTATTAATCTCGAACCAAAGATCGTTCTGAAGATCTCCTGTGTTTACTTGTAAAATCTTGAGTCGATTTAAATTTAACACAAACCTTTAGAACTTTCGAATATATCTTTTACGTAAAAATTCACCCTAGTAATTTTCTTATTCGATAAACAATCTGATTTCGATTTAGATCAACACACCGTTTTCTTTTGTTATGACAGTTTCAAGTTCGGAAAGATCGCACGGTTTTGATCATGACTTGAGTTTAGGGAATCCCTTCTGTCTTCAGTTCTGTTAGTAACAAACAGGAAGGTTATGCTCGTATTTTTTAAGTTTTTATCTCCAAGTTGGAAATGATATTTACCCTCGGACTTTTATAAAAGTGATTTTTTTATTTTATTTTTAAAATTAAAATAATTCAAAATGACTATGATGGAATTTGCCGGGTGCGCCTTAACGGCGTATGGGCCGGCTTTTTCGCTCTTCGTCCTGACGATAATCGAAGACCCGATAAGGATAATAATCCTTGTTATAAGCGCTTTTTTCTGGCTCCTGGCACTTCTCGTCTCGTCCCTGTTTTGGAATTTCGTGGCGTTCAGAAACGTCCTGCCTCTCAGCGTCGTATTCTCTGTTCTGGTACAAGAGGTGAGTCACGTTCAAACAATTTGAGCAAACAGGGCTTTTTACACGTTTTTTAATATTTGCACCAATACATATTTTCCTCATAAAATGTTCAGAAAGAAAGAAGTGACATACAGTTGAACTTGTAAAAAAAAGATGCTTCGGTGTAACTGTAAAGCATAAGTGAAATCAAGTTTGCAGTTCTTCCAAACTTTCCCAGCAATTTTTCTACCCTGGTTATAAAGTAATGATAGTTTTATTTACAGTATCAAATAGCAAATACAGAGTCAGTGATTAGCATTATAATTTTCTCAATTTTAGAAAATGGTATCGCCGATGGTGTCCCACGACTAATTACACAATTACATCAACCTCTACTTTTTCCTTTCAGTAACTCCCTCAACCTTTTCCACTTTCTTTTCCCGAAAGGTGGCCAACATCTCTGATCCCTAAACCCTACTTTGGCTTAGCATTCTGCCATAAAAGAGGATACATCTTAAAATGGATCCTTGGTGAACAACACCACAGAGGCAAGTGAAGAGATTCATAGAGCATCTTCAAAACTTACAAAAGAATTGGTGGAAGGCAACCGCCACCGAACCAGGATTCTGGTTGGACTCCTAACAGGGAATTGCACTTAAGAAAGCACCGGATAGGAGTACAGACAGAAGAAACACTGTGAAAATACTGCCAAGAAGAGGAGGAGACAGTAGAAAACATTCTATGTTTCTGAGAAAGCCTATGTAGTGCAGGTTCTTGCATCTAGGACAAGAAAAACCTCAAGCAAAATCCTACACTAAGGAGCTGCTGGCAAAGCTATGGAGGCTGATTAATAACTTGAAGCTGGCCAGTGAGTTCTAAATAACAGGGGAGCACAATAGATCTATTCATATTGAGGTAGGCCTTGGTGCCGCCCCTTTTATCCCTATTTCTATTCCGATGGTAAAAGCAGAGGTCATCGACGAACAGTAATCTGGAGCACAGTCAGCGACAAACGTGTCTGGAAGAGTCAAGAAAAGCGGATTTTCTTTCTTTGTGTTGAAAACTGTGTGGCCACTTTTGCAGCCTGAGGAGGGCCCACAGCCCTCTGCACCTCTGCCTAAGGTGCTTAGGTGATGTTCGTTAGCAACCATTTGATCAAAAGTTCAAATGGCAACCACACATTGATCTCATCGAAATAAAGAAAAGAAAAATTTCAATTGTTAATGTTAGAAGTTTTGAACTCTTTTTCATGAACGAACTCTGTATCTGATATGGTCTTGAAGAAAAAGCAAATTCAGTTGCTGCTACCAACCTTTTGACCTATTTTAAGATCATCATCAGGGCAAAAGCTTTTGGTTTAATATGACATATAGGAATTTGGTAGCAGATATGATATTTTAATTTGAATCCCATTGTCATTTGTTTTGGTGACAGCCCCCCCCCCCCAGATCTCACTGCCATAGAGCAAGATTCACCATTGGAGAGATTCATACAAGAGTCTCCCATTTTCTGTCTTTAGTTTTTACTTTCTTTTTAGTAGTGGATAAAAAAGGGACAGGCGAGTATGTTTTCTCGAGGTTTTGAGTTGAAGCCATGTAAGGCTTTTGCTCTTGCTGAAACTCAGATATTTTACTGCTCTACTTCTTTGGGGTTCAGTGTTTTCTGGATTGTGAATGTTTGAGTTGATGAAAGTTATCAAAGTATCTTTAGGTCAAAAAGATACCCCGGGTCTATTAGATTTTGGTTTATACAGTACATGTCAAACCCTGTCTCAGATATAGGGTTTGCCTCGAATTATATCTTTGCTCAGTCAATATATTTGGTTTATTGTTGAATGCTCTTGTTCAAATCTAAACTGAAATGTACAAACCAGTTTATTTAATAAAGACAGAAGTCTGGTCTTGATTAATTTTTCGTATAGAGAGAAAAAGTTTATTATTAAAATATTTACTCAGAACCCATGGGAAAGCACACCAGTATCTTCCAAGCTGAAATTCATGCAATTGAAAGATGTATCCAATTCAATCTAAATAATGTCAGATAGCCAAGCAGCCATCAAAGCACTAAGCTCAAATACCATTAGTTCAACGATGGTGTTGAACTGCAAAACCAAATTAAATATATTAGGCTCGCAGAATAAAGTCAGCCTCTGCTGGGTCCCAGGACACATGGGAGTAGAAGGCAACGAGAAAGCGGACACCCTTGCAAGAAAAGGGGCTGCCACACCGCTAATAGGACCCGAACCCTTCTGTGGAATAGGAATACACACTATTAACGAATACCTCAGACAGAAGGACAAAAAGAAAATGAGCGAACTTTGGAATTCACTTATTGGACATAGACAATCTAAGAATCTTCTAACCAATTTTGGCAAGAAAGAAATCACAGAATGTGTCAAAGGAAGCAGGAATAGACTGCGAATCCTAACAGGATTCCTGACAGGACACTGTAGATTAAATGGACATCTTAAGAAAATTGGAATAATCCAAGATGGCACATGTAGATTCTGCAAAGAAGCAGAAGAGGCACCAACACACTTACTAACAAACTGCGGAGCTACACTAGCCCACAGGAGGAAGTGTTTTGGGATGTACAATGTGACCATAGAAGAACTACAACCACTGAAACCGGGCCTATTAATCAAGTTTCTTGATGAAATAGGACTCACCGATGTGCTTTAGGCAGAGCACAGGGGATACAAAGCTCTTAAAGGGCGCAATATACCATACCCTGAAATATTATATCTATCTATCCATCTATCTATCTACAGCTCTACAAAGAGTAACCAACTTGTAGAATCATCTGATTCCTTCCAGGATCATCCAGGAGTCAACAGCCTTATCCACCATTATTTGGCAGGTGAAAGGAATTTCTCTGAACCCACTCAATGTAGGACAAGTACACAGAAAGTGCTTTAGATCCTCTTGTTGGCACATGTTACAGAAAGAGCATATCTCAGAATCAGTAGTTGGGTAGAAATTATGAATGATGGAGTGAATGTGAAGTTCAATCCTTTTTTTAAAAAGATGGTTCCTACTCACATTAAGATAATACTTAATGTGAGTAGGAACCATCTTTAAAAAAAAAAAAAAAAAAAACCCTAACCATCCCTAAAAGAGGATTCAGTAGTTGGGTTGTTAATAGGCTCGTGTACTTCATACCTGGATCCATTTCTCTCTAAAGTGTAATAAGTTACCGCTCTCCTACTGAAAGAAGCCTTCTTTTCCTATTTGAACTCAAACAATGTCTTTTCTACAACCACTTGTAATATTTTCGGTTTGAAGTAATCAAAATTATTATTTTTCCCCGTATATCTTGCTTAGCTTGGGAGGTCTATAAAAGTCAAAGTATTGCTTACGTTTTGTACATTTTGGAACTACAACTGGTCCTGCACTTCCCACCCTTGTAGAAAATATCCTACTCTCAAACGTCCATTGAGGATATTTCTTAATTTCATTTTAGCCTCTGCTAGCAGTTGCTGAATTTTTGTGACCAGTATTTCATCGGGTCTAGGGCTTTTTTTTAAGGCTCTTTATGCTCTGGTTATTCTTGAAGGGAGATATAAGCCTACAAGTACATCACACTGCAGATCCCAAGAGAAAATCTCAATTATTTTATAAGTAAAGACTAACAAAAAAAATGTCATTTCGACTATTTTTAGTCTGCTTTTCATTCCTGTTTTCTTCAAACATTAGTATTGTTTATTTACTTTACGGGCAAGAGCCCATTACAAAAGAAATTGTACAGATAAATGAAATTATACATTTAAATGCACATTCATCTACTATTTATCATAGAAGTGTAATATCTATATACAATAAAAAATATATGTTATAAAAACATAAAATTTAAAAAAAAACATGAAAAAATTATGTATAAAAAGAGAGACATTTATAAAATTATATGAAATAAGAAAAAGCTCTATTGATTTAAGAATTATTGGAGGAATTTCGAGTACTCTAGAGTACCTGTTAATGTGATTTATTAGTGTGAAAGGAGGAGCTTCTTCTCCAAATTTCGTGAAAAATATCGAGTGCTGGGGGTCTGGAATATTTCGGGTTAATTGTGGAAGAACCCTGAAGAATTACTACGGCAAGTGTTCTTTCCTGCCAGACCAAGATTAATTTAACCTAGTAGGCTTTGAAAGTTATAATACATGCCAAATCTTTCTTCGCGTTTAAGTGTCGCTGTGAAAACCGCTGGTGTCGGGTGTCAGTATCATCAGTACTGATTATCTGCGAGTTATTTCTCTTCAAATGTCATGAATTATCAACAATTTAGGCAAACTTGATTATTTCACATGTTATAGGCTAACACATAAGTTAGCATGATTGTTTTTTTGTTTTTTAAATAAATAATTTACAAATTATAATAGGAAGGGTCAGCTTTGTTTTATTTTTGTATTTTTTTTGCAATGTGTTGCAAGTGACAAATGCAGTTTGACCTCATTTCTAAGATTCAAGTAAAAATATATCAATAGTGTTTAAATAATTTCTTGTTTGTATGTTTAGGTTTTTAGATACTGCATCTACCGGCTAATGAAAGAAGCAGAGTATGGATTAAAAAAGATCCGGGTGCCAAACACAAATATGGAAATTTTAAGTAACAAGCAGATAGTGCCGTATGTCGCTGGCCTGGGCTATGGCGTTATGAGCGTTTCATTCTCGTTGGGCAACATACTCGCTGAGCTGACCGGGCCGGGTACGGTAGGCCTGAAAGACCCTCAACCGTTTTTCTGTCTCAACTCTGCTGTATTCGCCATGATGTTCACCCTCCTGCACACAGTATGGAGCATAGTCTTTTTTTATGGAGTCGACACGGGAAAATTTTCCCTCGTCTTGTGGGTCGTCGGTAGCCACCTGATTGTCTCCTGTGTCACACTCGTAAACTCTAGTGGTCTACAGTACGTGAGCCTTACCATAACATTTCTTTTTCTCATCGCGACCGCTGCCATCGCCTTCAAGGTATGTAGAACGGCGAGGACAGTCGAGACTAACACAATTGAGCAGAGCCACCGATAAGGTGAATTGACATAATCGCTATTCAAAACGACTGATTACAACGTCCAATTTATAATTCCATTCCTCAACTTATTCAACTTCGGTTAACTTGTGCAAGGACTCAAAACCGTATGGCAATAATCATATTTTAGCTTATTCTAATATTATTCCTATATTGTAATGTATAGTCATTATATTGTATAATACAATTAAGCATATTTTGTACATTAATTACATCATTTTATTCCTTTAAACTTAATAAACTGCTAAACCTTTTTATATTTATTTATGTCTTTTTTTTCCTATTCTTAAAAATTTTTTTACATTTTAATCTAAATCATAATTAATGGATGTTGGGAGGTGTCAATGACTGCAACATTTCAAGCGTTGATACTCATCACTGCAAGGTAAAAGTCCAGTGTTCGAATTTAGGGTATTTGGATATATACAAGCACTGGCATCCTGGGTTAATAAAACCTCGTAATTGAAATACACAGAATATAAAAAACTCTGATATGGAGTAATAAACCCTTGAAAATAGTTGATCCTGACTTCAGCAAGAAAAGTACATTCATTGACCCAGAAAATTAGTTATATCTTGACAAACATTATAATTAAATTTAAAAAGGCAGCATCTTTCAGCAGTGGTTTTTGGAGCCATGATTTGTACTTGAGAAACAACAGTTCCCCCTCAGTTTAAAAAGCCGACAGACTGAAAAAATTTAGGCCTTTCATTCCATGAGATATTTTTATGGTTAAAATTAAGGTCAAAAACATGGATCCATCAGACAATGGATTCCAAAACAAGTCCTCTGTTCAATGTGAATGTAGCTTAAGACAGAGGTATGCAAAAAAATTCATCAAAGTATGATCACAGAAACTAATTTAAGACGTGTTAGGACTAAAATAATGGTGGAGTCTCAGACTGGCAGAAACAAGCCTGTGTAGATATTGTCAGGAAAAAGAAGAGAGTGGGATACTCAAGGGAGTCCTTGAAAAAGTTTTGGGATCTAGTAAAGTCTTATGCTTAATGAGGAGCTAAAGGCAACAATAGATGAAATATGGAAGGGAGGAAAAGCAAAACCATTGAGCCATATTAGATTAAAAAAGAAAAGGAAGAAGAAATTTTTTTCCAATTGACTCAATTTTGACTTTTAAATTAATCATATTTGAAAATGTTAAAACATTCCCATTGAACAATTAAAGTACGTATAAAAAATAATATACATTTTATTTTCCTGCGTATATTTTAATTTGTCAGAGGCAACTATCAGTAGTCGTATGGAGGAAAAGTATATTCTGGTCTGTACAGGTATGTAATTATGTAAATAAATTTGGGCGTTCAAATCGTATTTTATACACTAGAGTTTTTGGGTTTAAATTCTCTCATAGAGCAACTTTTTAATTGAGACAGTATGAAAAAGCTTCATAAATTGGTTTGACATTTCGTCCACACATATCACATTGATGGAAAATTTTTTTTCCCCTTTATGACAATCATATTTTTCCTCTGGCAAGAGGAAAAATACATATTTTTGTCTTACGGTCTGATCATTTTGGTTTGGCTATCCTGTCAGATTTATGTTTCTCGCTTTCTCCAGTGATGGGTTCAGACCTCAAAATTAAAACTCACAATCTGTATTCTGTTCCAGTATGTTTTAAAATTTGTCAATACTGAAGAGATGTAAAATTTCTATGCCCATGTCATTTACAATATTTTAAACTTTATAAAAAAATAGATCACAGTAATCAGGACTTCAAGCTACTATGCAATTTGTCTAGTCATTCCGAGTGACCAAGTGTTTAGGGTAACCGAGTTGTATTTGCTATGCTAGGTGGTTCTGGGTTTGAATCCCAGCAAGGCCCATAGATTTTTAAAGGATAATTGCATGAAAATATATCGTAAAGAGGTATATTTTATAAATCTTGTCTGCGATCCCCATTGGTTAAACCCTCTTGTATGACAGGAATTATTTTACAAGTTTATTCCAGGCAGTATAGACAGCAAAACCTTTTTAAAAGGTAGATCTTAAGTTTATTTTTTTCTTTGAAAAATACGGATTTCAAGCATGAAAGTCATCATTAAAAGTTACAAACACATCTCTTACAAATGTTGAGACATATTCCACCTTCATAATTTCTAGACTGAAATGTGCACCTGTGGATAACTTGCACAGTCTGATGAGTGATTTTTAAACCTTTTCCTTATCAAATTACCAAATTCTGAAGAACAATTTGAAGAGTAGATTGAAAGCATTTTCGCAGGTGGAAATAAAATGAAAATCAAGTTTCAATAATAATTAATGTATTTGTATGTATAATTATATATTGTTAATAAAATCATACACATTAAAGTCAACAACCTCTTTTAGCCTCTATTTACAAACAAATAACATTTAGTGCTTGGCTGGAAACTGGACGTCAGTCTCACTCACGAGGTCTACAATGAAGATAGCAATTTTCATCCCAACAAGCAAGGAATCAGTACACTTTTAAAATATACGTTGGATTATAAAGAAATTAATTTTTAAATAGCTATTCTGGCCCTTTTATACTTTACACACGATTTACACTAACTTACCCCCTCAATTTATAAAAAAATTTTATAATATTTTTAAGAGTAAATTAGCAATTTAACCAACTTTTAGGTTGTCAAAATATTTTTTTATGTGTTCTGCTGAATATTTACATTAGGAATTTAAAGAAATTACACCAACCCCTCAAAAATGACGATACACGATAATCACATAATTTCATTAAATACATTTTTTTCACTCCCTTTATCATTTCCTTTAACAATCCGTTAGGCTCTTTTACTGTGAGTGTCTTTTTAACTGTAAATTAAAAAAACAATTTTCTTCTTATTCACACTTGAAAAAAAAAAAAAAAATAAAATAAAATAAAATGTAGCCAGCCAGCAAACCTAAACATGTTGTTATACATTAAAATTTTCCACGTGGCAAATAATATCACAGTTAATAAAAAGAAACAAACAAACATTAAGGAGGGTTATATCAACGTGAAAATCTTTTCTTCAGAGGCAATTAATTAATTTTAATATTGCTTACATGCTGTATGTATGCAAGTTATCATAAAAAATTAATATATTCAAAATATTATAATCCTTGAAGCTTGAGCAATGTGCAAAGTGTCTCGTTTATTATTTCTATAAAGAAAAAAGACCAATAAATCAAGTATAGAGATGAGGAGCGACTAGTTTATTTTATAATGCATAATTCAAGATTTTGTTAACATTGCTTGGAGTTGAATACAATTGAGTACTGTTTAGAAAGGAACTTCTTGTAATTTTATATAATCCATCTTTTACATTTTTGTTAATCAATGAAACAATTAGAACTACTTCTACGTAAGATACATGTAAAACTGACGAACATAAATAAACAAACTGACCTCTAAACATAAATAAAACAGTCCTGATAAATGTGTTTGCTGATAATTGTGTTTGTCAGTTTTACATGTATCTTACGTAGAAGTAGTTCTAACTGTTTCATTGATTAACAAAAATGTAAAGATGTATTACATAAAATTAAAAGAAGTTCCTTTCTAAACAGTACTCAATTGTATTCAACTGCAAGCAATGTTAACAAAATCTTGAATTATACATTATAAAATAAACTAGTCGCTCCTCATCTCTATACTTGATTTATTGGTATTTTTTCTTTATAGAAATAATAAACAAAACACTGCACATTGCTCAAGCTTCAACTAATCAAGGAAGGAGGTTTTATATTACACAAAAATATATAGCGTCTTAACATTTTTTTAAACATTAGTTTATACTTTTTCTTTTAAGTATGTCTTTATACAATTTCTTTTCTGTTGTAATCTTTTCCCTTCCGCGTCCACTTCAAAAAACAACTTTTCTACAAGGAGCCGAGCAATGTATTTGGTGTCAAGATTCATTTATTAGGCTAAATATGAATTGTAACGTTTGAAGATAAGGACTAGAGCGCATCCCTGTGCCAGACCCACTTTTTGTTTGTGTGATCGAACCTGTGAGCTAACCACTGCTGCTGAAGCAGCTGGTACCTTCCTGGACTTAGATACAATGGCTTGCCTCTCCTGTAAACAAAAAATTATCAAATCCAGAAAAAACAAGGGATAAAAACAACAGACTTTAGTTCTCTGTCCTCCTCGCCGAAACTGTCAAGATAAACAGAACCCCAAAGGCAAGCCCGCTTTCCTCGAATAACAATAACGTAGGACGAAGTTACAACAAGGTACATGGCGGTACCCGCGCCACAATCTATTGAATGCTGGACGGCCTCACAGGTGCTCAGCAGCTTACAGCAGGACTCTTTCAAGCAGACGAGAGCACCACACAAAAGACATATGGACGTCTCTCTAGGGACGCTCTGACACTGAGAGCACTGACGACGGTGATAGTACTAAAATAAATTTCATGTGAGAATAAAAAGATATGCAGGATACTTACGTGAATCATATGAAGGACTTACCTGGAATATCCTGTCATATAAAAGGGGAAGACTTAAAAGGGACGGCTGGTGCCAAGTTATGTGCTGCTCAGTTAGAAGAACCCTAGCTGCTACTTGGCTTCGATTAATGAATTCCCCCAATTGCCTCATCCAGTCGAGGACATGGGTCTTGGACGGCCACGAAAGTGCTACTGCAGCGTTAAATTTTTCCCAAGACATTCCTTCGGTGACTAATTCGAGATAATACACCAACCTGACGATTTATAAATAAAATAAGTTTTTTTTTCTCTTATAGTTATAATAATTAAACATATTATGTCATTTTCTAACCTTACGAATTCAGAGGAAGGTGAGTCAACCTCAGGGAGAGGTTCGTCATACATATGATGTCTTAAAAGTGCTGCTACTCTTAAAAATGGAAGGCATAAAGTTTGAATCTGCATAACAAAAAATCACAATTAAAAAAATATATATAAACAAAGCATAAATTCGTAGCAATTATTTAAATGGAAACACTAGCACAAAAAATTTTTTAATTAAATATTAAGTGATTGATTGCAATAACAGTAGTTTTAAGTATTTATGGCAACTTCCTTCGTCTACTACCATAAAATATCATTGTTATTTCCCCATCCGTTTACCTAATCCTAGGTCAGGAGTGACAAAGATAAATCAAACCTATACACAACCCATTTGGAATCCACCTTTACTCTCCTCATCATCAAGATTGTCATCATCATAACCATAGTATACTTCCTCTTCATCTCCCTCTCAACCCTTTTCAACTTTCTGTCTGAAGTAAAGTACCAAATTAACAAACCCCCAAGTAGAAAATCACCCTAATTACCTCCACCTTACTTCAAAATCTTCCACAAAAGGCTTTAGTTTTCGTAACCACACTATATAATGCTATCCTACAAAACACTGATTTTCCTCTCTTATGGAAATATTGTGTAATTTCTCTTTCCTAAACCTCACAACTACATATCCTCTTGCAGACCAAACTTCTTCCTTCAATGTCAAAAACCTTGAGATTTTTTTTAAAGCACTTAATATCTATCATTAAAACATTCCTTCTCACCATTTCGGCTTTCATGCTCATCATTCCTCAATTAACAAGGTTTCAGAGTTCTTGTTACCATCTCCTCTGCTCTAGGAATAACGAGTATTGCTTTGGTGCGTTCATTGAAGTAGCACAGGCTTTCGAAAGGTTCTGGCACCCAGACATGCTTTTTAAATTTAAATGCTTCTGACTCACTCCTTATTACCTTTATGTACCCTATCTAACCAACTGCTGCTTTTGAGTGCTGCAACGAATCCTTGGAATTCAGACAGATACAAGCCACAAGGGAGGATTCTTCATCCCATACGTTGTATCACTTATACTGCTGACCTGGTAATAAACCCTAATATCATCACCACTTATGCGAACGACACCGCAATTTTGTCCTCATACCGAAATCCTATCCAAGCTACCTCCAACATTCAAGAACTACTTGAGGTTATCAAAGAATGGTGCAAAATGTGTAGGACAAGAATGAATGAAGAAAAATGACTGTGTATGTTCACATTGAAAAAACAGTCTTCCTCTGTACTGAACTTTAACAACAAAAAGGTTCCGCGTTTTAGGGGAATTGGGAATTTTTTATTGTATATAACCGTACTTTAATTCAAGTCAAATACTTAGGACTGACCTAGACAGCACACTGATGTGGAATGCCCACAAAATACCTAAGAACAGCTTTACAGAACGCGCAGGTGTCCCTTATGCAGAGAAAGGTTGCTCGATGTGTCCCACATAATAGAGGCGTGTCATGCCTTGGCTTCATAAAGAGAGCGTGTAGGCATGCCGCCAGATTTAAGAATAGTTCTCAGACACAAGAATGAGTTTCAGGGTCCTCTGTTCCGCTTTTTAGGGGAATTGGGAATTTGTTATTGTATATAACCGTCAAAATGTGTTTCTGTGTTTTGTATGAGTGAGTGTATTTATTAGAGTGAATGGGGAAGGGCTGATGGTGGAATAGCATCCCCATTGCCCCTCGAGCTGTGTACATGATGGGTTGATGGCAGTACATTTATAAAAGTACCCCCATCTACCCCAATTAGATTAGTTTGTTATTGTATGCAGGTTGATGGAGGAAAAAAATAGCTTAACAGAAGACTTGAACAACTCTGGAGACTTCTAGGACTAAAATCCGTCTTGACCGCCAACATTAAACTAACCATATACAAGACAACATTACGGCGACCACTTTGGACATTCAAAGTGGAACTATGGGGTTCTTCCATTCAAAAGTCCAAAACATTAAACAATCATTAAAGGACAAATCATTAAAGCTGATTACGACACTAACCCCACTATCGTCCTCAACATTCCTTTTATTAAAAAACTGATCTGTTTCAATTTGAAAAATTTCACAATGACCTAACTTTACTGCCCAAGCCCTTTCAAAACATTCCCATCCCAAGAACTCACAATGTTGCCTTAATTAATGATGGCCTCGAGAACTCCTTGTCCTTTAATCCCTCACACCGAGTACCAGAATTGGCTGATTTCTTAAGGCATGTGCTTTCCAGGTGCAGTGCTGGCATTATTGTTAATGCTGTGACCATTTGTAAAAAAACGTTTTGTTATCACATCACATTTGTAATTTGTACTAATACGTAAAAGGAAATTAAATAATTAATAAAAACCTCAGTAGCCAAGTGATCAATGTGATAGACTCTCAACTCATTGAGTAGACCCAGTGATCGTAGGTTCATTCCCACATTACCACTGTTTTTTTATTCTACATTACCCTTCCCACAAGAGTTATTATAAAATTATATCACACATTCTATGATTCTTCTCATAATGGCTAATATTGAAAAATAAAACCATTAAAAAGTATTATTTATGAATTCCTTAATTTGTACACTTTTAGATAAAATTTTAATTTATTAGCGCAAGTGATTAACTTTCACTTATAATTCCGAAGCATCTACTGTTACTCTACAATGTGTAAAAAGAAAGTTGTGATAATTAGTACATACTTGATTTTCAAGGTTGAATTTATCGGCACAATCAGAAGGTGGATTTGGCACGGGTGGTGTCGCTAGATTTTCATCTTCGATGTATAGCTGGGTCGGGTCAAGCGCTCTGATGGTGAGGGACATGGCCTCTTCCAATGTGGCTATTTTCGCCTCACTGGTTGATGCACCAGTGTTGCTAGTGCTCGGTTCATTTCTCCAAAAACTTCGCTCGGTCTCGGTCATTTGACAGGACGTCTGGACGAGGACTTGGAAGTATAATAAATTGTAGAGAAGTTTGATTACGCAGGTGAAATAAGCTGGAATAAAAATTATACAGTGAGACACTGAATAAAGAAAAATTGATTTCGTGATTGATTAAGAAAAAAAAGTTACTAAACCGTACTTTGATCTAAATGTAAAGGTAGAAGTAGAATAAATTGAGTAAGAAGTGCTGTAGGATCTCGAAGGAGAAGAGGAACTTGAAATTGAACAGGGATTACTGCTGAAGGAAGCGGAACATCTGGTTCAAGACTCGCCAGCTGTTGCCACGTTTCCCAAGTCGGCCAATTGGCCAGCATTCTCGCATGCGCAGCAAGTACGTGCAACAATGGTACTGCAAATAAATTTTAGTATTAAGTAAAGTTTCAAGATGAAAACTGAAATTAATTCATTTTCAAAAATTTAATATAAATATTTCTACACTCACCTATGCAAGATCTCTTCGGTATAAGTGGATTAGGTTCATAGCCCGGGGGCGTATGGAAGGAACCGCCTCTTTGAACTAATTCAATTTCAAGATTTGTCCTTGCTATTGAGCTTACAAAAAGATAAACGGTTTGGGAAAGGCGAGTTCCGAACTTGTGCTTGTATTTCAAGTATGTCGAGTTGGTCATATCTTCCATCGATTTGCTCATCGCTTCCCTCATGTTAGAGCCGGGCTAAAAAAAAAAATTAAAAAAAAATAAAAACGTGAAAAATATGTCCAAATAAGAGTTTTTAAAAATCATTGAAGTCCATTCTTACTTGGCTAGTAGATGAATAATTTTCTTTGAGGAAATTCGTGAGCTCAGGTATGATCGAAGAGAGAGATGCAGGCCTCGATCGTACCATCGCAGCTGTTTCACCAAGTTGGGGAGGTAAAGGTAACACTGAATTTGCTAATTGCCTACACAAAGGACACGCGTACTCGCCCCTAAATCAGAAAACAGTTAATTACAAGGACTCGAAGAAAACAAATCTTGCTTAAATTACCTTTCAGCAGCAAGTCGTTGCTGATTTCTCAATGAGAGTAGATATGACTTAAGGCAGTCAAGGTGGAGGTGGTGTCCACAAGTTTGAACATGCACACCACCCTCCCAACCCAAGTTTACAGACACTAACCATGATAACTGCAAATAAAATTACATCTATTAAATTTAAAGCATAATAAACTAAATAGGTCAGTATGAAGGTTTGATTATCAAATGTAGTCATGAAAAATAAATTATTTCATTCATTAACATTTTAAAGAAAAATTAATCAAAAGGAATTACTTGATTAAATTGTCGATCCAACTCTTCCATTTTCCTATCGAATGCACTCGCAAGAGTGTCATGCCTTCTGAAGCGAAAGCGTTCTTCGTCACTAGTTGGTAAGACATGAGGTTCAGCACTCCTTCTACGATGTCCTAGAACACTAGTAGCCTGTATTAACACTGCAAGGCCCATCGGTTCTTCCTCAGTAGATGGAGATGTCTGATTGCATATGACACAATCATACTCTTTTCTACGTGTCACACCCCTTGAAGCGGCTCCGACACCGCCTGCAGATGTACCGCCGTTGTCTGATCCATCCCACTCCATCCCTTCCTCATCTGCTAAAAGAACCAATTAGCGAATTACATAATATGTTATATGCGGTATAATTACCAGTTTCCATAGCTTGCGCCATAAACTGCTTTTGCCTCGAAGCGAACTCCTCCATTAGTTTTTGCTGTCTTTCTTTAGCTCTTCTTCTTCTCTCAGTTCGCTCGCGTTCCTCTCTTTCTCTTCTTTCCTCTTCTCCTTCTTCCGGATGTCTTGGCCATAGTTTCTCTCGAGTTGAGATTACATTTTCCCTAATGAATTTTTAAAACTTTAGCTTCAAAATATTTACAATTTATTGACAAATTAATCGATATGATAGATTATTCTTCCATGGTCAAAGAAATGTTGTTAAAAAAAAAAATTAATAAATCTTTAGAAAAATTCACTGTAAATTCAAACATCATGCTTTATTTGGAACAATCAATGTTTTGTTTTTTCCTTGAAAATCTTAGGTTTACCAGCTTTAAACAGATAAGTAAGCCTTTGGTAATTATTTTATTTGAAAGGGAAGTTGAAAAAGCCAAAATATAAATTTACAGTTTTTTATTTTCTCGGTTTCAGCCAGCATATTTGGGCATATTTGACCTGATAATATTATGGCCTATCAGATGAAAATAACTGAATCACATGTTATAACAGCACACATCACCAACCTTGTCAGGGCATCTAAAGCCATTATTCTATGAAGAACATTTCCAACAAAATATGGGCCATCCCCAATTCTGCATTTGGGATCTGGTGCTGGTCCATCAGGGTTGAAGGAATCCGGAATACCGACTAAATGTGAATGGAGTTTAAGGAGCAAAGATATAATACTTTCGTTCGCTTCAACCACTGCATCGGGGGATGGAAGTTCAACCTGAAAAAAAAAATTTATTTGCTTTAAAGATAGAGAACAGATCAGTTTAAAAAAATAAAAATTAACTCATTTTATAATAAACTTACTTGAACTTGAGAATTGTGTTTCTTTTTGTTAAACATCTTCCGTTGGAAATGGGCCAAGTATGCTTCTGACCTGCTGATAGTGCTGTTCCAGGTGTTGGCGCCGCCACCAGACGAAGTAGAAGGAGAAGTTCTTGGCGATGATGAGAGGGCCATGGTCTGGTTGCGCCCTGTGCTTCCTCCCCCTGTGTTCTGACTAGTGGTTGGAACAAAAGACACGACCTCATTCCCAGCTAAGACGGCAAGTGGTTGGTTAGACAACGGCAGAGCCAATTCTTCTTCGCTTTCATTGATTAAAGGAACTGTACACACAAGGACTCAATATGTCACATGTTTTCTTCATATAAGAATTAGTTTCCAATGGTTCATGCATTTACTTTGTTAAATAAAAACATTATGAGTATGCAAGTAATTTGCACGAGTAAATTTTGATATTTAACAAAAAAATTTTGAAAAATCATTGTTGGTTTTTTTAAATCAATACATGTTATTTGGCATAAGTGAAATTTTTAGTAAGTTGCAAGTTTTTAACAAGGTGTCTCAACTATTATTTGTTAATAAAAAAATATAAAAAAATCACACGGCATCAAATTAATTTTTTTCACAGTCTACACCTATGTTTGCACAATTTGCAAGACAATTTCAAATTATTTCAATGTAGAATCTAAAATATGCATAGTTAACTCTTGTTAATTCGAAACTTGATAGAATTATAGAATAAAAATTATAGAATTTCTTTATAATACAACCACTTCGACAAGTCACTTTGGTAAACTGGAAAAAAATCTTATTTTGATACATTCAGTAATAAGAAATATTTACTTTGTATTATTTTCATTATTTTTAATGAAGTTTCTTAATGAATAAGTTTTTAAATGATTTGTAACAAAAATTTTATACTGGTGATAATTGACCTTTTGAGAAAGTAATTACATTGTTTAAAATCCATTTGTGAAGGCAACTTTAAGTGCTATACCTGTCAGTAAGCCAAGTGGAGCTTACTTACAGAGCCAATAAAATTTTATTCAAACTTTAGACAAAACCTTTGGAAAATCGTAAAATTTAGGTTTTAACTGATTTTGTACTTTGCTTAAGGTTACAATTTAAAAAAAAAAAAAATTATATATATATATATTAAAAATTAATTTTATAAGATTTTACTGCTCTTCCATTGATCAAATTTATGGTAGTATTAATATTTTATGAGATAGGTTGTGAAAGGTTGAAATAATCTGAAAAACGAAATATCTTGACAATTAAGAATTGAAGTCTGTTCTTGTACTGGAAAAATACATTTCTATGACAGCTAGATGTAATAATTTTAAGTTTTTTAACTCTAAGGCTAATAATAGAAGTGCTATCTAGCAATTTGTATTTAGTTAAATGCTGATGGTTCAGTGTTGATCTACAAATTGTTTAAAGAAATCTGAACAATGATCATACTAGTCTGCTTATGCTCGCATATTTTGTCTGCCGGAAACGATTCAGCATTTCAAATAATATTCAGCAATGTAACCATCGTTGGCAGTTGGTCTGTGTGGTTCAATAATGTTTTATTAAATTGATTTATTCTTTTTTCTCAGCATTTAATTGTGAATTTCAATTTATTTTATTATTTTCATAGGTAAATCATGTCTAAAAATGCTGTAAAGTTTGAATTGTTGCCTACAGAATTTAGGTATAAGCCGAGGTAGACTGACTTTACATGTGTTTGCTTTGTTTTTTCAGTGTGTAGTCTCAGCATCAGGGTTCATTACATTCAGTTTGTCAGTTTCATTCTGCATTCCAAAGTGGCATCATTTTTTTTTATCTTCTAAATGTTTGTTAGACAGTACAAAAATACAACTGAAATCAAGCAATGCTGTGATGGTAGTGACGAAGAAGTAGTCAGTTTAATATAAAAGGTTATAGATACCAAGAAAAAGAAATAAAGAATATTTTAGATGAAGAACATAGAAAATGCTCAGCCTATCTACAAGTTGAAAAATCTGCTGATCAAAACGAAAATGCATTCCTTTTTACCAGAAGAAGACAAAATCTAAGAAACCAGGAAATCATTCCTGTCTCAAAAATGTGTTAATATAAATTAAAAAAAAAGAAGAAGTGGATTGAGGAGTCAATGAAATCAATAAAAGAAAGAAAAATCAAAGTAATTTGAGCAAAATATTAAGTAAATATTAAAAGTAAAATTTTAGTAACTACAAGAATACTGAATATCTGACTATATTTATTTATTTATTTTTTTACAATTGAAAGTGAATTTTTGATCATTTGCATTTTGCAATTGACAATGAAAATAACTGAAGAAAAGCTTTGGAATTTAGAGAGAATTAAAGATAGAAAATTTAGAGCCCCCCCCCAACCCAAGGATTCATCTAAAAGTCTACCAATGTTATTTATTTATTTATTTTTCAATTTTGAAACTTACCAATAGCAGGAGAATTAAAACCAGAAGGAAGTCCTAAAGGAAGTTCACCCCCTAAAGCGAGAGGATCATCTACTTCTTCACCATAAAATAGAGATGCTTCGACCACTTCTTCCCAAACTTCATCACCTGCGTGAGAGAGGATGGTTTGCATCCAATTTGAATCATTACAAACACTGAATTATTTGTACTTTGTACTTTACCCAAACATGCTAACTTATTAATTAATTTTAAACAAAATAAGCAAAAACGGACAAACAAATGTCTATGTTAATAAGTAACGTTTTATAAAAACGAGTTTTACCTTTGTTATCAGGATCGAGGACGACAGGTTCAGAAGGTAATGTAATTGTACTTATCACAGTTCTCAAATTATCACTAAGCCAATCTGACTCGTAAAAATTCTCAAGATCTCCATCGTTAACATTTCGTTCGCTAGATTGCTTAACAGTACACACCTAAAATTATAATTGATTTGTTGTAATAACATTTGAAAATAATCTGAACATTATTATTTATAAATGAGCAATAATAATACTGACTTGTGAGGGTTGGTCTGTCGGATCAGTCACAGCCAGAGACATTTCCAAGAGGTAAATGATAAGAGATATTACATGTTCAGAAACATTATGCTGTGTTATCGCTTTGTACAAGACCAGCCAAACAAGTGCATGGAAGACTTTTGACTTGAGGATTTTCCTTGGATCAGAATAAGCCTCATGGCAAGGCACCGGCTCTCGATAAGGAGGCCAAGCACCGGTTCTCAGTCGATTGGACTGGCTAACACTGTGGAAAGACAAATTTTGAAATAGAGAATCTTGATTCTAACATATTACAGATATACTGACTATTCATTGAATCTGTCCATAGAATTTTGAAATTCCCTTCTGTGCACTGCCCTAAGCAATACATGAATCGGGTCGTACATTTCTTCCCACACGTGTCCCTTCGGAACATACATTCCCTGTTGCATGTTTCCACTCGCTTCCAAATTCGGAGCTTTATATTCTGCAACCTATGTAAGAACGTTTTCATAATTTCTTTTTCAAATTAGATATTTATACCAATAAAAAGAAAACAATACCTCAGCAAGGGCAGATTCAAAATCTCTGCTTTGTACTGTACCACATCTCTCGGGCATTAGTTCCATGAGCTGACTGTGTGTTTTGTCACCCATACAAAGCAATGTGACCATTTCTAACTGTGATAATCTGCTTTGATTTGCTCCTAAATAAATAAAAAATATATATTACAATTAGTTTCACTAATTTCGTGGTCCGCTTGACCAATTAAATCATTACAATTAATTAAGGTTTTTAGTTGAAATGAAAAAAAGTTAATGGCACGAGAGGGATTCGAACCCACGACCTTCGGCTAGATATGCTGCTGCTCTACCACCTGAGCTATCGTGACCTTGATCCACTCGGACATCAATGGCATAAACGAAAAAAAAAAAATGATCAATGAAAAATGGCAAAAGGAGGGAAAATTCATAAGGTGGGGTTGAGATGGGGAGTTGATGTCCAAGTGGATCGAGGTCACTCAACTAAAAACCTTAATTAATTGTAATTACAATTAGTGTTTCTACACATAAGAAACAAATTAACAGACAAAGCTAACGAGTCTATGAGAAATATTCAGTTCACTACTTGGGAACAATTGAAAGCACACTTGACAAATAACTTTTCAGATATTCAAGATCCGGCGAATTTAAACATAGAAATTTTGAGGCATATGAACAAAAACGTATTAACTTCACTCGCTGAAATTAAAGAAAAATTCGATCTGTTCTGTTCAAAAATAAATATTTTAGAAGGCACAGAGGCCAACAAAAGTTACCTAATTCAATTTCAAGAATTAGTAATATGCAACAATTTCATAAGTTCGCTGAAAGATCCCTTACGAAACAACTTAGCGACCAGGAACCCGAAAACTCTGTTACAAATTGAAAGATTGCTGCTTAATGACTTCCAATACATGAATTATGAACGACACACAGTCATCTCGTTTAAAACCTTTAAAAACATTTCAGAATCCTCATCTCAGGAAATTTTTTAACACAAATTTCCAAACTGGACCTGTGAATATAACACAAAGACCCTTTAACCCCCAAGGAAAATTTGCACCTAGAATGCCAATAACCAACACACAAAACCCACACCGATGTCAACACAAACAATTTTTTTTAATTTTTTTTTTTTATTGGCCTTATGATCTTGCATATTTGCCATAGTACGAATTCTTGTGTGTTCAAATTGGGGGTTATTGGGAAAAAGGGCCAGAGGCGACGGTGGGAATCGAACCCACGACCACGGCATGAGAGTCTCTCATGCTAACCACTCGGCTACCCCTACACCACTTCCCAAACAATTCAAAGCTGGCAAAGAAACAGACATCCCAACATTTACTTTACACAACAGAATGCCAAATACAGTCAACACGCACCTAATTATAATGGAAAAATTTAATCACATGAACGAAAAATCACCTAACTGAAACAACCTGATGATTTTCAATCCTCAGACGACCTTTCCACTAAAAAATTGACTCATTTTTTAGAGGTTCCTGAACACTATCCGAATTTCGGATGATGACGAACTGGGACAAAATTCGTCTCCCATACATCAAATTACTTAAGTTCAATTTAAAAATGTTATTAGATACCAGAAGTACTACATCATTTATTACACGTAACATAGCATTCAAACACTTTAAAAGATAACATAAGGAACAACCCATTTAGAATTACAACTGCACACGCGACGCGGCATCAATAGGAAAATTCAGCACTTGTTTAATATAGACAATTTACAATTAAAGTTTCGATTATTTAAATTTCACGACCAGTTTGATATGCTTATAGGATTGGATACTCTTAAAAATAACGCTAGAAAGAAAATAAATGACTCCTGACACTGATATACAAATCTTGATACCCCTCAGGAAACACCAAAAATGTATCAAATACAAGCAAAAAGTGAACAAGTAATGCAAGTTCTAGTAAAAAATGTTCAATCTGGACATGCAATTATTCCCCACATCATATCTAATGACTTAGAAATTAATGAGTGTCTCGTACAAGTGGAGAACCACAGACCCTTATGCATTATCAAAAACAATAGTGATTCACATAAACACGTACAATTACAGAACCCCTTAAACAAACACCAGTCAGCCATAAAGAAATATTAGAATTATCAAATCAAAGAAATAAAGACAAAACCAAAAACCATATTAACTTGGCAAAAATTAGGACAGATCACATGAATATTGAAAAAAAAAAACCTAGCTATAGAACAATTGACAAAAGAATTTAGAGATATATTTCATCAAGAAGGTACACCTCTAAAATTCATGAATGACGTAAAACATGTAATAAGAACGAAAGACGAGGTACGAATCTACATCTAGCTCCCCATGGAACTCATCGATACGGATCATCAAAAAGAGAGACGCTTCTGGAAAAGAGAAGTTCCGTCTTGTGGTAGACTACAGAAAGTTAAACAATAAAACCATAGATGATAAGTACCCACTTCACATATCACAGACTTATTTGATAGGCTAGGGAGATCTCAATATTTCTCTGCGATAGATTTGGCAAGTGGCTTTTGCCAGATAGAGTTGAGTCTTGAGAGTATCCCTAAGACAGCATTCAACGTAGAACGGGGACATTATGAGTTGCTAAGAATGCCGTTTGGGCTGGAAGATTCGCCACCCACATTCCAACGGGTTATGAACAGTATCCTCCGTGGTATCACAAATTACATGGTGTACCTTGACAATATAATTATAGTGCTAGTCTCCAAGAACACACTGCTAAATTAAAAGAAGTATTCCGTCAGTTAACGAAATACAATTTCAAAATCCAACTGGATAAAACAGAGTTCCTAAAAAGAGAGATCGGATATTTAGGGCATATCGTAACACCTAACGGCATAAAACCAAATACTGAAAAAATACAAGTGATACAAAATTACACAATCCCAAAAACAACTAAGCAAATAAAAAGATTTTTAGGAATTTTAGCAAATTACAGAAAATTCATTCCTAACTTTGCTAAGTTAACGAAACCTTTAACAAAATGATTGAAAAAGAATTCTTCCATTGACATTAATGATCCAAACTATAAAAACTGTTTTGACTTGTGTTTTTGTGACTTAAAAACATGCTAATTAATGAACCCAATTTACAATTTCCAGACTTTCTAAGGAATTTATATTGACCACAGACGCTAACAACTTTGCAAAGGGTGCTGTACTTAGTCAAAAAACAAACGGATCTGACCTTCCTATATCCTTCGAAAGTAGAACACTGAGCGACACAGAAACTAAACTTTGGACAATAGAAAAGGAACTTCTAGCCATGGTACGGGCTACAAAATATTTCAGATCCTATCTCTTTGGACGATTCAAATTTTTTTGCGATCATCGCCCTCTACAATGGCTCTTTTCACTAAAAGAATGGAACTCTATACTACTAAGATGAAGATTGAAATTAGAAGAATATAACTATGAAATAAAACTCAGGGAAGAAAATTTATAAGACTTATATTTAACTCCAAATGACTTAGAATTTCAACGCTCCGATACTGATCGACTTCACTCAGACAACAAGTCTGTAATAGTGAATATAGACGAAAACGAACAAACTGATGAAGACGCGACAATTTATCCCAATTTTAACTGTAACACAGTAATCAATATACCCATAGAAGACCAATTAATAAAATAAATAATCAAATCATCTGAAGTAGAATGTGTCCTGGCCAAACTCAAAACTATCAATTTATTGGACAACAGAACAACGAAAACATTCAAAAGAATGAATTTGAAAAGGATGTTATTAATTTCATTAAATCTTAAATAGTTCCCAAAACTAAATACGGTCTATATTTTGAAAATGACATCTATGAAAAATTTAGTTCAGCACTGGCATTATATTTTAAAGACACTGAAATCATTTTACTAGGTACCAATAAATTGATGGACACTGAATCAAAAGAGGATGAAAAAGAAATAATTGAAAATTACCAGGGAAAACAAATCATCGGGGAATCGATGAAACCGATACTGCAATCAAAAGATTACATTATTGGCCCAACCAAAGAAAATCCGTACAAACTTTTATCAATCAATGCGAAAATTGCCTATTAGTAAAATATGACCGAAGACCCCTCAAACTAAAATTCAATATTTCTCCTACACCAACAAAACCGTTCGAAATAGTACATATTGACACTATAACACTAGATAACACAAAAATTTCTTACGATTATAGAACCATTCTCAATATTTGCGCAAGCCTATAAACTTAATTCTGGTTAAGTGATAGAAGTAGTAAATAAATTGATTAAACATTTCAGTGCACATAATACAACAAACAAATAGTACTAGACAACGGAGTAGAATTTAATAATACTCTTGTTGTAGAACTCTTAAAGTTATACAAAATTAATGTACATTTCATATCTTCACAAACCCTGATTCAAACGGAGTAATAGAATGCTTTCACTCTACACTAATTGAACATATTCGACTCTTAAACAAAGAAAAACATTTTCAAAAAGAAACAATAAAAAGTAAAGTAAATTATGCAATATTAGTGTACAAAAACAATATCCATTCAGTTACAAAAATGAAGCCAATTGAAATAATTACGGGTCATATAAAGGAGGATTCCCTATTACCTATAAATTTAGTCAATTTTTAAATGATTATATTAACAAACATAAAAATAAAGTAGAGATAATATATAAAATAATTAATGAAAAAAGTTTAAAACGTAAAGAAAAAAATTATAGAAAAACTCAACGAGGATAGAGAAGAAATACCAGTTATCCCCGAAAATGTATACGTAAGAAACAATCTAAAACAAAAAATTTGTATAAAAAGGAAAAAATAAAATCTCATAATCCTTTAAGGAAAATAGCTACAATAGAAAAGTCCCATCATAATACAAAATTGAATATTCATTTAGCTAATGTAAAGAGACCAAAACAACTTATCAGTTTAATACCAGAAATGTCGATGTAACAGAGCCTGGATCTTCGTGATGTCAGCTGCCAGGCCTGCATTTGAGATAAAAGATATCTCACACAACACTGAAATTCTACTGATATCATTAGGAGATACGAGAATAATTATGTCTGAACACATTTTGATGCATTATTACGACATAGAAATATTAGTTGGAATTCAGCATTTTAAAAAACCAATACAGAAAATTTCCAAATATATTAAAACCAATAAAACAATTTTGGAACAAATGATACCTTTCAATAAAATACTTAATTATACCAAAGCTATGGCTCAAGAGAAATTGGACAATTTGATCATACACTCGATTAACTGGAAAAGTCGAGGACTGAACAATGGACTTGGCACAGCAATAAATGGAAACCTAGATGATGCAGATGGACAAAAATTAAATACAATTGTAGAACAACACTAACCAAATTACACTTCAATATCAAATAAAGTTCATGTATTCCCTTATCGAAGGAATAATCAGTAACTTTAACGATAAACCCTTACAGAGTAACAGAGAAGAATTAAAATATAAAATAAACTTTCTTAGTAGAAACATTAGGAATATTCAACAAATAGCTTCAGTTAAAGATACTTTTAATCTATTACAAATCCTGTATCAATTATTACTAGAGACAATCCAAGATATTGAAAATTCAATAACTATCTGCAAATTAAAAACAATGCATCCAAGCATTATAAGCGCCTGCCAATTATTTTCAGAGTTAAAAAGACTGGAGAACCATATATACTAATAATTAAGGTTTTAAGTTGAGATAAAAAAGTCAGTGTCACGAACGGGATTTGAACCCACAACCTTTGGCTTGATACGCCACTACTCTACCACTTGAGCTATCGTGACTTCGATCTCCTCAGGCACTAACTTTCCATCTCAACCGCACCTTTTGAATTTTCCCTCCTTTTTGCCATTTTTCAAATGTCGTGTAATCTATTTGATTCTCGGCGACAAGTGAAATGGCCACAGAGAGCTTTAGTGAAGTGTACTTCATTTTAATTCATTAAGTTCACTATATTTCATGGTCCACTTGACCAATTAATATCCTACAATTAATTAAGGTTTAAGTTGAGATAAAAAAGTCAGTGTCATGAGCGGGATTCGAAGTCACGATAGCTCAAGTGGTAGAGTAGCGTGTGTCAAGCCGAAGGTCATGGGTTCGAATCCCGCTCATGACACTGACTTTTTTATCTCAACTTAAAACCTTAATTAATTGTATGATATTAATTGGTCAAGCGGACCACGAAAAATAGTGAACATATATACTAAGTTGCCCTTAGAAGTGAAATATGAGTATATCATAGACTTTGAAAATATGTTAAAAGTCGACTGTAGAATAGAAACAAATCAAATAATTTACTTCTTGCAATAACCATTATGAAGTGACGATAAATTTGAACTATATAAATTACAACCTATCCCAACAAAAGCTGGCCAAAAAATAGTAACAACTATTCCAGAAAATAAATATTTTCTAAAATCCAAAAGTAATGACATAAAATATTTAACAGGCGAATGTATTAAAAACAAAGTTTACCATTGTCCACAAATTATAATATCGAATCAACAAAATCATTGCAAAAAAGAAATCATCTTACACGGAAACAATACACAGTGTGTTTACACGGAGCTTCAGATAAGCAACAACCACGTGGTATTCGTTCCGGAAATCAACTAATTTTTATGGACCTTCATCACGCCAGAGAAAATCCAGATCACGCAAGACAATATGATAGAAACAAAAATACTGGAAGGTATATTTCTGCTAAAACCAGGCAACAGCGAAATAATATACAAAGGACACCCACTCATCTATCGGACAACGAGCCATGGAAAACCAAACATCAATTTCAACCTCACATTTGGACCAAAACAAATCTCCAACTTCAGCATCAAGCTTCGTCATTTAACTTTTCATGATATTTCTCCAATCTTTGTGACAAAAAATAATATTATACCATATGTACATGTTAAACTAAGCCTATGGACATTATTCCTTTATATTTTAATCATTATTACAACAATAATATTTATTATTGTAATATATTATATTAAATGCATAAAAACTAAAATTATAAATAAAAATAAACAAACAATAAAGGTAGTAAAAGAAGACCCCCCAGGAGAAGCAGTATTCTATGGGTGGATGGGTGGAGGAGTTATATATATTTTATTATAAACAATATTAGTTATAGCGATATTTGTACAGAAAAATGCACTCAGCTTATCAGATGTTGATTAAGCACAATTGCATTTTTCTCCCCCTTAACCCGAGGTGACTTAATAATGGACCGAGGGTAATTGTAGGAGATTCTGTGTACGCTTCCTCGAATTTATATCGGCAGAGCTACTACTTTTATATATTTTGAGGATTGTTGCAAATTATGATCAAATATTTTCTCAAAAAAGAAATGATTGGATGACCTGGAGTAGATTTTATATTATAACAATATATTTTTCAATTAGAAAATTACAAAATGAACTTAATGTCCATCACTTGTAACAAATTAAATAAATGAATTTCACAGTCAAAAACCATAATACATACCTAAATTAGTTCGTAGACTTATCAAAGATGCTAAAAAGGTGAGACAGCTTTCGAGCATTGGCGTGTCTGAATCTCCATCTGGCAAAGTGCTTCTGCTCGAATGCCCAGAGAAACTGAGCCAATCCATAATATGAAACCTAAAATCAAATAATATTAAAATGAGTCCCAACGCAGTCGGTTTCAATGCTGGTAAAATACCTTTGAAGGACTGTCAAGATGAAAAGCTGAGATGGTAGCATCGTCGCACAAACTTGAAGCAAGTAAAGATCGGCATCGACCAACGAATTGCAAAAGTTGCACTGAATGTAAGTCATCGCCTGACCCTTGATTTGCAATCCGTTCCTTACCCATAAGCCGTTTAGAATTTCATAAAAGGCAACCTTCAACAATAATAATAAAAAGTTAATAATATTTTTATTATTTGTTTTAAAATGTAATTGCCACAAAAATATAATAATCTCAACATAAATCAACTGAACTATGTTAACTATACAATAAGGGGACTGTGGTAGCTAATTGGTTAAAGTGTCACACTCTCGGCTTGTAGATCTGTAGTTGTGGGTTCGATTTCCACCATCGCCTCTAGATTTTTCTTACCCAATTTAAGTTGGCAAGGCACTCATCAATAGGAGGTCCAGCAGGATCCCCTGGAAGTACCTGAATTTGGTACAGACCCCCTACTTAAATGAGTTTCTTCAATGGAAGAACACCGGCACACTGGGGACTCAATTTACACAAGCTCCTAAAATGGAACCAGCAAGGAGAATAATAAACTGTACAGCTGCAGTGTTCATTCAAACACCTACAGTTCCAGGTATGCATAATCAATTTATCATATTATTATGCTGTCGTGTCATGTACAGTAAAGTGTACGTAAGGATTAAAAAACTATTCGGTAGGTCATTAATACCATTCTAAAATTGTACTAATATTCCAGGTACATAAGTAAAAGCTCCAAGTACGCTTTTTCTCCAAGCAAAATGACTCATTTTTTGTTTTTGTTATATCCAGTCTAAGAACATATTTCTTGTTATTTCAATGTCAATGTCAAAATATGAACACAGAACTGCTAAAGGTAAACACAAATTGGCCTAATAACTCAGGCCCCAATTTATGCGGTAGATTTATAAAATACTAAAAGGCATACGTTATAAAAAAGATGCACAATAGAAATCACAATCATCAATCTAATATACAAATCGTAAGGAGACTGATTCCTTTTCTTATCTAAAGTATAATGGATAAAAATCTATATTTATTTTAATTAATTTAAAAAAATGCATTTATATCATGTAATTATCTGTAAAAGCGGTGGCTATAAGGCTTAGGTTTTTTTTTCTTTTTAAGGGGAGGGATCTATATATGCCCCTCTCCTTCGATTCTGCTACATCAGTTTAATCAGAAAAATTGACTTTGATTGAGGTTTATTCTCCTTTCATATCTTCCATCTGATAGTGATGTTTTTCTCTAACCAAATTTTCTCTTAGATTACAAAATGGAAATAATTCAAAAGTTAATAATACTCTCTGTTTTCATATCAGCCCAAGCCATAAACATTTTTCCCGATCTTATTGAAGTGGCTTTAGATTTTGTACAACATTCAGACAAGACATTTCAGATAAACATTGAAAATAATGAAAATGTGTTAAGACAAATTATGGTATTATCGAAGAAAGTTGACACAATCGGTGAAACATTTCTCCATGAGGAAGCGGCTGTTGTCAAATTTATTGAAGATGTCCACACTCAACTCTCTTTAAAGATGCACTACAGTGAGGTATTAGAAGTCATAGAAAACATCGAAACATCCTTTGATTACTTTATGAGTATGTTTTTTTTTTCTTATATATACAAACAACTAATTTATATTAATTCATATATGTATTTAGTAGTAATAATTGACCACATTAATTATTTTAGTTAATTATACTTTTATCTAAGGTCTTGGTTGAGATGAAAAAGCTAGTGTTTTGAGCGTGATTCAAACCCACGACCTTTGGCTCAATACACTGCTGCTCTAACCAACCACTTGAGCTATCATGACTTCGATCCTCTCGGACATCAACTCCTCATCTCAACCTAAAACTTTTTGACTTTTCTCCCTTTTTGCCATATTTCAGTGATTGAACTTCTTTTACGGATACATTGTATGTACCAATACACTTCCTCCTGCAGGCAAGTATAGCACCACAGTTTGTTAGTAGATGTGTTGGTGTTTCCTCAGCTTCTTTGCAGCATGTGCACTTGCCGTGTTGGTTATGCCAATCTTCTTCAGATGCTCATTTAGTTTGCAGTGTGAGGGTTGGCAGTTATTTCTTTTCTTCCTTTAATGCATTCTGTTACTGCTTTCCTTCCAAAATTTGTTAGAAGGTGCTTGTATTGTTTGTGTCCAATGAGTGAATTTCATTGTTCCCACATTTTTTTATCCTTCTATCTGAGGTGCTCATTGATAGTGTGGATTCCTATACCTCAGAAGGGCTCAGGTTCTATCAGCGGTATAGCAGCCCCTTTTCTTGCAAAGGCTAATCATAACTGACTATATTAATTATTTCAATTAATTTTTATAATTGTCAGTTTTCTCCACACATCTATATGAAATAATAAAATGATAAAATTAATTAAAATTCACATATCAAAATTCTTAATAATTTATGTATGTTTTTAATTTTATTTATTGTATTTAAACTGCATGGTTTAATTTCAGCAAACATTCATATCGGTACTAACTTATTTGGTGCCAGTAATGAAACCATGATGTTTAAACTTGAAAAACATACCCTGGAAGAATTTGCAACATTCGCAGTTTCTAGCCATCCAAAATCGTTTTTCAAGTCATTGCACAAATTATACAAACTCCATGAGCAGAATGATAGAATTGGAAAAGTTTTTAGAAAGAAAGGTTTCTTCGAAGAGATTATCTATAATTATAAGGTGAAGTGCAATATGTAACTTTAAAAACATTATTATTAACTTTGAAAAATAAAGTTAAAAATTAACAATTATTTTAGTAGATATGAATTCGACAATAAGAACATAAAAGAAGAAATAAATTAATCTTAAATGAAGTCAATAATTAAATCTTGACAAAATCTTGATAAATTCAATGAAAAATAAATCTTTTACCCACATTAATCTTTCATTTTTTTAATTTATTTATTTTTATTTTTTAAGGAGTATGGTGCTTTGAGATGCGAACTTCAACAATCTGTTCAACAAATGCTTTTTAACATCTTTAACGTACTACAGTTGGCTCAAATAAAAGCATTTCTCATGGTTCAATTTTCATGGACACTCTTGAAAACATATAACAAAGGTTGTCCATATTGAGAGAAGTCAAAACACAATTATATTTTCCACAATTAACAGGTAATTTTACAATGGAGATAAAGGGACTTAGACAAGAATATAAAATGGAAATAGAAAATCAAGCAAATACATTAAAATTATTCCAACAAGTATCTAATGAATTTATCACGTGTGATCCCAAATTACACCAGAAAGAGAAAACCTACACCGAACTGACTCGTTTATTTCAGGTCAACATTTATATTAACAATAAACAAGTAGAACAAGATTTTTTAAATTTAATGAATTCTAGGGATTCATAGTCAATGAAGTAGATCTAAACGAGCAAGGAACTTGTAAATATGACTGCTCTAGTTATCAATATTCAAAACAACACAGTTGCTTCAAAAATAAATTCTGTGCAAAGCAACCAACATGTAAGGGGAATGTGATCGGTTGCAGGTTCATCGATTCTGACATGTGGATTTGCCAGGCAGTAAGAATTTTAGTATCATATGATCAAGCAGAATGATTATTAACTCGTATATTTCAGCCCTTATCTAGCCCAAAAAGATATGACTGGATTGAGTATGAAAATGGTAGGAGGCTTGGTTATAAAACAAGCTGTTCAAGATCAGTGACCAAAGTAGATTCGTGGTGGCGCTGGTTATTCTGGCATTGCTCTTATTGCTTCTGTTATTGTGATGATTCAAATGACCAGCAATCGCACCGATATTTCAACATGCGTTATGTCACAAGCGATATAAAGAATAACAAGTATTTATTATTGAAAATCATAATGAAACTATCCTGATCTAATTTTTGTCATAGAGCAATCGTAGGCTTGAGATTTATTAAAGTCAACAAAATAATTCATTTACAAATCAAAGAAGGTGAATTAGGAAAAAATGGCCAAATTGGTAATGCAACATGGCTTCCAGTTGATAATTACACTATCTCCGATGAGGGTATAAAGGCTGAAGTGGATTATCACATAATCACTTGGCAGGAAAAAGCTATTGATTTAGATGATTTAATTGCACCTGAAGACTACGTTTTAACAGGTTCATAGAATGATATGTTTTAACTTGAAAAATAAGTCTTACACACTGTTAAACAAATTGAAGGAGTGAAATTCAGAAAAATTGGGGGACATTTAAACCTTGAAATCAGAGTCACAAAAGTAGATTTTCAAAATGGTGTTTTTGTGGACGAGGGACGATTAACCACTTGGATCAGTAATGATAATACTGATGCTGCTAGAGACAAACCAAGGTGCACGTTAATATTATTAATTCATGTATGAGATTTTATCACAGTTTTTCTTTTAAAGGACTCAAATTAAACTGGAACGACCTCTCGATATAGCCAAAATAAATCATGGAGCATTTTACCCGGATTCTGAGTCCAATCAGTTTGTTGAATTCACCAACTCAGACATAGATTTGGATGCAGCTCAGACTGTGTTACCATTTATTGACACACAAATTGTGGCACCAGATCCACCAGTTCTTCTCAGTGGTGCAGGGCTTTACCATAGAGGGAAAAAATACTTTGGAGGATTCATTGCTCCAAAGGTGTTCACGTTTTACTATGGTAAAAACATGCGTAAAAACAAATCTATCATGGTAACCAATGTTTTAACTTAGAACATTCATAAATATTGAACTAGATGTTATTTAGTAAAAAAAAAGTGTTGTAAAATCTGTAAAAAATAAGATCAAATAAAACATTGTCTTTAAAATTTCAAGTATTAATGCAATATTGGAACATCACTACACAAACAGATTGCTCATGCTTATTTATATCTTCTAAAATGGGGGGATGAAAGATTGTGAGATGTCCTCCTGAGATTTACAGTGATAAACCTATATTTCATAATTACACATCATTCTGCTCTGTCTATTTTCGCTGATTTTTGACAGTCAGGTGGAGTGATGTTAAATTTTTAGAGAGAGGGTTGCTTTGGTATTTTTATTTTATTTTTTGTTCTAGTCTTTTCGCTTTGGTCCATTTCCTTTTTTAATTTGTGCAAAGTTTTAAATGGTGTACACGATATTTGTGAGGGTTAATTTGTGTATTTATGAATTTTTAAGTGTTGAACGTGTTATGCTTATGTATTTCTAAATTTTTGAGTACATTCATTTTTCATCCTTTTTGTCATAGTTTTATACTTGTTTGAATTGTTGATGGTTTGCAGTTATTTTCTATTAGGTGAGTCGTGTAATTCGATTTCCTGTTGTTATCCCTAAACAATTTGACGTGTTGCTTGTCATGTTCACATTCGCATGTCATTTTGAGTCGTTGTGAGTGGCTTGAGTCGGCTTGTATAATGTCAGTTGCTGTTTGTTTTATGTATATGATAAATTGTATTGTCCCATCAGTTTTTGTGACTGTTAAGTCTAGGAAGTTTATACCTCTATTGTTTCTATTTTTTTATTATTATTATTTTTTAAATGAGTTAAGTTGCTTTTCTGCTGTTTATGCTGTTGTAATTTTATTTTGTAACTGAACAGAACAAAATTGTATATTGTTGTGGGAAAAAAGATGGTAGCTACTAAAGCAGGACTTCATCTGATAACAATGCTCTGGTCGGAATAAAAGGGTTCTTTGTTATGGCGTATGAGCTTCAAACCTGCAATTAAACCAATTCCAGCTTACACAACTGGACGGATTAAGGCTATGTTGCACAGTCAAACTTTCAGCCATTGTAGGTTTGATAAAATTTGCACTTATGATTCTGGTGCGACTATAGAAACCATATATTGAGTTGTAAGACAAAGAAATAATAAATAAAATCACAAAATTTATATGTTAATTATTTAATTATCTGATATTGTACTTGTATTTTCGCCTCGTAAATGCTTTGCGACTTATGTTCTTATTAAATTTCGAACGATCACTACCTCTAATAATTATCATTCATGACAATTTATATCAATATTCTTTTATAATTCTTCTTTATCATTAGCTATTTTATCAACACTAAATAACAGCCACATTTTATCTTAATCAGATGGATCTTTGAACAGCACCTTTCATTTATTATTTATACTTAAAACAAACTTGTTGTACTCTAACGCAAAGAAACTCACAGAGATGACCAGAGTGTTGATTATTTTGCATAATAGATAGCCACTATTGAGCATGTTAAAATTTAACTCAATAATCTTTTCTTTGTTATTCCAAATAAAGTTTATGACAATAAAACTTAATAAATTATTAGCGTTTGCAATCCAACAATAAAAATAGAAATTTAATTGATTTCTACATATACAGGGTTTCACGAAATGTCATAATTAACTACAAAATAGTGTGACAATAAAATAGCCGATTTTATTGGTTGATAAGACACACTCTTTCGTATCTTGTTTTTTCCTTTAGCAAAAGAATTCAACCTTGCATAGTTTCAAAATAACAAATTCTTTTTATGTAACTTGTAATAAATGTGCGACAAGTTAAGGTTTATCTTTTTATTATCCTATTAAACTAAAACAAGAAAACAAATTGTAAATTTGTGCAAAGGGTGATCGTTATTAGCGTCACATGTGTTTTACTCTCACAATGTGCAAAATTATAAACATTGGTTGTAGAGAGATTAAGGTTAATTGTATTTTAAATTCAAATACAACAGTACAATATACAAACATTTAAATTAGGTTTGCACCCAGCAAAAACTTGTGACTACTGTTCATAAATTGCCGTTTTGAATGTACGAATTATGCGTTACACAAATTGAAGCAACTTAAATTATTGTCTATATTATACAATAGAATGAAAAATGAAAAGAATCACGATCGACTATATCAGTGCACATGCTAGTATGGAGATGACCCTGATAATACTGATATTACGTAAATGTTGCAAATAGAATGTTGTTTATATAGTACGTACATTACAAAATAACAGAACAAATGGGTAAAATTGTTAAAAATTGACTGGTATGAAATAAATGCCCTGTCTTTCCCTAAATGCTTAATAAGTAATGATCATTTTTATCGATAAATAAATAAGTTCTTCATTCCTATTGTTATCTTGCCTTATGATCTTGAATTTAATACTTATAAACAGTAAATAGAGTATGCATTCTGCAGATAGTGAATTTCTGAAGTTAGAAGTTAACAATACTGGTAATCACCTGAAATGCTCAGTAACTTATCATCTCTACCTTGCAAAGTAAATAGAGTGAACACTTCCCTTATAATATTACTTTTTCGTTATAAACATGAGATTTTGTTTAAAATAATAAATAGATTCGGTGTTTTACAGATAACAGATAAAATAAGTTAGTGGATGGAATTTGAACAGTTAAACATTGGAGGAAGTAAAAAAAAATTGTGAGATAAAATAGGGTTCAATTATTAAGAATAAAACCCCATAGCCATAATATATAATGACCTACTGTCAGAACTTAATGAAAATTGGAATTAATTTGAAGTACACATCAATATAACCATTGGTTAATTTTACTAAGAAGTAGTGTAAATGAAATTTTGTCAATTTTTTTAAAATTAAAAGTATAGTGCTGATTCTTTATTATCTTAAGTAAAATGAATTATGTACACAATCATGTGCTATGCTATAATATCAGAACTTAGCGATACTAGAAGCCATCCTGAAATATGAAATACCTACAATGTATGAAACAATTTGTTCCACTAACTGTTCCCATCTTCCAAGACCTCTTAGAACTTCTCAGGTTTTTGAGTGATTAACTCATCAATGTGTTTTATGCAGTTCTCAAGTGAAGTATTAATAGCATAAGTTTTGCAGAGCTCAGAATAAGTAAAAATCTGAAAGGGCAATATCAGATGGTAAAAATATGTGACATGCCAAGCTCCAAAGCTCCAATGAAGAAGTTCATAACAAAGCACCCCTTCAATCCCACCAAATGCACAACTTTATTATGTTAATGTGGGTTGCTGTGTTTTCCTCAACGTTTTCCTAGCTGAACATTTTTTAAGGACCTACTCTTAATCACCAGTTATCTGTTAATAAACACTTCACACTCAACATGTGAGGAAGGACTGTACTTCTTCATTAAAAAATTTGTTTTTGTTAACTTGAGATTTTGTTGATCACAGAGAGAATGATATTATTATTTAAAAAGGAAAAGTGTGCATCATAAAATATAAAATCATCTTCCCAAGTCAATACTGATGTAAATTACTTAATTCCAATATTTTGTACTTTATGGTCTTGAGAGTTTGTAGGAAAAAACAAGTAATTTAAATTTGTTCTCTGCAGGTACAGAGAAAATAATATAAACCACTTGTCAATAATGACACTACAATCCATCATTATGTACTTAATATCTAGTGTACATAGAAATAGGTTTGGTGTTCTGTTGATTACAGAGAAAACTATTTAAAAAAGAAAAGACATCAACCGGCCACAGCATTTAAAATCAATATCTAATCAAACATGTAAATTTTTAAAACTTTTTCCATAAGAGTATAGCTACAAAATTAAAAGGAGTGAACTTCGAGCGAAGTGGCAATAGTAAGAAAGTTTCCTGATTTGGTAGCAAAGGATGATCGCACGTTTTCTTCAACTGGGTCTCCTTTTTTGCTTCTCTTCATGCAAGAAGAGCAAGCACAAGAAGTGCTTTTTCTTCCTCAGGTATCACCATTCTGACCTCCATTGGGAAGAGAAGTTGTTTCCACGAGATGCCTGGTATGAAACCAGCGAAGAAATGTCTTCACATGGCAGTCAACCAGGCAGATTAGTTGAATCAACCAAACCGCCTCATCTGAAAGAGGTCTAAATCACCCTTCAGTATTTTAAAAACCCTGAATTTTTATTGTTTTGATCATAATCTTTTCTTCTATACTTCTTTATATAATTAAAGATAAAATGAGAGAGGTTTTTGAATATTTTTTAAAGACATTTCTTGCTGGTTTCAAATCATGCAACTTGTGGAATCAACTTCTCTTCCCAATGTATGGCAGTACGGTGATACAACCTGAGGAAGGAATTTACGTGATATTGTTAAGGTAGGAAAGGTAGCATAATTAATCTCTGCATGTTCAAATAGCTTATTTAATGTTATTATGATGATGATAATGATTAATGGATCATGAAAGAAGGGGTCTTAGGTTCCCTAAGCACTGCAATCTTTTAGTTTATTATACTTTTCCTAGTTCCTTCTCCTAAGAATTAATTATAAGCCAATGGCAGTCCATTGCAAGTGTTTTCCTACTTAGAGATAATTTTGTATTTATAACCTAAATTTTTTTTTATACAAACAATTTTGTGTAAAACGAAAATAGTGTATTTGGTTTCAAGCATGGAATATACATATTTTCCTACTTAGAGCTAATTTTATGTTTTGTAACCTTCAATTTTTTTTTTTTTTTTTTTTTTAATACAAACAATTTTGTGTAAACGAAAATAGTGTATTTGGTTTCAAGCATGGATAAATAACTGAAAAAAAGTCTTTTTGAATTTTGTAAATAAATTGTTTTAAACTTTTTTTCATACAGAAAAACATAATTATAACTTCAATTTTCAAAATCAGTCCTGGGACCCACCTCATGTTTGATGTGATAAAAACACTACGGATTTAACTTTTAAATTACTTAACTAATTTTCTTTCCGTGTCATTTCGTGACTTCACTTCTTTCAAATTTTTTAATGCTAACACGGCTCCAACCCAACAAAAAGTGACTTTAAAAGAAAGAAAAAGATGCATGATTTTTACAAAAAGTTTGGAGGCCCACCTTGGGAAGAACATTAGCTTTAGCGTTAGAAAAATTTTAAAAGGACCATGAAGTTATTGAAAACGTACATCTAAATCTACACCTAACAAGTATACAGTACATATACAGGCAGCCATGTTTTATCACATGATAAAAATCACTATTTAAAAGACACCTCCAAGAAGAGAACAGAAGTCACCATGACTGTCCCTTAGTAAGAGGTTTCATTTATTTTATTCTTTATGTAGTATGTATTAATTATGGGCTGAAAAACTTTTTTTTTTGCGTATCTTTGTACTTTCATATATTTGTATATTTCATGTTCATATGTATTTCATATTTTGTATTTTTGTACACTTTCAAAATTTGTCTTTGTTTCTTAACTTGCTAACCTCTCAAAGTTAATTCAGGTTGACGAATTACTATCAAAAGAACAAAGAAAACACAAACATAAAGATTGTTAGGAACTTTCTTGTTCTTTATGATACGAGATTTTGTAGTCAAAACAGTAATTTGATTCTATGCTCCCAATTGGGTTCAATTTTTATAAAACTTTTTGCTTTTTATTAACTTTTTTTGTTAAAGTAATAAAAAATATACTATTTCAAAAACCGATAGAAAATAGTTGTTCTGCTATGCTTAGTGCAGAGAAAACAGATAATATTATTTAAAAAAAGGAAACTCCTCATTATAAAATCAATTTCCAAAGTGAAAATTGGTTTTAATTAGAATAGGTCCACTTTCATAGGTCATGGTTTACAATAGCCTTTGAAAGTCAAAACACAATTTGGCATCCATCCAGAGTAGAAAGCTAATGGATTATCAGTGTCTGTGTTGAACCTCACCGATCCTTTGACAAACCGCGAGGATGTTTTTGTGTTCAACGATAAATTTAAAAAATTAAGTACAATATTGGAACTTAAAAGTGGTTCGAAAACAGTTCTTGTTCCGCTACATACGGCTAATAAAAATCTAAAGTGAGTGAGTCACCCAGTTACTGAGAACAAGTTTTTTCAGATACATTTCTACAAAGAAATTAAGGTTCACAGGACTGACGTCAGTGCGATGGAAGAGTGATGGTGGGAGGTGACAAAACTTCCTGTCCTGTACAACAGACACTTCCACCGAACACTGCGACTTGCACATCTGCGCGAAGATTCGTAGTTTTTTTTTGCTTAAACACTGAAGAAGTATCACACCTGGAAGACGCCGATGTTACAAGGACCTTCGGTTAAATGACGATGAGTGAGTTTTAATCCATTCCAAATACCGTTGTGTTGAGTCCTTTTTAGGATTCTTTCCCTTGACAATAGATAATTTATTTAATACTGTCTTTTTCAAATTGTATTGAATTGATTTAGTTTTCCAGCCTGTTAAACCCTAGATCGGAGAATGACTTTTACAGGAGTCCTGTTGTCCTTGGTCGGGTTTTTACCTATTTAAACGTACGATCAAAAATCAATCCTTTGTTTTAATAATAAAACTTTTTTTTTTTAATTCCTGCGGTCGATAACTAAAGATCCGAGGTTGTCATCGACCCAATTGACCAAAACAAGTCAAAAACTAATGACGATTGAGAGAAAAACGGGTTTTCCCAGAAAAAATCTGGCCACAGAACTGCAGGAGAAAGGGTAAAGAACGTTATTGTGTTTACAATTTTACTATTCTTACTCACAATTGACAAACAAAAAGACCTTTCACCTCTTTTGTTAGTCTAATACTTATTTCAGAGGATAAACACAATTTGAAAACGGACACATCCAGGAATTCGGTCTAGAATAGAAGGTGATGAAAGAAAATTCGCGTTGCAGCACCCTTACAGTGGGAAAAAAATCTTGTTTTCTTTATTAACAATTTCCTCCTATTAAATAAATCACTGTTCGCGTACTAGGGGCTTATATCATCTTGAAAAACAAACTGGATAAAATTGAACGTAGCTTGTTATAACAATATTTTTTAAAATACTGATTAGTCAATATGATGAATCAACCAAATATTTCGATGTTATTATAAACATAATTCTAACTATAAACATTAAAAACGGCTTTTTGAAAGAAAAGAAAAATACGTCTCTTGCACAAACAAATGATTCTATCAGTGACTAAGTTATTGTGATTTATAAAAGAAAAAATAGATTATTTTTGGTGTCAATTATACACCTTTTCCAAGTACTTTTACTTGTAATTTTTTTTATAATAAACCAAATTGGACTTTTAAAATGAACTAGACGTAGATGTATCATTCGGGGTGTGTAATATATTTCGCCCTTTAAGAGCTATTGTATCCCCTGATGTGTACATAGCACACCGGTGAGTTCTAGAAGAGAAAGATCAAAGAACCTGATTAGTAAGTCCGGTTCAGCAGTTGGATTTCTTCTGTAGTTATGATGTTCTAGAAACACACTCCTGCCTGGAGCCACAGTTGGTTGTGTGTTGGTGACTCCTCTGCTTTGCAGAATCTGCACGTGCAACATTGTTACAAATCTTTTTATGGCTGTTCAGTCCTGCAGTGTCCTGTTAGGATTCCTTGACTTCATTTAGCATATCTAATATATTTAGTATAGTTTTGCAAATCAGCATTATCTTTGACCTAATGAAGTTTGAACTTAGTGCTTTGATGGCTGAGTTATAATAGCAATATTCTTGTTTTTGTACCCTTTGTTCAGATTGAACTGGGTCCATCTCTCAATTGAATGGGCTTCAACTTGGAAGATACTGGTGTATTTTCCCATGGGTTCTGAGTATTGGTTGCCTCATATCTTCCTGCGTTCTAGATCCATTAGTGTTTTTTTCTCATTCTTTTTGTATACATAAATTAGTTTGGAAATTTTGCATGAATGCAAACAACCTGTTCATGTAGTTTCTTGGAGCTATAAGTATCAGGCTATTAAAAATTAACTAAACTAACAACTTCATTATTCTTTCTTTTTTCCTCAAAGGGATCAACATGTGGCAGATTATCCTCCTGTTGTCTTTGGCAGGCGGTTTAGGGGAGGAAAGGAAGCCAGATTTGTGCCAAACTGACACAGCGAGACAATTCGTCCTGGACAAAATTGACGAAATTAAAACCAACACAGGCAAAGAGGCTTGGCAGTACATGGCGAAGAAGAAGCAAGGAGTCGATGGCCAGTTGTTGGTCGAGTTTAGAGAAATCAGCAAGGCTATCGATGATGTCGTCAAGCCTGTATTGCTGACGAGGGTCGTTGAAAATCTTTGGGCCTTTGCGGCAATAGAGCTCGAGGAGAACAACATAAACACATTTTACTCCACTTTTAAAAAGTACCAAAATAAACCTGATTCGCTTATATATAAAGACAGTTGGTCTGATTTCGCGCACAGCTGCTTGAACAATTCACCGAACAAACATTCTGTACAGCAGTCATTGGAAATTATCCAGGACTTGATTTATAATGAAGAAACTCTAACAAATGTGTTCCAGTTAACAATGAGAGAAGCGGTAATGATAACTAATCAACATTGTGTGTTTATTATTGTATGTGCAATTGTTTATATTTACGTTTATCTTCAGAACGAAGACTACTTAAGATGTGAAAAAGATCAATCGGTTCAACAAATTCTTTTTAACTTGTATAATCATGTACAAATAACACAGCTGAAAGCATACGCAATGTTGCAGTTTTCGTGGATGCTATTGAAAGCATATGATAAAGGTACTATCTGCATAAATTTCCTACAAAGAAAAACATTGATTTAACATTTAATTCATTCTTTTTTATTTATTTTTTATTAGGAAACTTTGAAATGGAATCAGAACTATTTAAACATAAATATTTAGAAAGAATGGAACAACAGGCAAACAGTATTGTATATGAAATGCAACAAGCACCAAATGAAATTAAAAAATGTGATCCTTTGATACACAAACAAGATGAAACATATACTGAATTAACTCGTTTCCTTCAGGTAGCTTAGACAAAAAAAAACACTTAATTTCCTTAAAATATTAATAATATAAATATGTTCTAAAGGGATATATAGTTAATGAAGTAGATCTAAACAAAGAAAAAACATGTGCAGAGGATTGCAGTTTTTACAAATACACAAAACAACATAGTTGTTTCCAGGATCAGTTTTGTGCAAAGCAACCTATCTGTAAGGGAAATATTGTTGGATGCAACTTTGTCGATTCCGATATGTGGATCTGCCAAGCGGTAAATTACCCTCCTTGCATTTTAAAGGGCATACAAATTAATGTAATTACTTTCAGCCCGATTTAAGCACAAGGAGATATGACTGGATAGAGTATGAAAATGGACGGAGCCTTGGACAAAGGTCAAGCTGTAAGAGGTCGGTGACCAAGGTAGATTCGTGGTGGCGCTGGCTTTTCTGGCATTGTTCTTATTGTTTCTGCTTCTGTGATGACCCCAAAGATATTAGGTCTCACCGTTTTTTCAACATGCGTGAGGTTACAAGCGATACCACAAATAACAAGTAACTATTGCAAAAATGTTATATCACAACAATTTAATTACTTTTTTTTTTTTTTTTTTTTTTTTTTTTTTTTTGTAGAGTGATAACTGGTCTGAGATTTGTTAAAAAGAATAAAATTATCCATTTACAAATTCAACAAGGCACACTGCTCAAGAATGGAGCAATTAATGTTTCTACAGTAGCATGGCGAGCAGTTGACGATTACAAAACTGATGATGATGGAATAAAGGCCGGAGTAGATTACCACGTTCTCACTTGGGAGCAACGAGCAATCGATTTAGATGACTTAATCGCACCAGAAGGCTATGTCTTAACAGGCGTAAGATTCAGAAGAATAGGAGGCCATTTGAATCTTGAAATTAAAGTCACCAAGATGGATTTCAAGAATGGGACGCTGGTGAATAATGGAAAGAAAACCATGTGGATAGGCAATGACAATACCGACGGTGCACACTACAATCCAAGGTAAAACATACAACTTTAAGTTCTCATGCATAACTGTTGTTTACACAACCGTATTGTAATTTTTAAGGAGACGATTGACAATGACAAATCCAGACAACCCGATTAAAAACTCAGGGGTGACACTTCCTGATTCAGTGCATGACCAGTTTATTGAATTTACAAACTCCGACCTGGATCTCGACGCTGGTCAGACAGTCGTACCTTTCATTGACATGCAGGTTGTAACACCAGAGCCACCAGTCCCTCTTGTTGGTGCAGGGATATACCACAAAGGGAAAAAATACTCAGGAGGGTTCATCGCTCCGAAAGTATTCACAATGGACTACAGTTCACACATATACAAGTTTTTTCCTGAAGTGAATGAAGCTGAATTAATCAATTGAATAAAAACAAAAATAGTTAATTTGATTTGAAATATTTTTTTCTAAAAAGTGCTACTTTACTTTATTTGTGATATATATAAAGACTTGATATTATTTATAAAGCACTTTATTTTGGAGTTGGAGTTTTTTGTCAAATAGTGTACATTCCAACAAGCAATAATTTATATTGGTGAAAGCCAATTTAATGTATAGTGTAATAAAATAAATGTTTTAAGAATAAGAATTGTCTTAATCAGCGTTAACTGTTCTCTTAATATATGAGGTGGACAATAGCAAAGTAATGTGATTAGTTACGCCCTTCTTCTGATATTTATATCCATACCCTGAATTGAAACCTAACTCTGACCCATAAAAAAACTGATATCACTATAAAATCATCGGTGATAGTTGAGTAATTCATGTTGATGACAAATTTGAAAAAAATGTAAAACCGTGAACAAAATTTCTACAGATTATTAATTACTTATTACTTTAGGAAATTGTCAATGGATTAGATTGAAAATATGATAAATTATACATAAATATTAGTGACTTGAAAGAAAATACTATTGATCTATAATCCTTATTTAAGCACAGTTACTTTCTGACACAAAAAATTTTTTTACCATTAACTCTTATCCAGTTAGTCTCTTTGTCCAGTAATGAAACAACAAACAATAGAAAATATGCCATATTTAAACATACAAAGCTATCATTAGTGATTTTATGACTATCTCCAGAAAAACAAATCACTTCACAGACATTAATTAGATATTTAAAAAAAAGAAGTATTAATGGTCCGTCAAGGATATAAAATTAAAAAATAGAAAACATGTTTGAATTTACTTGTCCTTTTTCTCACCAAAAAAAGACATAAGAAAAAGAGTAGCAGATTGCTGTAAGAGAGCTATGAATATAGACTTTGTGTATTCATATACACCAAAAAAAATTATAAATTTGTCAGGCTCAGATGATACCATCATCACCAGAGTCAGGATATACATTATGAAAAAAGTTATTTCCACCATCACTGATAAGCAACTTGATATTATTAGAAAAAAATACCCATTTTTTATAGTCTCAGATTATACAGTCTCTTTGGCACAAAGTACTGATATTTTTAATATCTTTAACCGATTCCCTAGTATGCACAACAATATTTGGGTGGTAATTACTCGTACCGTCCTATGCTCGAGTATATTCTGGCACATTGTTCCATTCTCTTCATACTATGTCCAAATATTTCTGAATTGCCAACTTGACTTTTCTTTAAAATGTAACTTTCCTACATTTAGTACAACACAATGTTATATTTCTTCGTCCCAAGCTATATATTAAGGGAAAAAATATTAAAATTTTTTCCGACAGTCAGGCCAGTCTGAAATCATTACAAAAAGAACTATCAACATCTAGACTGGTAGAGGAAACCGTTGAACTCATTAATAGGATTATTACCAGGTATGAGAATAGGGTAACCCTCATATGAATACCAGCTCATAAGGGGCACTATGGCAATGAGGAGGCGGACAGCCTGGCCAAGGAAGGATCAAATACTGCGTTTGTCGGGCCACAACCGGTATACCCCACTCTTTAAGCACAGCGAAAGAGAGTATAAGTTGCTGGGGCATGAAACAATTCCTTAAAGAATGGAATATGTCCCCCGGATGCAGGCAATCGAAGTAGTTTCTGAAGGAAATCAAACCTAAAGAAGCGAAATGGTTACTCTCTAACTCCAGGAGGGGAATAAGGAGGCTGACAGGTATCCTAACGGGCCATTGCCCCTTGAGAAGACACCTCTTCATAATAGGTACTCTACCAGACCCCTTCTGCCGCTTCTGCGAAACAAAAGAAGAAACGGCTCGACACTACCTTGCAGAATGCGATAGGTATGCTAGGGAAAGATTTCGAAGGAGAGGACATAACCAAAACACTCCCCAGGATAAAATGGTCCACAATCTTGGGGTTTGTGAATTGGTCCAATAGGTTTGTGCAGGACTCGTGAGCCGACCAGGTCCCGGACCTTTTAGGGATGGGGTACAGGCCTACCCAGGCTTTTAACCCCTCAGGTCCTGGTCGCCCGCCCTGATTAATATATATGTCCAAATATTTCTGAATTGCCAACTCGACTTTTCTTTAAAATGTAACTTTCCTACATTTAGTACAAGCACAATGTTATATTTCTTCGTCCCAAGCTACATATCCCAAAACAAGTGAAAGAAATATCATTTCAAACCAAATCGCAGAAAACATTATGCTTCAGTTCATTTCTCACAAACCTATTTTTTATAAAATAGTTCTCATGTTTATTGTAACAATATAAAATAGGAAAAATAGTTGAAATATTTTTTGTAAGTAAAAGAAATAAAGAAGAAAATCTTTCATTGTACTGACACACTAACCCGCAAGACTATTTAGATTTGAGGGAGCAATCACACGGTTAATAATGATAATGTTTATGAATGAGTTTGAACCAATTGCTTGGTGCCACTAGTATACTAGTGCTAGGTACTAGGTAGCATTTACCCTTTGGGCACCTGAAATCTTGTTGCCAAATTTTACCACTACTCTCACCCCAGAGGGACTTACTGGCCTTTTAAATAGCTGAACGACATTAGCAAGGAACAGTTCAAATTTTGGAAGTTCTTTAAGGCAGTCAGTTGGTTAAAAATGTTAATTACTGACTCATTAATAGAGTCTCTAATTGAAGAGATTGAAAAAGGTTACTCTACATATTTAGAATGTACAGTAACAGCTTTTGGTAACATTTTAAGGTACCACTGGACAAAAACTGTTCAATGCAAAGTTGTCCGGCAAAAATGCAGAAGCAATTGGCCTATTATATTGGACACTGTATAGCATCGGCCAACTAATCCCGCTGCGAGGCCATAACAACTACATACTTCAAATACCACCAGTATGCGCATGATCACCAAATGGGATAGACGTAGAAAATTGGCATCGCCTTGTGTACAAAGAGAAAATTTACAAACCAAATTGACAAAATTGTCATCTTTATTATACCACACATTGTTTCAATTGAGAACTAATGAATTGAAATTAGAAGCAGGAAGAATACAAGCATGGCTTTCAATGTCGTACCAAATAACAACAAAGCTATTATTTTGTGATGACGTCGATGCGACCTAGAGAGAAATGTAAAATGATCACTATACAGTGCAGCTGCAGCACCGCAGCTATGTGTGCACAAACCAATCTGATGCTGATGATGAACAGTGCAAAAAGCCTCATCTGTGCATTGAAACTAAACTATTTTGCTGGCTGATGTTAGGCAGACTGACCAATATAATCAGCCACTTGCTTCAGCATTTTTGAAGCTGCATTCAACAGCTTTTGTCCATCCAGTTTATACTTATAAAATGTTACCAAAAGCTATTTGGTTTGCTAATAACCATGAGTAAGTAAGTAAAATAATTCCTAACATACAGGACAATTTTTTTTTTTTTTTTTTTTTTTAATACTGTCCTTAATTAGAAAACTAAGTGCTATACTGGGATGAAAACCCTTCTAAAACCATCATTTTGTGTGTAATAATGCAATTTAAAACTGACCTGAACTCGAAGTGGATGTATCATTATTAACTGTAGCATATTTGTCGGAGGGAGAACATCAGTCAGGGCCCGCCCTTGCATATTAACAGCTTGGCACATGAAGACTGCCAAGTATCTGTGAAGAGGTAAATGAAAGGACACCTGGTAGTTCTCAACCTGTAAAAATTAAAGAAAATAAGTAAGTGTATTTATTTTTGGATTTATTTATTGCTTTTGAAAGTATACGTACAATGTTAGGTTGGGTCATGTTAATTGCATCAAACCAATCCTGGAGGGCATTGAGAGCGGCAGTGAGAACCCTATGGGTTAAATCGACACTTGAACTGTCCTTGAGGTGATTCAACAATGCCCACATTGGATAGGCCGATGCTTCCAGTTCAGCAGAAAATGCTGCATAATATGTATTTGGTTCAAATTCTACGTGTTGAGATAATTCTCTTTGATTGACGTTCATCCCTATAAATTATTAATGATTACAATTAATGCGATGCTGTTAATTATCATTTATAAAAATTTTACCTTGGAACATAGAAAGAAATGCGAACCACATTTCTAAAAGGTTGTCATCACTCATGAATTGGACTGCAACAGGTCTATGAGAAAGGACATTATTTAAATCTGACACAAGAGGCCAGTAACAATGTTCTTTCATGACTTGACGGCCGCAGTCAACAACGTAATGAAAGTTTTTGTCAGCATCTGCACAAAACAGTTATTTAATCTTTTTTAATAAATAATACAATTATTGGAAAAGAGTAGAAAAAAGTACCGTGTAATATATTTGGTATTAGTATTTTGAGCATCATATATTTCAGGCTGATGACCATCACATGAAGTAAGCTGAGCTTTTCGACCATCCGTAATGCCAGGGCCTCGTTTGAAAAAAGTTGAACGCTGACATGTACAACTCTGTTTGAAAGAGTGTCAGGATCGGAAGATTTCTCAAGCATCATTGAGATTCTAGAGTAGTGAAGGACAAATGCTTGTGTAAGCGCTTCCTAAAAAAATAAAAAATAAATAAATAAGAGACATTTTAACAAATGAATTGCAACAAGAATTATAATAATAATAATAACAATTCAAACTAACTTTGTAGTCTGGATCAGGCAGCATGTTGAGCAAAAGACAAACCACTTTTTGGGGAAATTCGAACTTCACAGTCCAAAAGACAAGTTCCTCAAGAAATGTTCGATGAACTAATACTTCTTGAAGGGCAGCTATATCTAAAATTTGAAAGAAAAAACTGAATACCTTCCATAATAGTATACATTTTTTATTTGGTGATTATTATACAAACGACAATTGTAGCTATTGTTTATTTGTATTATTGGTCATATTTATATTATAAATGTTTTTTAATTTTTTTTTTTCATGGACACAGCACTAACTATGGCCAGCAATACACTCAGAATCATCAGAAATATGCCATGAGAAACCAGCACATGCTAGCACTCAGTGTGAGGGATTGAGGGGCAAGGAGGTCTCAGAGGTCTTGAGATGCCATGTTCTTGGGATGGGAATGTTTTTTTGAGAGGGCTTGGTTTGATAATAAAAGGAATGGTCAGATCATTGTAGATAGTGAGGTTAGTGATGTAGTAAGGAGCTTTGGCGATTTGTCTGAGAATTTTTGATTGAAAGGATTGGATGCGGTGGATGTTGGATGGCTGGACAGAACTCCATAGTTCTACTCCGTACGTTCAAAATGGTCAAGTAAACATTGACTCTGTATGTTGACGGTCAAGATGGATTTCGGTCCTAGAAATCATTATAATTGTTCAAGTCTTCTGTTAAGCTGTTGTTAGGTATTTTGTGGGGATTCTATATTAGTCTGTTGTCTAGGTGTAGTCCTAAATATTTGACTTGAATAGAAATTGGTACTCTTTGTTGTGTAATACTGTGGAGGGCAAGACTGTTTTTTCAATATAGAACATACAGTGAGTACTTTTTTTTTTTTTTTTTTTTTTTTTTTTGCCAGTCTTTGTGTTCTTGGATGTTGGAGGTAATCTAACCCTACCCATTGATATAACGGATTTTTTGAGTATGATGGGTATTAAGCATTTCCATCTTTCGAAGATTTTGAAAATGCAGGAATGGGTCTGTAGGAGTATATGTGGTTGGGAGGGTTGTGAGCTTTAAGAATGAGAATAAAGACAGAATATTTCCATAAGAGAGGAAATAGTGAGTGGCTCGCTTGTAAGAATGGCATTGTACATTATGATTAAGAAAATTATGGCCTTTTGATGGAGGTTTTGAATTATAGAAACGTTCAAAGGTTACAGCACAGGTACTTGGTGTATTAAAATATACAAATAAATAAATATTAATAAATAAAATATTAATCTTTTTAATACCACATAGAAATAAATGTTTCTACTTTCTTATTTTTATGTTGCTATAAATTGTATTTATTTTCAATTCAATTTACACACTATGGCTTTTATTCTATTGACATTACTTATAAATATATTAGTCAGCATGAATAAAAATATGCAAGTATTTATATGCATAAAAAAAAAGATGAACAGGATTTTTTCTAAAGATATTTCATTTTCCTGTTTTAGCTTCTGCTTATAAATATTTAAATTATGAAAAAAAACAGGTTTGGAATTTGTCTTTTAAATGACAGAAATTAAATTAACTACTTTATAAATAAGAGTTTTTAATTATGTAATTTTAATTAAATAGTGTATCACATGATAAACAATTATCGCGTTAAAAATAAATTGTTTACCTTTGTACTCTGGCATTGGAGCAGGGTTTGGGAGGGATTTAACCGCCTCTTCATATATTCGTTGGCTCTCTTCCATATATTTCGCAAATTCTGAACCATTAACAAGAAGACTGCCATCCGTCCTTTGCTTGTAAATCTAAAACAAAATTAATATAGTGAAACAAAAGCGTCACTCTAAAAAAACTTTTTGTAACTGTAAACAATGTAAAATTTACCGTCGGATTGGTCAATGCGCTTGTCATAATTCTTCTCATCGCTGCTCCTAATCCACTCAAATCATGAAGCATTGTGAGAAAACTGTCCGCATCTTGAATTGCAACAATATGTGCGTCGGGTACAGTGGATTTGCTAAAATCAATTCAAACAGTTTATTACATCATCTTAGTTTATAAATAACCACGGCTGAATCTTGAATCCGTTTATTTGTTCAAAAGTATTTTATCTAAATGACTTAATGTTTAAACAAATTCCATAGAGTGAATTTAATTTTTGGCCAAAGATTACACTTGCAATGTATATTTATAGAAATGATTTGCAAAATAAAAAAATAATGATTTGCTTGCTATTCCACTTCCAGCAAGTAAAATATTTGTATATTGTGAATCTTTAACAGCCACTATATTAAAAAAAAAAAAATCTACAAAAGTAAATTAAAATTAAACCAATATTAATTCTGCCAATAAAACACCTAAACTAAATTATTATTTATTTAAATTTAAAAAAATCTCGCACCTGCTTTCTCTTAAATGCTGTATTAGTCTCAGTATTATCCTAGGCATTATCCTTTTCGTGACACACATCAACTCGTTAGGAACCGCCATTTTGTTTACCTGCGCTTTAGGACCATGCCGATCACAGAAACTACAATACACCAATGTTAATACATGAGGAATATTTATCATTTTGTAATAAAGGCGAATGTCAATACCCTGTTTCTTTCATAACTGATGTATCTCCGCAGTCGCAGGCACCTCCTGCCTGGCTCCTGAACATGTTGAAGTCATGCCCGTCGTGGTCGCCCCTTTGAAAACATTCAGCGCACAGTGACATGCAAGGTGATATACCACAGGTACGACAACGGTATGCCACAAAATTTGCGGTCCATACCAGCCCACATGTTGTTGCATTATCGTACCTTCGTACTAAAAATCAAAAATGAAAATACCATAATTTTTTTTTACTTGCTTCAGTTAGCATATAATTATTAATTAATACTAAGGCAAAAAGAAAATTTATCTAAAACTACTCTTTTGTGAAAATTTAATATGTGATAATTATACTCCCTAATAAACCTTTTTTTGCGAGTTAATTTTTTTTTTTTGGTAATAAAATTTAATTTAATCTAATTTATTTTGGTATTATCCAATCATTGTTGACAGATTTTATCACTTTGTCAACAAGGACCCATTGTTGAGAGTAGTTTGCTATACATTTTTCATTGTCTATTTTCTAATATATTTATTTATTTGATCAACAGAGCAGGTTTAAAAGGGCTGATATTGGTTCAATAAAAGGCACAAAATATCTTGTAATGTTCTCAAGTTCAAAAACACAATTTTATGGAACTGTGCGCTCTTATTATTTGTAAAAAAAGCAATAAATTTATTTATAAAAGATTTGATTAATTTTTATTCAAATAGCTTGGCCATGACAAACCTTAGGATTAGTGGTCAGTCAGTCCTCCTTGACCTACATCTGGATAAATCTGGGATGGTTGATTTGTTTAAAAAAAATAATAATAATAATTTGGCAATTAATGTTCATACCGAAGTTCAAGAACTGCTTTTAAAAATCTGCCTACTTGTCATTTTCTTTGAGAAATTTCTCTATAATTTTTCCATAAATCATGCATTTTTAAATAAATTATACAAAATATTATAAAAGCCTTTAAAAACACTAACTAATAAAAATTGTTTACTGTGATGTCAATAATGCTTACTAGAGATACAAGACTAAAAAGTAAATAGCCATGTATAAGGGTCATTGCCCCTTTCACAAGAGGACTTGTATTTCTTTAATTCATGAACTTTATCAATCTGATCTTTCACAAAAATTAAAATATGTTTTAGACTAGGTTATATAAAATATATTGTTAAAATTAAAATGGGTATAACCATGTTGACAGAAAAATTAACAAATGTATTTTCTTTTATTTGGCAACCTGACAAGAAGGATGATGTAAGCAATATTTTTTTTTTCTGTACTTGTACTTCTGCAGTTAGTGCTTTATTTAGCATGTTCCGGGTATGAGAAGAGAGCTCAAGTTATAATCTTTACATCATGGTCAAATTGGAAATTTTCCTTTTTTTATCATGCACCACAAACTTTGTCTAGACAAAGCCTAAATTTTAGCAATAAAAAAATTAATTGACAGCAAATATCACTGGTTAAATCAATTTCACAGAGTCAGGTGTCACAACAGTAACTTTCTTGAATTAATTTTTAAGTTTTACGTTACATAATTCTTCCCTTTGTGTAAAAGGAAAGGGTATGGATCAATATTTTACAGGAACAGTTGAACTGTTTTTTAAAGGTTTTAATACTTGATTAGCAAACCATTTAATATATATGATCATAATGATGGCATGCATGAATTTTATTAATTTAATTTGATTGTGAAATACAACAACAAAACACTGAACTGGAGGATTAGAAGGCATACAGCATATTCAAACATTTTGAATGCAATTTCCAAACATCTACCCCTAGATCCCAGGACAGGAATTAAGAAAAATTATCAAACAGATGTCATTAAAAGAAACAAACAGGACATGACCTTCTACAGATCGAAATACATATACACCCCAAGACATTTTTAGAACAGAAAATAAGATTACAAATATGACAGATTAAATAAGATCTCTCATGGCAATTCACGATTTGAAAGGTAATACATTTCAGAATGCATATGAAGAAGGAGGAAGAAACTTGTAAGCTTGACAGGGCCCTCAATACCTAAAATAGAATGATATCAATGAACATAGGATGTAAAGCAGAAAAATCGACTTCAGACTGGAGAGAAAGTTTTCAGACAGAGAAAATATTTTGGGATCTACACAGCTTAGATAAGTGCAATATAGAGAGTACAATAAAACACCAATGAATTTTACAGTCCTGTATAAATTGAAACTCCTTAATTTGTATGATCATTTAATTTTTGGGAATTTTACTACTCTATATTGAACAGCTTCTTGGATTTGGTTTTGATTTGGTCATTTTCCAGATCTTTGAAAGTTGTGTGAATTAACACCACAGACATCTGGCCAATACGTTCCCCTATTTTATCTAAAACTCATTCCATTTCAAATTATCAGTTTAGCTTGCCAAATCTATATATAAAAATGAAAATTATTGTAGACTTTTAAACCTGCACTTCTATATGTAGTACAGACATTTGGCTGACAAGAAACTAAACTAAAAAAACTCCTTTATCCAAATTCCAGTATGAGATTTTGTCTATCTAAAAGAAAAGTTGAAATGAGTTTGTACAACTGTGTTTACCTGGAAAAAAAACCATCCTTTATAGAGCTGCACAAAGATCATCTTATATCCCGTACTTTTCAATAATTCAAAATTACACAAAATTACACTTTGAAAAAAAAAAAAAAAAAAAAAAAAAAAAAAAAAAAAACAGAAAGCAGGGCAGTGCTATGAAATATCTAATGGTATGAAATAGAAAACTATTCATGAATTAACATACTAAATGTAATATATGAAAAATAAGATAGATATTCCCAGCAAGGGATTCTGTTTTTATTGAAAAATTCAAAAATAAATATTTATTTAAAAACTCGAACTATATAAATTTCAGGTGTTACTTCTAATTCTGAAATCAAAAAACTCCAAATTCTTGAAAAAAAAAGTTGTGGATAAAGCAATATCAGCAACAACAGCAGACACTTATGAAGTGTGTCTTATCATCTAAACTATAAAAAAGACATAAAAGTTTCAATTACTGCCAAAATGTAACAAAGAACGGAAGAAAAAGATCACATTAACCAGCTGAAAAAGACGCCAACTCATCAAAAAGAAGCAGTGACATAAAAAAATCATTTGTGGCTGTGATAACAGCCTCGGTTCAAAAATAACATTTTTTAACTTATAATGTCTTCAAAAAAACAACGCAAAAGAAAACACGGTAAAATAGCCAAATTCTTAAATGAAATGTACTTTACAAGGTACAGACTTAAAACAGTCAATCTGATTATGTATAATAGACACTTGTAGTGTCTAATGGGAAAAAAAAGAGAAATTAAGTCACAATTACTGCAAAGACTGTTAAGACAGACAATTCCATTCTAGAAGCCAGAGATTTTTTTACAGAAGAAAAAAATTACAAAATTTAAAATGACATCTTTAACATGATAGAGAGGTGGATCCATAATGTAAAATTAAATGAAAGCAAAGGGAAAAACAGAAAATTTCTCCCTAGCAACAACATTGGGACATACACCCTCAATATTCCAAGCAGAGATTCATGCATTAGACCCATGTTCAAGATATAATTAGGAGGAGATTTATTTTCAGACAGATCAGCAGCAATAATGGATTTAAAATACTTTAACATAAAATTTAACGTACTTATGTTATAATGTAACATACGTACTTTGCATCAGTGTAATTGAACTCTTTGTAAGGGGTATAAATCTCTTAGACAGTGTTAAAATTATGCCTTCGGCTGGTCTGGGAAGCATAAGGAAAAAATAATCAAGAGACCAGACATGATGGAATTGAGGAAAAAAAAATGACTAGATGACAAACTCACAACGAAGAAATTAAACACATCACAGTATGATTGTAAGTGGTAGAGAACTAATTCAAACAGGAATAAAGTGCATTGTGAAAAAATTTAATCCTGGCATTGCTAAAATACTACTTGGAAATTTGTAAAGCTGTAGCTGAAACAGATGCCAACTCATCAAAACAAAGCAGAGACTTTAAAACAAAAAATTATTGTTAAAAAAAGTCTCTCCTTAGCAACAACACTAAAAGCCTCGTTATTACCAGCAGAGATTCATCCAACTCTGAGGACCATACAACTGACGTATGCATTAGTGTAATCAAACATATTGCAAGGTGTACAAAAGTCTTATATCCAGACTGTGTTAAAATTATCCCTCTCCAAACTGGTCTGCAGTGAAAAAGACAAGAAATAAATAAATAAAGTGACTATGACGGGATTACCTGATAAATCTCACAAAGGAAGGTATACAAAAGAAGAAAGTATCAACATCACACCATATAATGTAAGTGATAGATGGATTTCGAACAGGAAGACAGTGAAAGTGCATTTCTGTTCGGCAGGCAATTGAGGAAAATTCTAACCCAGCTGAAACAGATGCCAATTCTGATAATCCCTTATAGAAGGACAGCAAAATGGTCCAGTTCCTAAAGAAAAACATACTTTCCAAGATAAAGACATGAAAGAGTTAAAGACACCTGGTTAGTTCACAGGAAATACCAATTTTTTTTTTTAAATTTAGTTCCAGGCTTGTTCATTTTAGTCGGATGAAGGTGATAACCGTTCAAGGGCTTCCATGATATGCTTGACAATTGTGATATTTAAATTTACCCAACTGAGCTGTACTTAAAATACTATTTGGCTGATATTACTTAAAGAGTTAAAGACACCTGGTTAGTTTGCAAAAAATACCAGGATCAAACAATAGACTTTTTTTATTTTGTTCCACATTGTTCATTTTAGTAGGATGAAGGTGATAACCATTCAAAGAGCTTCCATAATATGTTTGATAATTGTGATATTTAAATATACCCCACTGTGTTATACTTAAAATATTATTTGGCTGATGTTATTTTAGTCTATTGTTTTTTTAAGCTAGAAAAAATTGGTAACGATTCAGTTTTTTAATGTAAATATTGTTTAGTCTGAATATATGGATCATTTTGGTCTGCCATGATTAACCAAATTATAGATTGGACTTTGCAAGCTCAAGAAGAAATCTCACTGTACTGTTGATTTAGCATTAAAAGTTATAATAATAAAAAAACGATAATGATTGATAAGAATAATTTGTAAAATTGGTTCAAATTGTGTAATATTGCAATTGAAAGACGTTGTTGGGGGAAAATAATTGGCATTGGAATAAACGGATATAAAAGAATTCTTGTTAATAAGAGCCGGAATTGTGTACTTTTCTGATGATTAAAAATTTTAGGTAAGATGTTGTAAGGCGACTTCTTTTGGCCAACTATGATTAATGCATGATTTTGTTCCACTATATTTCGTGTTAATTAGAACTAGAAAAATTCCAATGTTAGATATAGAAGTAAATTGTCTGTAGTGCAGATTCTCGGACTTTCTTTTTGAAATTGATCGTATACAATGTTGTGCTAATTTCGGGGGTGAATGACATTCCCCGACGACCTCCGATTAAAATAAATATCCAAGTAAAGGAAAGGGGAGATAAACGTGGAATTCCCTGGGGTTTCCAAGCCCCTAGGATAGTTTAAAACGGGTAAAAACATAAGATGAGAGATAAAATGTGTTTTTGACACTTGAAAAAATGGTATTAATGGAGTATTATAATCCGTACTGACCCGTGCTTGAAAATTCGTCCGGTGTGTTTCCACCTGCCATAAGCCATTTGCACCAATCAATCGTCTCCCAATCGTCGATGGCTTTGGCAGGATTCAGGACACTGTCCAGTATATCTTCCAGGCACCGACCGGGGTTGCTGTTGAGGCAGTCCTGCAGGACGAAGGCCGCCGCTCCCCTTTTGCCTTTCTTCATCAGGATCACACCGGGAGACGAGTCCATTTTTTATATCTCACTCGATTAAATAAAATTGTCCCGAATCAAAAACTGCACCCATGAAAAACGCGATTCACCGTCCTTTCCGCTGCCCGCACCTGCATTTTCCACAGACGAGGCGAGGTTATCGGAGGGGTGACAAGGCCCGTCCACGGCCGTCCTCGCAGCGATAACGTTTGTATTTGCCGTCGAACGAATAAATGCCTATCCGGGCCAAAATATTCGGCATCATTTTTAAACTGGGTACATGGCACAGAACGGGATCGTTTTTCCAATTGAATCGCCTTCTTAGCTTCAAGTCGAAACTCTCCTAGACCCGTCCGCTCCTCCTCGGTATACTGTCAATTACGGCTTTGTTTAACCTTCGGAATCGGACACTTACATTGCACCAAACTTCTTTTTTTATCTATATCCACTAGGTACGGGCACGAAATTATTAAGACGAATGAACTCTGGATAACTTCTCTGCAGAAGGCACTGGTCGTGCTTCCATGATCTGCTTACGGTGAACGAGACGAAATGACCGTCACGTATTTAGCGAGGGTAAGCGAGAGAAAAAACATACCCAGAAAAATAAAACTCTTTTTAAAATAGTCAACGTTTCAAAATATAAAACTGTAAGAATCAAAAGCGACGACTCATCCGTGAAATAGCATAGATGTGCCGCCGTAAATTGAACGCCCGACCCTTGACATTCTTCGTCGGTCTAAACGGGCGACCAGGAAAATAAGGACATACAAGAAATAAAATTTTCCTGTTCAAAACATATTTAATTTCATTTTTCAATCCTTCTTTTTCTTAAAATTTACCATCAAACCTGAAGCAACTTTATTTTACATTAAACTCGAAAAAGTCATTCTTTTAAATCTGAAGATACAGTAGTAGTAACAATATTTATTCATAAAATTACATTAAAAAAAATTAAACAGAAAAACACATTATCTGCTTTGGTTTACAATAATTTGTTGGATTTGTTCTAACCACTCCTCACGAATCAATTTTTTTTTTTCTTATGGCCTTTATTATCACCAATATGCCATAACTCTATTATAAGGATAGCCGGGCTCCCTATTTTTTCTTCTTTCTTAATTTCTTCCTTATTTATTTTATTTTTTTAACAATTACACTTAACAAATCAAATTTTAATTGTAAGCTTACTGTATTGTTTTGTAATCTGGGTGTTGTAATATAATTGCTGCTATTGCATCTTTGTAAACTTGTTTTTTTTCCTTTTTTCTTTTAAGTGACCGGTTGTTGAATAATTTTTTGAATTTGTTCTGACCGCTCCTCACTAATCCAATTTTTTTTTTTTTTTTGGCCTTTATTATCCATACATAAGCCATAATACAACTGTTAGGATAAGCTGGGGCTCCATATCTTTTCTTCTTGTTTAATTTCTTTCTTATTTATTTAATTTTACTTCATTTATTTTAACAGTTACTCTTAACAAATTATCAATTTTAATTGTAAACTTGATATATATATTTTGTAATCTGGGTGTTGTAATTACCCAAATAGTAGAAAGTAAAAATACAGCTTCTATTGTATCCAAACTTACTGATAAAACTTTTTAACAATCCAAACATCTTTTCAACTACGTTTTTTTCCCTTTTTAAAGCTCATTTGTAAGTATGTTGGGTTAGGATGAAGGGTCACTGGATTTAAACCCAGGACCTTTACCGTACAGTGATGAGTGCTGTGTCAACACCTAAACCGTTGCAGCCACCGACACCCCTTGACAAACCTTTAAAATTACAAAAAACAATCAAATAAACTCTTCCGTTATTTATTTTAAAGAAATATATTTTAATAAATAAAGAAATATTTTTATCAAAAAAACATTTTCACAATAGCGCTAGGCCCCTTTACAGTGAGTAGAAAAACATAAAATAATTAACAACAAAAAGGTTACAACATATAATGCAACAAATAATAATTAATAAAGAAAATTTGTGTCATATTATCATAGATGAATATGAATGAAAGAGAATATATATAAAGGAAAAATATAAAAGAGAAAAAGATCATGTTATGTTAGATCAACTCATGTATTGTTTGCAAAAAAAGTTGAAAGCTTTATGCCCGAAAGCTCTGAAGGGAGTGGGCCGACCTAATATGCCACAGAAGGAAATTGCATATCTCTAAATGAATCGTTCATAAAGGTACAAATAGGGATTTAAGTCCCCTTGCACGTACATATTTAGAAATAAATTGCTTATAGTTTGATAAGCATAGTAAAATTAAAATAATTGCACAAATAATAATGACATAAACATAATAAAATATTAATTATTTATAATTGAATGATGAAACCCCATTATGAAAGAAAAACAGAAAAAGAAAACAAGACGGCAGGGACCTGAAACAAGCCAGCGAAAAACCAGAGGGGGTTCCTGGGGAAATAAATTTCACTCTTGACTCTGAAGGATAAGACTAAAGTTTATAGGAATGTCGAAGGCTTGGGATATGAATGGTGTTTGGATAAGTAATGTGGGAAAAAGTTGATCGATATTGAGGGCATTTATCTGACTGAAATTTAAATATGTATATTAATAACTCTTAAGTTTATAAGTTCTTAGAATGTTAAGGTGAACGTGTTAATATAGAAAGAAATAGGATCTCTTGGTTTAAGATCATTACAGTATCTAAGCATTTTGAAGGTGATGGGCAGATTGGGAGTCTAGGAAAGAGTTAAAATAGTGTAATGATAATAAGCTGAGTGTCATCAGCATAAAGATGAAATTGGGAGAAAATAAGAACTAATGGAAGACATTTAAAAACATGGAAACACGTAAAAGCTCAAAAATAGTGCCTTGGGGTACACCAGCTAAAATTGAGAGAGTAGTGGATATAGAACTTGAAGCTTTAACATTCTGAGTTTTGCCAGACAAATTGGAGGAAATGAGATTAGTAGCAGCAGAAGAAAAACTGTGATGTGTTTACAGAACCGACTGCACTAGAAAAATCAAGTAGAACAACAATAGTACACTTTATCATCAATGCTTAAGTGTGTGTAAGTTTGGAGTTAAAAATAAGGCCAGATTTTCAATTTTAAGCAAAAAATTAATAAGGGAGCCATTGATATGAGGGGAAAGGCAATCTGTACTAATAGGTTTATTCAAAATTAATGACTGGGAACGCTTTAAAAGAACGTTATTTCTTGACCATTGATTGAGAGAATGGTCACACCCCAGGATCCAAAGCAGAATTATTTCTTTCTCGTTCTTTTGTTTTTTTCCGGGAATTTCTTGGATATGCGGAAAATGTAACATGCAAAATGGCTAAGATGGTGCTGAGCAAGACAGAACAAACAACAAATTCGTGATTAATTCCACAGATAATTTTTTATTATGATGATTAAACTGTTTTTTATTAAATCTGAAATGAGACTAAATGTAAAATGATAAGACTCAGCAAGCAATTCATGACATAAAAAAATTAAGATGCAAAATAGCTTTATTTGTACAAAGTATTTGTACTTATAAGAAATATAAGTACAAGTAAAATATAATAATAATATATTATATAAGTAATAAGTACTATATTTGTACTTATAAGAACCCCTTTCTCGAATCCAATTTATCAAGAATCAACACGTTTAAAAATTTGTGACTCAAAGTATATAAGTATTCCATTAATTGGACATAATGGCTCATTTTATTTCATAATATTTTAATATATATAAGTTGAATGAATCATTTTTAGAAAAGAATATTGCCATGACTTACATATTAAGAAAACCAGACCCCTCAGAATTAGTTCCAGTTTATTGGGAAAGGTATTATTGGGACATGTGGGTACAACTTATCAAAAACGACAAGGATAATTTTTTATATTATTATTAAAAGAATGTACAAAGACCTAAAACCTCAGCTTGTCGAAAAACCATGTGTTTTTTCCGGCTTTATACCTGAAACATAAGACAAACTTATTAGTTGGACGTCGCAACGTATTTTCTACAGGTGATACCTACAAACTTGATCACAATGCTCCTTGGTAATAAGAAAATGTGAATTTTTAAACCATTAATAATTATTCTACGTGATAAAATGTTACATGATAAACAAACTATTATTTTTTCATTGATCAAATTTTACAGTACTTATTGTACCTATGGTTGATCAATAAGCATAACTATAGAGTTATTCATGAAAAATCCTTTATAAATTCTTAGGTACTTAACACATTTGTTACAGCACTGATTTGTTATTTAAAAAAAAAAAAAAAAAAAAAAAAAAAAAAAAAAAAAAAAAAAAAAAAATCAAATTAAAAAAAATATCTAAGAGTTGACAAAGTAATGGCTTGTGATTTGATTCCAAAAATACCCTGAACCCTACAACGAGCTTCAGAACAGAGATGTATCCTTCTGAAATGACTTTGGTATATGGGGAAGGGTTAATGCGTCGTTCCAGAACGACAGCTGTAATGAACGTGTAAACTTTTACATCTAAATATAAAACTAATTAATATAAACTAAGTACAATAGTGACAAAAAAAATGTTTGTACTTTTCAAAGTTTCAGCTGTATAAAGAACCGCAGAAGCCTGACAAGGACAATTTCTTTTGCATCGCTGTGTTTCCTAATGCCTACTCAAGGCAGTGGACTTTGAAAGGATGCTTGTACAAAAATGAAATCAGATGAAAATAGATCTTAACTTACTTTTCTTCAAGCTTCACCCTGACCCAAAAGCGGGCTTTCTTTTTCTTCATCGGGTCTTTTAGGTCTTTAGGGGTGACCTTCTGCTCTGGTACGATATCGGCTACCGTGTACCTTGTGGGAAGGAGGTGATTGTAGTTCATGACCTGGGAAAGAAAAAAGTAGTCAGAAATATTATAAAATAAACAAAAGTACTTTTAACTACCTTCAAGAAAGGCTTGATCTTGGACCTCTTCTTGATTTTAGCCTTGCTCATCCTCTTGTGTACCTTTCTTGGGTACCTGTCGATGCCAGCGATCAAAGCATGGCCATATTGTTTATCTTGAGTCCCTTCATCGTAGGACTTGAGTACGATCGCCTTTCGTCCTGCGTACCTTCCGTTGAGGACGAGGACGACTCTGTTTGCTTTCATAATCTTCCCCATCTTGGATCTGTCAATAATTAACTAATGAATTATCGAATAAAACAAAAACAGTTCCGAATTGTCCTCAAATAAATAAATACTTTTAAAAAGTTATTTGTGAATTATCTAATGTACGTTTTTCAAAGTTTTTCTTATAGGATCTCGTTAGACACGAGAACTTGATAAAGGACGTCCTATTAGTTGTCTAATAGATTTATGGATAAAATTAATTAATAATATACCCAAAAAAGTCGAAATTACCGACTGTTATTGAAATTACTACATATTGTTGGATTTCTAAGCTCGGGTCACGAGACTTAAAAACACCGACCTGATTCAGGTTAGCCGCTGGTTGAATCTCGGAGAATTAAAATTTTACAAGACAAACATACTTTATTCAATTTATAAAAGTTTTTTCGTGACCAAATTTCCATTTTGAAAAGTCCAAAAGGAGCTTCGACAGAAAATACAACACGATTAGAACAGATAAAAAAACGTACTTACGGAAGGACTACGAAGCGTACCAAAGAAACAGACACTGCCACAGCCAGCAAGCGAGAGGTCAGCAGGACACGACGAGCTTGTCACTGCTGCCTTGAACCGCCTAAAGCTCATTGCAGTGGAACGATTCAACAGAAATTGAAACAATAAAAATAAATTACTTTCCGTTTAAAACAATATTTTCTTTTTATTAAATTAATCTTAATTATTTAAAGGAGAATGTTTGATAAATAATATTATGTTATTAAGAGAAATCAGAGAAGGTTCCCATTCAAAATATTGTGGCGTAATTTCTAATTTGTCAACTTGTTCCTCCTTATTTTGAAGTCTCATTCGCTCATAAGTTGATCATTTCAAGGTAAACTGGCTTTAACAAATGTAAAATATTAATTTTGCACGGAAATGAAATGAGAATTTTTATTTTCGAGTATCAAGTTGTTGACATTTTGTAAATTTATGAGGTTTCGTGTTTTTCCCCAAAACAACAGTTTTATTCTTATTTTTTTATAACTAAATTTGAAAGGTCTAACTAGGCATAATTCCTGCAGTCATGATCATTCAGTCCAGCAGGACCCACATGACTGAATGATCCAGGTGTCCAAAATTTAGTTAATTATCTATATGAAAATTTGGCTTGGATGGCCATCTGACATCTGATGTTACAATTGTTTAGTAATTGTCTTTCATGACCTCATCAACGCGTTGTAATGTAGATTAGGACCTAGTCGTGATAAAAAGGCAGACTGCTGACTTTAAAGCCCGGTTCACATGGAGGCGATCAGTATGAGGGTCGCATATGCGAGACCGGTATGATATACAAAAAGTATCCAGGCGACTAGATTCAGTCACCTCCCCCTACTTCTCTTCTCGATTCTCTTCCAAGCAGTTTAAAGACCTAGATGTTGATTCTGTCATATTTTTGTAATGTACGAATTAGAAGCTGTAGCTCTTTGGCATTTAATTAGACAAAAAACAAGTAAAAGCAGAGAAATGTGGGTAATTAACCATGCATTTTCTTTCTTAACTTAATTCACATAATCCTGGTCACTGTTGTTCCAAAGTGTGGGATATATTTGAACTAATGAAATTCGTTTGTCATTATAAAAAATGTCACATATCCATTTCTTTTTAAGTTTCAAAGAAGGTGTATGAACAAGAATTGGAATGATCTCTCATTATCTGAATGACCACATTCCTATGTTACATCGGTCTCCTTGATACCAGTCTCTCATACCGATCGCCTCGGTATGAACTGGGCCTTAAAATGTTTCACATCAATATCCTGATCCAAACTCTGGTAACCATTTAGAACATGCCTGTACCATTTGGATTTTTAGAGACGTCTAGAGGCTCTCCCATGAGAAGATAAAAGTCCAGAAAAGAAGGTTCAGTGGAAAAATGCTAGCAACATCTGATCCTGTAGGATCTATTTGAAGTTTATGTAATTGTTTATATGTCAGTACTTCTGATGTCAGATGCTAACCTAGGGTGTTAGATTTGACAAACAGATTTTCTAGTAGGCTGTCTAATTCCTGAATTTGATAGTAACTTTCAGGACAACCTCAAGGCAGGAGAACATATATTTATGAGATCCTCTATCAATTTCTGATCTGCAGTCATTTAATACCAGTATCGTTCACATGGAGAAAATGTTTGAATGGCTATCTTAACTGTCAAATCTGACAATCAGTTCAAACTGACTTTCTTGACCACCTTAACACTGTACTTTAGAGTACAAGAACCTAGTTTTAAAAAAAGGTACTGCTGTATTTAAGAATATGTGGACTATGTATGGACTCTTGGCTCTCTCTTATGTTGAAAAGGGCCCAGAAAAAAAGTTTCAATTGAGATATGATAGCCTAGGCTGCCCAAATATTGGATTTGACAATAATTTTAAGTAGTGACTTTCACGATCCTTCAACTCTAAGGCCCTCAAGGCAGACAAACCTTCCTTATGAATCCTCGATCAATTTCTGGTCTGTAGTCAAATAAAGAAAATCTGCTGGAACTTAAAGCATGTTTGAATTTACCTAAACAGTAATATATAACGAGGTTCCATCGCAAAGTGGTGTAAACCTTAAAAGAAATATTGCCAGTATTGTTCAAATAGAGAAAATGTTTGGGTGACTGTCAGATCTGACACTCATTTCAAACTGACTTTCTTGACCACCGCAACACTGTAATGTAGAGTGCAGGAACCTAGTTTTTAAAAAAAAGGCAGACTGCTGACCTTAAGAATGTCTGTACTAATCTCTGCTCCACAGCCATTTAGAACATGACGGTATCGTTTGGACCCTGGAATCTCTGCAGGCTCTCTCTTATGATGGAAAGGGTCAAGAAAAAAAAGTTTCAATGGAAAAATACTAGCGGCGTGCCAACTGCAGGATCTTGCACCCTGAAGTTTATTATATGATGAGCCTAGGGTGGTAAATTTGTCAGTCGGATTGTCTGGCAGGCTGTTCAACTCCTTGCCTTCATAAAAAGGCAAACTGCTGACTGTTTTTCATCAAGATCCCAATGTCGTGTCTGTAGTTATTTAGAAGCCTGGGAAGCTCTGGCATGATAGAATGGGCCCAGAAAAGGTTTCAATGAATGAATTTTATTCTCTATTATACTCCTCGATTTGTCAATCATTTTGAGCAATGACCAATATTCTGTGCTACCTTAACTCTTTTTTTACCTAGGTTTCTTACCTAGGTTATATATAGGTTTCTCTAGGGTAGAAATAAAGGATTTACCACATAGTCCTCACATGACCACCATTCTGACCGGACATGGACATTCAAAGGCTACCTACCTCCACAGGAAAGGCAAAAATTTCAGCCATATCCTTTGGGACTGTCCTTTGCTGGAAAAAAATAGAGCACAATTCATGACAAAGGTTTTGTACATCGGATAAAAATAGCCACCACATGAAAGACTTTTCTAAAAAGATTATAGACTGTTTCATTATTTTTATTAAAAGTATAGATGTTAAATTAGTGCATGGATAGTTAAGCTTATTATTTTTCACTATGTTTCGTATTTTTCCTGGATTTTACCACAAATCCAGGAAATTAAAATAATGTATAGAAAAAATAAATAACAAACTTTTAAAAAAGCACACAGCAGGCATACACGAGAATGTGTATCCTTATCAGATCCTTTACCAATCCCTGGTCTAAATCTTTAATATTTGTCAGTTTTGTTTCGTCACTTGGCTCTAACAAGGTGGAAAATGACCAAAAACAAACATACAATATCATGTTTCCAAAATAAATATTTTATGAAAGTTTTTAAATAATTGATTCCCCAGAGAAAGATCAAATATCTTAAATAGGTCCCTAATTCTCATCCCAATTTCCATCATTTTGCCAATCTCTGCTTGTCTTGGTCCTGGAGTCAGTGATCAGTTGGAAAGTGTTTGTTGGAAAAATATCAACTTGAATTTTTGAAACTCCAATTTGTTATGTTACGACTCTTCTTTTTTTTTATAGGGAGGGGATTTACCATGTTGGAGCTATAAAATAACTGAGAAGTTTGGTGCTGGCTTTAATCTGAATTTTATCTATTGACAATAGTAATTAAAATGCGTACAAAAATAGCTGACAGGCAGTAAATTTTCTAGAAATTATTTAAATAAATTACTATTATGTGCAACATTAGTTCAGTCTAGACTTAAGTTTTTTTCCTGTCATCCTGTTTTTTTCTAGTCACTTCTATTTCTATAATTGTTTGTTTTTCAGATGGATAGCCAAGTACAGGCGGATGGCAGGTTGCTCGACCTCGTGGATAGAGCATGGCGATCGGAGGAGCTTCCCCATGATGAAATAATTGTCCCTGCTGCTGAACTGCCGGATCCAGAAGCCGACAACGGCGATTCTCATACCACACTGAAAGAAGCCCAGTCAAAATGGACAGACCTTTCCCTCAGTGGGCTCGGCGAACAGCAATTTGGCTCTGTTTTACACAATGTTATGTACATATAATGCTCCTATTTATTGTTTTACTTTTGTCAATTTTTTCTCCATTAAAATAATTATAAAGTATGCTCATGTTCTTTAAAATATGTATTCTGGGTTGAATTATGATGGTGGATTGAGAACACTATTTTTCTTATGTACCGTACTGGGTCTACATAGGGGCAATTGTACTGGTTACAACGGTTTTGGAATTTTTGAACAGTCTATAGCCTGATTAATTTGATAATAGCTGATTATTTATTATGGTTAGGGAATATGATGCCTCTGTTAACACAATTGTACTGGTTACAACGTTTTGCAATACAAATGGCTATGGTTTTGAAATTTTTGAACAGTATAGCCTGATTAATTTGATAATAGCTGATTATTTATTATGGTTAGGGAATATGCCTCTGTTAACTCGTACCAATCCAATTAAGATTAATTTGTTGCAAAAAATATAACACAATAACTAGAAAAAATATATTCTTAAAATTTCTTTACATAAATCTATACAAATATGTACAATTGACACTCAAATATATAATTATAAATATATATACATATATAAATGTATGTTTCTATGTTCAGTCGTTAAAACTAAAAAACTCCAGTTTTTAAAATGGCAAATATTGTACAATAAAATAAATTAAATAATAAAATAATTTAAACGTTAATGAGTGAATTGTAAAAATTTAGTAGTCTTTCTGCGTTAAAATTCCTGTTTGGCTCTTTTAAAGTTTTTCTTCCAAGATACAGTTTGACTTGAGAGTTGAGTGACAATGCCTTGAAGCCTAGAAGATAAAAGTTTAGTATTAACAATACTTATTTCATTCTTTCAGAACGAAAAGTTTCTTGGGTGTCAGACATCTTTTTAATTTTTTTTGTAATTAACATTTATGTAAAAACAAAGTTAAATAGTAAAATTTAACTCACACATCTTAAAAATTTCACACTGAGGTAGTCAAAATATCACCGTTTTAATCATATAACATTTAAACAGGTACAACAAATTCAACAATTTAGAATAAAATCATTTAGAATTAATTTCTATATATTTGAATATATCAAAGGAATATTGATTAATTTATCTTAAAAAAGACTTTTTCCGTCAAGTTTAAAACTTGAACTTAAGTTTCCTGACATAACTGGACTGTTCTTTGCACTTTTTTTTGTTTGTTATTTATGCCATTTGGCACTTATAATGCTAATTACACCAAAAATATACATGAAATTATTAAAATAAATCAATTTCATACAAAAATTGTAAAAGCTAGCTCAGGACGAAAGCATACCAAAAATTTTTCTCATTGCAGATGTTCCTTTGCCATTTGGTCATTTATTCGTCATCACTCTCAAACGATGTATCTGAAATGAATTATTCAATAAATTAATTGCAATTTAAATACATTTTTATTTTTGAGTCTCGAACTTACCGAACTGTGGCTCAGACTTGATGTTCACACATTCTAAGTCGTCCCAGATATTTACAAGAGGGTTTTGCAAATTTGATCCTGAAGATTCAGAACCCTGCAGTTAATTAAAAATAAATGAAAAAGAAGTTGATATTGCTTTAAAAAATAAAACTTCTAGATTAATACTTTTGTTATTTTTAAATTAAGACTTGTTAATATTGGATGATTAAATATCATTTAAAAATGTTAAATACTTAATTGTGATTTAAGATAGAGCAATTAAACAACAGAAAATGACAAATAGAAAATTAAGTCTTCTTTCTTAAGTCTTCTTATCTTCTTTCTTCTAATGCTTCTTTCTTGAATCAAAATTAAATTTCCTCTTAATAATAGTTTTTAATTTAGTTTTAAATTTTATTTTATTTTTTAAATCTTCTCTGCTTAAATATGGCATCAGAATGAATGCAAAAATGAATTCTTTCTTTAGTCTTCTTATCTTCTTTTCTAATGCTTCTTTCTTGAATCAAAATTAAATTTCTTCTTTCTATTAGTATTTAATTTAATTTTATTTTTTAAATCTTCTCTGCTTAAATATACATCAGAATGAATGCAAAAATGAATTCTTTCTTAAGTCTTCTTATCTTCTTTCTTGAATCAAAATTAAATTTCCTCTTTTATTAGTTTTTAATTTAATTTTAAATTTTATTTTATTTTTTAAATCTTCTCTGCTTAAATATGGCATCAGAATGAATGTAAAAATGAATTTAAAAAATATATCAGTTCAAAAAAAATTGTTATGTTTCTTTAGGTCTTCATCAGTTGCTTATTTTCTTCATTTTTCTTATTCTCCTTTCTTGAGTTCATATTAAATTTATTCTACCATAATTCACATAAATTAACTTTAAAAGACTACTTGACATCTTTGAATAAGCATAAATGTAATTATTTATATAAGATTTTTAAAGTTTTGAGCAATTTCCTAAAACAATTACCTAAAATAAATATAACACAACATGTAAAATATGAGAAAATGAGTGAATCAAATTGTACCTTTACCTACGATAACAATAACATAACTTTTATTATATTACAATATTTTTGACTGTTTTATAGATTATTTTATATATTTAATTTTGATATATATATGTAAGTATATTCACACACATATATGTAAGTATTTTACACAGTTCATTTAACTTTTTAATCTATATAATAGTAGTAATAATAAAAATTATTTAAGAAAGTAGTATGTTATGGCAAATTAATTCATACAGTGTCTCAAAGAACAAAGTTTAAAACAATGGATAATACTGCCCTATTAATAAAATAATATGAATAATTATTGTTAGAATAGCATGATAGTTGTTGGTAGTTTCCAATAAGTTTGGTCTGCATACCTATCTGTGTTTTGGTCATACATTTTCAAACCAACAAAAGTTCAAAACACACGACAGACCAAAATGATTGGAAAAGACACCTCAGCAGACTTCATGAAAAATATCACAGTATGTTTTACAACTAAACTTTTATATTAAAAATGGCTAAGCAAAATTGAACCTTGGGTAGTAATATTACAGTAAAAAAAAAATTATATATATATACATACATTTTGTTTTCAAATAAAAATAAGTTTACATCATAACAGTTGTTGGCAGTTTCCAATAAATTTGATCTGCATACCTATTTGCATTTTGGTCAGGTCATAACTCTGACAGACCAAAACTACTCTTCCAATAAAAATATCACAATATGTATTACAAATAAGGCTATAAATAATTTAAAACGGCTGCGCAAAATTTTCCAAATAAACATAACAAGTTAAACAAAAAATAAAACAATTCAATTAGTCCTAACTAAAAGATTTTTTTTCTAGCTTACAGATCCTGTTAAGTCAGAATACTGTACCACTAGAAACAATTTAACAAAAAATAACAAGACAAAGAACAAGAGTATCTTAAATTTTTGACAATCACATAAATATTTTTCTAGACTTAAGAGATTTTAATATATTTCACAATATGTACAGAAATGATACACCACAGTACTGGAAGACTAGTTAAAACAATATTGTAGAGAGCTTAATTTTAATATTACTTCCAGCTTATTTTTTTTATGATCATTTGTGATGCATGTGTACTTATTTTTTATACACCAATGACTATAAGAGCTTATATGCCTGGTTTAAATATAGTAATTTTGGCAGGTTTACCATATTAAAGTATATACATAAACACTGAAATTAATTAAAATTTATATGCACACCAAATATCAATAATACATTAATACTGACTTAATTTTTTATACAGCTAGAATATAAAGTATTATTTGCTTAGTTCACGCCAACTAATTTTCAGAATATATGAGAAAAGATCAGCAGGAATTTAGGAAATATTCTTAGAAAGTAGTAGTGTTTGATTTTGACAGGTTTACATATAAAATACTAAAAATATCTTAATATTCTGTAGATTTTGGTAAACATTTATGAAGTATTTCCAATAAATTACAATTTAGTCTTTTTTAGATTGATATTTTTTCATATACACTTCACCATAAACTTATATTAAATTCTCTAATATTTTAAAATTTATTAAAAACCCTAATCAAGCTCTAAGTTGTGAAACCTAGTAAACATACAATAGATTTGAATAAAAAAGCTTAGACTTACGTATTGCAGAGTCGTGTTTATATGAGAATCTAGTTTACACACTTCTAACAGCTGTGCCAAGATACTTTTCCTCTTCATTTCGTCTTCTAAAAGCTGCTGCATGTTTTCATTGGTTTGGCTCTTGAGAAATGAGTCTAAATGCATCAACGGGTTTTGGTCTGAGCCTAGAAAGGGGTTAGAAAGATTGGAGGATATGTTTTCGTTCATTGAACAGACAGGAGAATAATCCATAGAGAGTTCTTTTTGCGCTATAACAATTTCTTGGGGTGTGTTTAACCGTAACACATCGTTAAAATTGTCTCCAATGTCACTCGAACTGTTTTTAACACTTGCAGGTTCATCGAGGTCGATGCTGACATTCCTTAATGGAGATGGAAATTTTGTAGGACTTGTTTGGAGTTGAGTATCATGGTCGATGTTTCTCTGAAAAAGTGGAGAAGTTTTCAAAACCCCACTCGCACACCTTGATCTACCGCTGACATGGGCCATAAAATCTCTCCAAATATCAGTGTTTAAAAGTGGCATCATATCTTCCACAGACTGATTTCCATCTTTTCTGACTGGAATTTGATTTGACGAGTCATCGAGAGTCTTATGAACTTTTTCACTGTTTGTCGTACTGGTAGAAGGCTGAAAAGTGTCGAATGTTATTTTATTTCTTTTTCCGGCAACATTATTATCTTTATAATAGCACATTTCAACTAGTCCTCTCCGCTCACAATTATCCACTCTGTCAGTACTTGAGGTTTGGCTTAAAAATTTTTTGTATTTATCTACAGGAAGGGAAGAACTTTCTAAATCTAAATCTAAACGAGATTTTTCTGTTTGTTCTTGTATGGATTGAAGCCTTTGCACAGTTTCATTGTTTCCACTTTGTGATTCTTTCAGAGTGTTGTAAACGTCTCCAATATTGTTTATTGGGCCATTGCTGGAATGTACTGACAGTCGTAATAATTCATTTAAATCGAGTCGAGTGACATTAACTTTAGGGGTACACAATGATTGTTTAGAGTAGAACATTCTTTCCCTATTGGAGTTCTTTAAGATGGAAACTAAAGGTTTTTTCGCAGAATCATCAGTTAGCCGATCCTGGTCATTTGGGCTTTTTCTTTTCAGACTAGATTGTCCTGCAAAACTAACTCTACATTCTTTAGTATTTTTCTTTTTGTTATCTATCTCTGGTGATTGTGGAAGACTATTTTTTGGAGATGAGATTGTGTCTTTGGCTGGAGAAGATAAATGTTTATCTTGGTTTAATTTATTGATGAACACTACCGGTTTAGAGTTTAATTGGAGTAACATCAATTCAATTAGACCATTATTACTTAAGGTTCCTTTCTGGCCTTGTGGAAGATCAGTTACATACTGAGTGCAGATTTTATCAAGATAATCTTCAGTATTTATATTTTGTTCATTTTGAGATTTTTGACTATCCTCTCTGTCCTCAATTGTTACGCATTCATTTACTATTTCATTCTCTCTTGTCCGGTTTTCTCTGGTCTTTTCCAATTTTATTGTTTCTGTTAATTTATTATCATTGTTTTCATGTAGCTGACTGATAGAAGGTTCGGAGTTCATCTCTATGGGCCTTTCACCTTGGTTGTGTTTTATATCTGGAATAGTTTCATTCCCTTCCTGAATCAGTTTATCATTTGTCACTTGTTTTGTTTCATCTAATTCCATAGGTGTAACTTCTTGGACGTAACTATTTCCTGAATTCTGAGCTATAGAGGCTTCTGTAGTATCTTTTTTCATTTGACTTTCAGCCTTATTGAAATTCCACTGAATAAATGGATATTTGATGTTATCTTTTTGCGCGTTGCTCATATTTTCCTTGTTTTCAAGTTGGTTTTCAGTTTTTGGCTTGCAGTCATCAATAGGATCTTCAACTGTCATATGTTGAGGGATGTGATCATGTTTCTCTTTACAGGTAGTTTTTGCCGGTAATTGAACACTTAATATTTGAGAAACAGGACTGCATGAAAGCTTTTTGTTTGGGCGTTTTTTAATGACAGAACTTTGACTGTGAGGTTTTACTTCTTCATTAGACCCCAATTTAATTTGATTAATTATCGGATTGCAGTAAGGATTATTTATGCCGAATATGTTTTTTTTCTTACTCAAATTTAATTTGTAAGACGGCAAATCCTCACTGACGTACCGTTTTTTGGGGTTGTTCTTTGGATATAATCTGTCATTAAGATTGGGAATACGTTCCTCTAACCTTTTCATTTATCTGTAAAAGAAAATCAATGTCAGAATTATCACAAAAATGGTTTAATTTTGAATTAGGTTTTTGTAATTCTCACATACTGAAATATGCCCTAGGAAAACAAAACTACGGATTCTATAATAAATAAACATGCCCAACTAATGCAATGTAAGCAGCATAGGGAATGCCACCTTTACAAAACACATAAAAGTTGGAAAATTAAATCCATGGATAAAATGAAACGAGGTGGCTAAATGGTACATGACAGAAAGAAAAACTTAGTTTTACATGTCTAAAAAGTACTGAATTTTGACAAGACCCTTCTAAACCATTCTGCAAACCAGAAAATTTTAGAAAGGAGTTAAATTTTTACTACGAGGTTCATAAATTAAAGCAAGGGAGCTAATGTACTCAACTCTGTATATGTGGAAATTATTTAATTTACAAATGAGACTGTTCCAAAGCAGCGGAAAAAGTTAATTATTCTATACCATTTGACATAAAAATTTTGTAATCTTAGTCGTAGGTTATTCAAAAAATAAAATGATTTTTCATGAATTTGGAATTTAAAAAAAACATCTGATTTAAAAAAATCAATTTAAATAAGTATGACAATACATTTACATTGGTTCTAGCAATGTGTTTGTTCAAAGCATAAAAAAATTAAAATTCTAAATATGTTTATAAAAAGAGTACTGTCTATGCATTAAAAAAATCAACTAACTTGTTTCTTTAAAATAAAACACAAAGTATGTGTAATAGTGTGTAGGTTCTAGCCTAAATGTGAAATTTCCTCAGTGTAAAACATTAAACCACCTAACTATTCTGAAAAAAAAAGTTGTTTTTTAAGTTATGCATAGTATGTCAAACATCTGATTAAAAAAAAAATCAAAGATAATGTAATTTGATTTTTCTTTGAGTCTTTGTGAAAAAAAATTAAATTTGTTCATCTGCAAATACAAAAGCTTATGCTGAGTCTGTTTTAAAACAATTAAGTGTTCACTAGGTCAAACATCTAAATTACAAAAACTATTAATTTTGTTCTTTAATTTGATAAAGCACATTTCTCTGTCCTGGTGATGTGTACTTCAGTCTAAAAAATGAAATTTTACTACATTGGACCATTGGAATTGTATTACAATAATTATTTAAAACAAAAAATCAAACGACGTCAAAGTCAAACATCTGTTTAAAAAAACTCAGTTTTTTTATAACTAGTAATATAGTACAAATCTATTTAATTTTTTTTTAAATATGTGTAACCAGAATGCATGGTACTCGTCACTCACCAGATTCTGTGAGGTTTCGTGATTCAACAGGGACAAAGATAAGAGGTCTAAAAGAACGCTACACTTGGTTCCCTTTCAACTCACAATTCGTCCAACCAAGAATCCCCCAAATAAAACTATCGGAGTAAAAAAAATTATAGTTCAAGTGAAACACCTGATTTAGAAAATCTAATTTTGATTTACCTAAATGTGTATATTAACTTTGAAAAAAATAAAATTGCCTAACTATATTAAAAAAAATTTTAAACTACCTGAGTTATTACATGTAATTTAAAAAATTTAGATCAATTTGATTTTTTAATGTGAAAAGCAGAAAGATGATATTTTTATTAGTTTACAGTGTCAAATTCTCCTGATTGTCTTGAAAAAATAAAATTGGTGTCTGTATGACATTAAATATTTAAAAAATAATGGTTCTTCAAAAAACATCTGATAAAGAAAATCTAGATTAATTTAAATTTATATAGGTGCGTATGTTCACTGTGAAAAAAAAAATTATACATGTTTAATTATATTATAAAAAAAAGCCTGCCGAATCTTTGACAAACATGTAATAAAAAAAAAGATTTCATTTTGTGTCATGGTATGTGTTAGTTGGTTCGCAATGTCAATAATTAAATTCTCTTGACTCACTGACAAAAATAAAACACTACTGGAGTCTATATGGCAATTATTAGAAACCAAGGTATAAATTGTGTCAAAACATCTGATTTAGAAAATATAGATGAATTTACATTTACATAGTTGCGTACGTTCACTGTGAAAAACAATTTGCTTAACGGTAATGAAAAAAAGCCTAGAAAAAAAGTTATAAATTGTCTCAAACATCTGGTTTAGAAAACTGAAAAAAAATTTGCTTAACTGTAATGAAAAAAAAGCTTGCTGCGTCATCACAAATCTAAATTTAAAAAACCTGACTATATCGAAAAAATAAAACCCTACTGGAGTCTGTATGACAATTAGAAAACAAGGTATAAATTGTGTCAAAACATCTGACTTAGAAAATATAGATGAATTTACATTTACATAGATGCATATGTTCACTGTGAAAAAAAATTTGCTTAATGGTAATAAAAAAAAGCCTAGAAAAAAAGTTATAAATTGTGTCAAACATCTGGTTTAGAAAATCTAGATTAATTTTCATTTAATTTACATTTACATATGCGCATACATTCACTGTATAAAAAAATTTGCTTAACTATAATGAAAAACAGCTTGCTGAATAAATGCTCCTGACTATATCGAAAAAATAAAGTCTGTATGACAATTATTTAAAAAAAAGTTACAAAATTGCGTCAAACATCTGATTTAGAAAATCTAGATTAATTTGCACTAACATAAGCACATATGCTCACTGTGAAAATAAATTAGTTTAAGTATTGAAAGAAAAGCCTACTAAGTCATCACAAATGTAATTAAAAAATTGATTAATTTGATTTTTTCATGTAAAAAGCACAAAGTTACTCGTTGGTTCACAGTGTCAATAATTAAATTCTCTTGACTATATCGAAAAAATATAACTACTGGAGTGGACAATTATTTTTTTAAAAATTATAAATTGCGTCAAACATCTGATTTAGAAAATCTGGATTAATTTACTCTTACATATAAAGTGTGTATGATCACTGAAAATAAATTTATTTAAGTATATTGAAAAAAAGCCTCAATCAAATATGTAATTAAAAAAAATGATTACTTTGATTTTTTAACGTATAAAGAACAAAGTATGCGTTATTCTGTTGGTTCACAGTGTCAATAAATTCTCCTGACTATATCGAAAAAATAGAACAGCACAATACTGGAGTGGACAATTATTTTTTAAAAAATTATAAATTGCGTCAAACATCTGATTTAGAAAATCTAGATTAATTTACTCTTACATATAAGTGTATATGCTCACTGAAAATAAATTTGTTTAAGTATATTGAAAAAAGCCTAACAAAAATAATTTTAAAAAAATGATTTACTTTGGTTTTGTAACGTATAAAGCACAAAGTATGTGTTATTCTGTTGGTTCACAGTGTCAATAAATTCTCCTGACTATATCGAAAAAATAGAACAGCACAATATTGGAGTGGACAATTATTTTTAAAAAAATTATAAATTGCGTCAAACATCTGCTTTAGAAAATCTGGATTAATTTACTCTTACATATAAAGTGTGTATGCTCACTGAAAATAAATTTATTTAAGTATATTGAAAAAAAGCCTAAATCAAATATGTAATTTAAAAAAAAGATTACTTTGATTTTTTAATGTATAAAGAACAAAGTATGCGTTTGGACAATTATTTTAAAAAAAATTATAAATTACGTCAAACATCTGATTTAGAAAATCTAGATTAATTTACTCTTACATATAAGTGTATATGCTCACTGAAAATAAATTTGTTTAAGTATATTAAAAAAAAGCCTAAAAAAATAAGTAATTTAAAAAAAAGATTAATTTCATTTTTTAACGTATAAAGCACAAAGTATGTGTTATTCTGTTGGTTCACAGTGTCAATTAATTCTCCTGACTATATCGAAAAAATAGAACACAATATTGGAGTGGACAATTATTTTTTAAAAAATTATAAATTGCGTCAAACATCTGATTTAGAAAATCTGGATTAATTTACTCTTACATATAAGTGTATATGCTCACTGAAAATAAATTTGTTTAAGTATATTGAAAAAAAGCCTAAATCAAATAAGTAATTTAAAAAAAAGATTAATTTCATTTTTTAACGTATAAAGCACAAAGTTTATTCTGTTGGTTCACAGTGTCAATTAATTCTCCTGACTATATCGAAAAAATAGAACAGCACAATATTGGAGTGGACAATTATTTTTTAAAAAAGTATAAATTGCGTCAAACATCTGATTTAGAAAATCTAGATAATTTACACTTACATATAAGTGCGTATGCTCACTGAAAATAAATTTGTTTAAGTATATTGAAAAAAAGCCTAAATCAAATACGTAATTTAAAAAAAAAGATTACTTTTTTTAATATATAAAGCACGAAGTATATGTTATTCTGACAATAATTCGATTTTCCTGACTATATAGAAAAAATATAGTTCTACTGGAGTGGACAATTATTAAATAACAGTTATAAATTGTGTCAAACATCTGATTTAGAAAATCTTAGATTAATTTGATTTACATAAATTCGTAAATTCACTGAAAAAAAATTCACTTCAGTATATTGGAAAAAAACTTTCTGAGTAATTAAATTCACTAATTCTGTGGTCTGCTTGACCAATTAATTAAATTCTTCTGATTATATCGAAAAATAAAGCTACTGTTGTCTGTGTGACAATCATTACAAAAAAGTTATAATCTAAAAAGTTATCTAAAAAAATCTATAGTACATGTCAAACATCTGATTTAGAAAATCAGATTAATTTTTATGTACAAAAATGAGTAAATTCACTGTTAAACAATTAAATTTGCTTAATTACACTGACTAAAAGACTTGAGTCTTATGAAAAATGTGAATTTAAAAAATCTATATTATCTTGATATATTATTAATTGTTATTCTGTTCTATAAGTTTTTAAACGACCCAATATTTCACAGACGAAGACAATTTTTGGTTGTCAACATCTGAGGAATATGATAGATATAAAAGAAAAAAAATCTAGATTAATTTTTTTGAAATGATAAACCATAAGTACATGTTTCTCTGTCAGTTCAGTGTAAATAATAAAATAAAACATTACTTTACAGGAATTATTAAAAAAACAACTGAAATGATTTATGCAACTAAACATATGCTTTAAAAAAAATTAAGATTTGATCCTCCTGTGTATTAATTACATTTTGTAAAAAGGACTGTTTTCAAAACCATTAAAAACGTTTTTCTGTCCATTCTAGAATAAACAAGTATATTTAAGTAATGTAAAAACTGTATAATCATGAGTCAAATGTTTTATATTCAAATTGAATTTTCATATAAACCCAAGTTAAAATACCCCATAAATGATTATTTCATCAACGCTTCTTTCCACAAGGAAAACATTTAATTTGCCTAATAATGATAATATAGTATAATTATTTAAACATAAAATACAATTTTCTGTAGTTTCTAGCATAAAGTGTAATAATTTAGTTCACCTAATTATGGTACGTCGGGGAAAAAAATCTACATAAAAAATCTTGATTGATTTTACTTTTTAGCTTATAAAGCACAATAGAGTTTGTAGCATAAATAAATACTTATGCTAAAAAATGAAATAAATGTGTATATGAAAGTTTAGTGCTGAAGTATCAAGCAAAAATAAAATTTGTTACATTGGTCTGTTTTGTCCAAAAAACTACACGCTGTTGTTAAATTGAGTTCATAATAAAAAATATGCTGAAAAAACAAGTGTAAGAAAAATTATTACAATAAGGCTGAATAGATTAAGTCTAAGTTGAAGAGACTAATTTTAAAGTTCCTAGCAAATTGTTCGAAAAAGTCATATTAGGGACGTTAAGTAGTTTGAAAAAATGAACAACATCCGAATTATAGCCGACAGCTCTACAAACACTTCAGCCTTGGGTATGTTCATATTGAATAAAAATTAAGAAATGAGACGGTTTTTTTTTTTTTTTTTTCAAAATGATAAGACTATAAAGCATATCAAGACTGTTAACAGTATAATTTATTAATGGTGAAATCAATTGTGGATAAGAGTTAAAGAAAGTTTAACAATTATGTACTTGAAAAATTAAAACTCAATTTAGTTTCGTTTAATAGTTTTTAACACCGAATTTTTTGTTAATAAATGCATATTTATAATTGAAAATATTATAACATGAACACGAATGTAAACAACCTTAGCCCACGATCAATTAATGTTATGAGCCGAATAATATACTAAATTGTAATAATATACCAATAAAAAACGTTGATTGTATTAATAAAAGATTACTTACTTGGTGGAAAAAGGATGAAATTGGAAATAAAGCAAAGTACACGGTGAAAGCTGAGATCTGTTCCTGACGGGAATCAAACTCAAAATGATGCTATGCTCCGTTCTGTCATAAACAGGTGAAGGCGGAAATCGGGAGAATCGACAAAAAAAAATGAATGTGGATTTTATTCATGCCTTATGAATTGTATGTTTCCAGTGCAAGAGTACGTTTACTGTTCGCTTTTGTTTACAAAATACAACCTGCCTTGGCCTTGGGCTTACTCGATTTTGGGATTTTTCCCGCGACATTTAAACTAGATAGCATTACAAATTACGGATAAATTACTTTAAATAATAAAATATTTCAGCATGTACTTGACTCGGAGCTTAGCTCATTTCACACATGCATTGTTGTTCATAGATCACTTAAGCAAATGTTTTAGCAACATAACTGGAAAATATTAGCTAGAGCCTGCTTATAACTGTTCACTAGGATCCATTTTGAATAATTGTTTATTTAACTTTCCTGTTCACCAAGACCTTGACAGACCTATTGAGAAATACCCCTACATTTAAGTTCATACCTAAACTATATAAACCTCAAACTATATAAATCTCAGACTTCTGTTGCTTGTACAAGGCCTGCTTTTTCAACATCAACCATACAAAACTTACGACGTTATCACAAGATTTTCATGTTCATTTGAACACAGATTTCTGTCTACCAATAGTCCTACACATTCCTATGGATCTGTCTTTTCTTGACAGGTACCAAGTTTAGTTTCTGCCTTGGTTGCATAATTTAAGCATGAGCAATGAGCAGTAACGAGGATCATGATTGTCTCAAATTCCTTCCTGCTCAAACAAAAAGACTTTTGGCTCTCTATTGGTGGTTAAATTTGGTTGCATAATTTAAGCATTAGCAATGACCATGCCTATCTCAAATTACTTCCTGCTATAAGAAGACTTTTGCTCACTATCCGAGATACTGTTAAATTTGACTGTATCTGACCCGTTCACTACTCAATGTGATATTTTTTCTTTCTCTACGCAATACATTTTCAGGATACTATAAAATGTGTTTAGTTGTAGTTCTGATCCAAAGAGGGCCAGTGAAGCTGCTCCTATCGCTAGTTTGCCTGATATTTTATTCCTGTAAAACCTCTCAAACCTTAGTACTAAGTTCAATTATCTTTCCCCTGATGTTATTGAGTTTTTAAGCACTTTTAATCAATCATGAGATTTCTCTGTGTGGCCTGCAGGGTGATGAACCTGTAATTTAGTCGTTACAGATTATTAACTTCGGATAGTCAGACCAAAATCGGTAATGACTAAATTACAATCCCAGACAAGCTTCAATTTATTATTGCGTCTTGCCTAAACTATTACTATTTCAATTTTTTTCTGTTTGCGTCTCTTCTTGGAACATCGAGTACCTACATCTCAAGGTTTGTAGTTGGTATTTGATTTCTTACCTGTTACTACTTCCCTGCTCTTTTCTTTGATTCAATCTTGCCCACAATTGTCACAATCCCATGTGTATGCCTCACTAGGGCTCTATTTTTAAATTTAAGTTTGGATTGTTAATTTTCCAAAAACATCTTGTTCCTAAGTTTATTTGGAAGGGTATCTCAAATTAAATCTCTATCATTTCGTCTTTTCCCTTCATTGGTATCTCATTTAATTTTATTTTACATAAAATTTTGTGATTATTGTACATTATGAATGATTTTATAGTCGTTTTTTTCTACTAAATACATATTTTGATTGCAATAATTTTAAATGGGATTGGGCTCTTTAACATATTCACTGCGTGTCCTATTTCCTAGCGTTTTACCAGATTATATTTGAAGTGCTTGGTGTCAAACTGGCGCCATTCACCTGGTGAAACAATTTTCATAATGCCAAGTTGTGTCACTGTGAACGTGTTAAGTAAAAAGTAAAGTATTGTCTTACAGAAAAGGTTAACATCCAACTTCACCACGGGTTTCATGGACAAGGGGTTAAACCACTTAGCAATACTGTTTTCTCATATTTTCAATTAAAAAACCTTAGGGTGTGCCAAGATTTGAACCTAGAACTGCAAGTGTGGCAAATATGAGTCAGATGCCCTAATCACTCAGCCACTGCTGTCCACAGATTTGTCTATTTTATTAAATGTTTGGCATTGGGTTGAGTCGGTCTTCAAAGAAATTTGAAACCAATATGTCAATTTGTAGACATATTTACAATTGTTTTGCCCTGATGATGTCCTTAAAATAGGTCAAATGATTGGCAGTAACAATTAAATTTGTTATTTTCTTCCAGATTATTGCATTTTATTAACAAATCAAGATTGATTTCATTATCAAGTTATTTATGCCATGAAATTGATAAAAAATATTTAAAAAACATGAAATTTGAGAAGTAAATTAATTTGACCTACAAGAAAGTCCAACTATCCTTAGGGTGGTGTGGAACAAAATGACCACAAACTTGTTTACTGGTGGTTTAGGAAAATATATTTGAATAACACCAGAATTTTGCCAATGTTTTAACTGCAATACTTTAAAAGGCTTTGTCCACCCACAAAATTACAGTTCATTCTGACGAAACTTACTAAAAAAATGTAAATATATTCAACTTTCAAAACTTCCTTTGCTGGATTTCTATTCTATCACAAAATAGGAAGAATTGTTTTTAGCATTAAAAAATATGAAATAAAAATAATAAATTAATTTTAACTTGTATTTAGTCACAGCTCTAAACATTTTTTTTAAAATAATAATTACATCAGCAACATATATAAATATCTTGACTACTTCTAATATATATATGATACAAATATGTATTCCGTAAAAAAGGCATAGCCTTTCATTACAATACGGTTTGTTTGTACAATTTCAAAAGAAGCTTACACAAGATCATCATGGCTGATAAATCCTTTGTGTTACATACACAAGTTAAAAATATATTTACAATGTATAAGTTATTAAAATGCAGACAAATCTATGCACTGATTTGGCATTTTTAAATATGTATATAATTTACAATCAGAGAAAAATATGTGTACAGAAATGTACAATATATATATATATTTTTTAAAACAAAACAAGTTATACAGATAATTAATTAAATTTTACAAGATACTAGTATTGGTATTTTTTCTACCTATGGTAGGAGATCTTTTAAAAACGTAATTGTGTTAATGTTGTTTACCTCTTAGCTTTTTTCTTCTGTGATTCATTTTCTAGAAAGATAGAAAAAAAATTAAATTTGAATATCACAAAATTTTAATAAAATAAAAATATCGATTCAAACCTTCGTGTAAAGACTTCCTTTTCTTTGCTGAAAAAAATCAATCAAATTTTTGTAATATAAAGAATGTAATTTATATAATGCCGTAGTTTTTTAAGAAAATACTTACTTTGACCGAGGGCAACAGCATAGTTATCGTCTTTGTAAATCCACAACTCTGTGGCCTGAAAAAGATTAATTGTTCCGATATTAATTAAAGGTACGACTTGGAAATAAAATTGTCACTAATACATTGAAAATACCTTTAATTTTTTCTTTTATTTCTTGAAAAAATGTTTTTCATGCATTTGTTATTCTTATTTTTGTAGACAAAATAAAAAATAAGAGAAAATGTTAACAATTCAAATTTACTTTCTTCAATCTGGTCCAAATAAATAATATTGATTTTGAACTTGAAGTTTCTTCTTTGGTTTAGTTTTATGAATCGTAATTTTATTCTTGATAAACTTGCTTTAGTTAAATTGTCTTTTTTACTATTATATACTTCTACCATGTCTCAGAATGGATTTGAATGATATCACAAAAGAAAAATTGACATGTAAAACGAAATAAAATTTTTCATTTTAAGTCTTTCTTCAAACACTTACTCAAATTGTGCGAGTAATGATTTTTTTTTTACAAATTTTCTTTAAGTGCAAAAATAATCTTCTTATCTTCATGGTGAAATCTTCTTCTTGCTTCTTCTTTTTGTTGGTGTGTAATTTATTGAAAATTTATTTTTTATAACAAAATATTATTTTAAATTCAAAGTGTATGTTTGTATCAATTTTATAAAATTCCTCCCTTTATTTAAAAAAAACTAGATTCTGTTAAATTATTTAATATTTATCTGGGAGGAGAAAAAGGCAATGGCATTATTTTCTTTGTGTTGTTTCATATTTCTTCTTCAATCTTCTTTCTTGACATGCAAATTTCTTCCTTCATTTTGTTTGTCTTTTTTAATTGAAAAACTATTTTTTTTTAACGATTAAAGAGGAATTTAAGAAAAACTTTTAGCAATTATGAAAAAAAAATAAGTTTGTGATTAAATGACGCATTTTGTCAAATGTAAATTGGAACGATGATGATCAAACAAACGGCTGAAAAAATTCCTGGAAAATAATTCAATAAATAATTTAATAAACAATACCTTTCTAGAAATTTCCTGGTAATCTTCAGTCTTTCTTGTTTTTTCTGTTCTTCCTGAGCTCTTTTGGTACCAAAATAGATTACTGTGATGCTTTTCTTGAAATGAGGATGTAGGTTTTAGTTTGTATAAAATTTGACTGTCTTCACTTCTTGCATCTTCAAGTAATGGGGCTGTTTGATGACCCACATTAGAATGTACAGCTTCCTCTTTTGGAGGTCCTTGTTCATCTGTCAAATCTGTTCGACTGCCAGGTCTCTTGCATTTCCTTTGAGGAGTATTTGCTTCAACCGAGTAGGGAATTTCCTCTTTTGAAGGTCGTTCCCCCTCAGAAGAGAACAAATTCACTTCTGAACTAGAAGACGATTGTGTTCTACTTCGATACTGAGTGTTTAAATCTTGTTGACACAGTGGACTGCAATTCAATGCGTGAAGTGAAGATGCATCAAATTCAGTTGAAAGACTGCTGCCAGGGTACTGAGGTAAAGGTATGTCATATTGTCTATCCTGTATGAAATTTTCATCAGAATCAATAAGAATGTTTGAGGAATGACTTCTTTGATTTGATGATCTAATTATACTATTTTGCTGACTGCTACTTCGACCCTGAGAATAATTAGTTTTAACATCTTCTGATTGAAAGAGTTCCTTATGGCACTTTTGATCTGAAAAAATAGATAAAATTATGTAAAAATTAATGAAAATTATTTGAATGAAAATTACCATGACTGGTTGGTGGAACAACACTGTTATTCCGGAAGTCACTTGTTTTTTCTTCGCTATGCTTTCTAGGTCGCCCTCTTTTCTTCAGTTTTCTTGGTCTTCCTCTCTTCTTTACAATGGTTTCACTAGGTTCCGGGTTTTCCTCATAGGATAAGTTATCAAAAAACTTTGAAGAAGTTGGCATGTACTTGCAATTTGAGTTATCGTTAACCGATTTATCAATTCTTTTTCTTAAATCTGTAGTAATTATTTGGTTTTCTCTACAATTGTATGCATTGTAATTTTTAAATTTGTCCTCAGAAGATAATTCAGTATGGTATTCGTATAAATCCTGTTCTCTATAATTGTCTATTAATTGGTCATCGCTTTCTGAAGAACTTTCAACCAAGCTTTCATCGGAAAGGAAGTGCCACGAGCTGCGTGACACACTGCGTTTTATTCTTTTTTTTTTACAAGATAAAGGTGAAGTCCTTTGCTGAGAGATAAAAACCTTTTCCCTAGGTCGACCTCGTGTAAAGAGGTTTTGTTTTAATTTGTTCATATTTTTCAGAGTAACATCTGAATCACTGGAATCATCAGATGATGCATAATGACCCTCATCATTACTGAAGGCAGGAACAGATTCTGTTATGTGAATCGGATTTAAATCAACAAACCTTCTCGGTCTAGAGTTTTTAATGGCACCTTGTCTTTCAGAATCTATGTTTTCATCGAATTCGCTACACGATGAAAAACTATCAATACTAGGAAGTGATAAAGTACTACAATTGGTAGGGTTTTGAGGATAAAATTCCCTACAGGATGACCTTGAGGCAGACCTCGTACGGGGCCTTTGAAGAACAATGTCTGGATTGTTATTTTTGTGTCCTTGCAGTTTATTTCTATCACTCAAGCTGATGGCTTTCCTTGGGCGTCCCCTTTTCCTTTTACCCTTGTTAGATGTATCTTTCAAATTATTGTCATTGTCACTATTCAGTTGGGCTCGCCTTAAAACCCCACCTGGCCATTTGCCACTGGGTTCTGGGTTCTTCTTCGAAATCAGTGATTGTAGGTTGTTTAAAATTTCATCAATATTGCTTATATTATTTTGGACTAGATGTGATTTCAACTCTTCAACGTGTGAATTATATTTACTGCTTGATGCGACTTTATTGAAACTATTTTGAATAAACACGGCAGGTTCTGCACTTTTGGATCTTTTCCTAGTGAAAGTTGACCTGTAGAAGTTTTGATCTTTTTTTCTTTCCATTTTCCTTGGGCGTCCTCTTTTTCTAGGAATGTTATTGAATGAAGTAAGCGAATGAATGTTGTGATTTGGGTTTTCTTGAAAATTAAATGTACTGTAGGGTGATGACATATGGGTTCTTGTATCATCACACTCAAAGAGTTCTTCGTCAAAATCACTTTTTTCTGAAAATTGATTTCTATTACCAGTACTGAAGCTTCTACCTCTCGGCCAAACTGTACTCAGATTACAAGAACAGCTAGTGTATCGTGGTAGACTTCTACTCCGTTTATAACTTCTATCATGCGCCTTGTAACCCTGTTTCTTTGGTTCATATAGTTTCGGCTGTTGGACATTTTTAAACACATTGAACACGGTTTCTGAGCGGGGTACAGTCTGCTCTCTGAGTAAACCTTCTTTTTCTAGGTTTGGCTTGAAATTTACTTCATTAAATAACTGGATATATTTATCTACAGGAAGCATTGAAATTGGTTTCACAGGCGAGGATGGTCTATTAAATACATTACAATTTCTGTATTTGAAAAGTTCATATTTAAGATTCGTTGAAAGCATAGGACTTAAGCTGAGTTCTTCAACATTACTGACATTTTGGTTGATCGTTACTGTCTCATTAGGAATGTTCTTGTTCTTATTTTTATGCTGATGAAATTTATTTGTTGTATTTTCAGGATTACACAGATTGTTGTCAGGTATGGCTGTATCATTTTGTTTGTTACACTGTCTCATAATTCTTTCATTTCGTTTAACACGAACTTCAGTTGCAGATTTTAACTCTTGAATATTGTGCTGCATTTGCTGTCTACGCCTGATCTTAAACTTCTCAGTAGTTGACTTTTCATTTTGGCTCATTTTTGCTGATTCACTGGGTTCAGGTTTGTCAGGACTGTCGTGATTTGATACAATATTATCTACATATGTTTCAATGTCAGCATTTGATTTATGAATATTAGTTTTAGATGTGTAATTCTGTGTTGGTTTTGTGTTGGATAATTTTTCAATTAATACAACTGGTTTCATATTAAGTTGCTTTTTGAGGGACTCTGTCAGGTCACATAAATGCTTTTCTTTTTTATTCTGAATCAAAATAGAAACATACTGTTGACAAGCTGTTGTTAGATTTCCCACATTAAAAACTTTGTATTCCGACTCCTGAAGCATAGGAAATTCTGTTTCTTTCGAATTATTTTCAGAGTCTTGTTTATTAGTCAATATATCTGACTTCTTGACTGTTTTAAAGTTAGTTTTTCTTTTACCTTTTTGATGTTTTGTATATAAACCTTTTCCGGACTCTAGTTGCCTTTTGCTCAGATTTGACTTTACAAGATTATCATTTTTATGGCTACAACTTTCACTTTTTTTATGATCATCTGCACAGTTATTTTCTTTAGGTAAAACATTACTGATTTCATCAAATGGATTTTTGGCTGGATGATTTTCAGAGAATGGAAGGGAAACTGCATTTGAAATTATTTCCTTTTCATTTTTATTAGATTCAGATACTTTAGGATGATCATTTGGTTCTTCCAATTTTTCTGAATTCTGTCCAATTTTTAACTCTGATACATTCTTATTTTGAAATATTTCTGAGATATTTACTTTAGCAACACTTTTATTAATAATGATTTCGTTTTGTTTTTCATATGTTTCATTATTATTTTCATTTTCCTTTTTATTTGAATTATTATTAGGAGTATTAACTATTTCATTTACTTTATTTAATACTGATTCCAAAATAGTTTTTGCTATCTGTTCACCTTGATATTTAATATTTTGAGTTGTTTCTAGTGAAAGCCCTGCATTTCGGTCACAAATAGCCTTAGTTTGACTTATATTATCAATACTAATATTGCATTTGTCTCGAACAAAATTTTGTTTATTGTTTTCTATTTGTATTTGTACAGAATTTTCTGCAATAATTACATTATTAACTAGTTCATTTATTAAGCTTCTAACCTGATCATCAATTTTTGTATTATTTGAAATTCCAAAATGTTTGAAATTCTTTACATTACCTACTTTTGTTTTCTTTGATGATGAGTTGATGGCATCAAACTGATGAATTCCTTCTGATAGTTCTTCTTTCAATTCTGAATCAAAAATCTCATTACATTCAATATGCTCTAAGTAATTTATTTTCACTCTGAAAGGTTTCTGAACTGCCTCTTCCACATCTGGACAACTATCTTGTTCGGTAGTTTCTAAATCATTTCTATTCACATTTAAGGAATTCGGTATTTTTTCATGGTCTGTTGCAATCTCTGTTGGCTGGTCAAATGGTTGTCTCACAGCAGAATTTTCATCAAGCTGTTTTAAGGGGTTTTCTTCTGAATCTGTCGCTTTAGATTGGCACATTTTGAAATTTTCAATATTTTCTGGATTATTTTTTTTCTGAGAAACGCTTTCACTGTTTTTAGTTTCCTTGTCATTTGTATCTTCTTCCAAGGGTTTGTTTTCTTCGTGATGAATAGTTTCTAAATATGATGAGGTTGTTTCAACATCTTGGTCTTTTTGCTCCAGCCCGAGACTTTTATCATCACATTTCACAAAAGTTTCCATGTTGTTTGGTTTCGGTTCTGGAGAGGTTCTTCCAACAGGGTGAACAGTCCTCAGATCAGATTGAACATTTTCAAATTTTCCTGTTGTCTCCATTTCTTCAATTTTGTCGTGTTTAACGTCTTCTGAATCCATGCGATTCAATTGGGTGTTTCCATCTTGTTCCAAAGTTTTATCATTTCTTGTATCTGAAGGATTATTTTCAGCATGAATCGTTTCAGGATCTCTTATCGGTTTTGTGGATTTAATGTTTTCAGAATCATATGCACTAATTTCCAAAGGTAAGCTCTCAGTATGCTCGACAACCTCTGTTTCATTTTGATAAGATTCAGCTGCACTTTCAGTTTGACATGATTCGTTTGTTTTCTCAAAATCTGGTACATCTGTACTTTTGTCAAATTGAATATCTTCTAAAGGTTTATTATTCTGTTCAAATAATGTATTAGTTTCTTGAATAGCACATGTGTTAGTTTCTTTTGGTAACAAAGAAGGAACTCCTTCCGGATTAAATGATATCAATTCTGAATGAATATTTTCATGTTTTATAGACGTACTTGTTGCCACTTCTGAAATGATCGCAATTCCATGCTGTTCTTCTGGTGTTATTTCACTATTTTCAATTGTTTCTGAATCATTTTTCTTTACCAATTCTGAATAGGTATTTTTAAAATCTAGAACGTCAGTTTTTACTTCTAAAGGTGTGTTTTTGAAAGTATCAGAAGTTTCCGAATCAATCGAATTAATTTCTAAAGTATTGTGATCAACATGTTTGATTCCAACTGGTTCTGTGTACATCTCATCTGAATTTTTAACACAGTCCATCTTTTCACAGTAACTATCATCATGTGATACTACTAAATTAGTTTCAGTAGTTCGTGTATCTTCATCTGTGGTATTTTTTAGGACGTCAACATGCTGAATTACATCTGAAGTTCTCACATCAGGCTCTTCAGATCTCTCAAGAACCACGATCTCCTCTTCTTTTTCAAAGTCCAAAGAAGTTATGCCAAAATGGTCATTAGTTTCCGTTGGACAATCAATGTGAACAGATGGTGGAATATTTTGTGTTAATTCTGGAGGAGTGCATTCCGATTTTTCAAGAGTTTCAACTGCGCTCACTTCATCGTCTTTTAAAGAGGCGTGTTCACAATTTTGAACTGTTTCTGGCCCTGTGGTTTTGAATGAAGCGATGTTTTTAAGTACTTCCATACTTTTAGTCTCTTCTGATGAGATAACTTCAACGTGTTCAATAATTTGAGTATTTTCTTCCTCTAATGTAGTGGTTTCACATTTTTCATCGGATGTAATTTTCATAATTTCTGTATTTTGATTTTCAATATTTTGTGATGTATCATCGGTTAATGGGTTGTGTATGTTTTCATGGACATGCATAGAACTACTTGCATCCAATCCAGAATGAACTCCTTCGGTAATGTTTGTCACTTCTGAATAAATATTTTGTGTAATTTGTTGTATTTCTTCTTGTTTGTTATCTCTTCCTTGATCTATTATTTCCAGATAGTTGGTACTATTTTGAACTATTTCGGAATTTATTGAATTTGAATCTGAATTCACACTTTCAACGGGTTGAACAATTTCTGGCGGATTGAGGATCGGAGTGTTTTCGATAAGTTTTTTGCCAAAAGGAGTTAACAATGAATATTTTCGAAATATATCAATTTCAGAAGTGTTCTGGCAGGAAGAGCCTTCTATTGTACTATTTGATGTATCAAACTTGTTACTTTGGGCAATTTCAAGACATGCTTTCAATTGGGTTGAAACTTCAGCAATTAAAAACAATGAATCATAGCAAACGTCTGCATCTGTAGATGTAGAAATTGTTTTGTCAGTGTCTGGAGCTGGACAGTTGTTTTCTAAACTTAATGCACAATCATGAACATTAAATTCTTCTGTTTTAGATGTTAGGTTGGAATTAACATTTTCCTCCAAGTGTGCACTTATATTTTCAGACTGTCCAGCATAATTCTCAGAGCTTGGTGATATTTTAGCTTCAATGTTTGACTTTTCTTCTTCTGAGTTTTGTAAAGTTTTCTGAACTGTAACTTCTTTAGTAGAATGTGTATTAACTTTAGAATAAAGGGGTGAATGCTTGTCACTGTCTGGGTTATATTTGAACAGCTTACGGTTTTTTCTTAATTTATTCATATTATTACGATCCACGTGATAGGCTTTTACATGTAATAAATTGTTTTGATTGTTCTTAGATTTTTTTAAAAGAACAGACTTCTTCGTGTTGTTTTTGTACACACCTCTATGGTTTTGTGTTTCCATATTGTCTTCCTGAAGACACGTTGAAATCGAAGAATCTTGTGCTTCATGGGATACGATTTCAGTTGCTGAGTTCGAGACTGTAGTAAATGATTTTTCTTTTCTTAATTTTTCTTCTTTTAAATCAAAACTGTTTTCTTTCTTTGGTAGTTTTTTAATTTTGCCACTCCTTTGGTTATGAGCAACATTTGTGGAAGAAGTTAATTTATTTTTTGCATAGACTTGTTTGTTACGCATTTCTAGACTGTTTAAACAGGTTTTACTCCTGAGGTAATGATTATTTCGATTTTTTCTGTTAGAGTCTTTAGAAAATCCTTCCAATGTTGATCCTTGTTGATTTGCTTGCGTACCATCTGTTGCAATTTCAAATTTAGGAACAATTGTTGCTTCCCCACGATTACTTTTTCTCAACTGAGTTTTTTCAGTTTTGTTTATTTCAAGATTGGCATCTTTGTTTATGGCCTCAATGTCGGTTTTGTGATCATCATGATTTTTATGTGTTTGGAACTCTGTTGAATCATGGATGATTTTTTTATAATTGCTTTTTACTTTTGCCGTTTCAGAAGGTTTGGGATTTTTGTCAGAATCCATAATGGCAGCGTCAAATTTGTTTTTTCTTGGAAAATGAGTTTTTCCTTCAGATTTATTGGAATTGTCTAATTTTTGTTGAAATAATTTTGACTTGTCTTGGTGATAATCAAGGCTTGTTTCCATTGATGGAGCTGAACATTCATCAGAGTCAATGCTTGACATGTTTAATCTGGCAATTAAATTAGGCTTCACCTTCTGCAAATTTACTTTTCGCTCAGAAACTCTTGAACTTCTAGGCGTTTGAAAATTTGAATCGCTTGTATTGTTTTCTGGAGATTTCAAGGCATTCAATGTTAATGGAGTTAAGTTAATAATTTCTACCCTATTTTCCACACTTTTCACTATTTCAAATGTATATTTTGAATTTCTAAGACAATTTCTTTGAGTTTGTTGATTTGATTGTCTGATGGACATTAAAGAACCCTTAGATGATGAAATGTCATTAACTAGCAGGTCGTCTGAATCGGTAAAAATGTAAGGATCATTATCTGTATTTATTTCTTTGGGAGGGAAATTAATATCAAGCACAGCATCAAATTTATTACAGTCAGAACGCCGCCTACCCTTAAGCAATTTCCTTTTCTGTGAGCCAATGGGTTTATTTACCTGTTTGGTAACAATGGGCGATGGTGTTAAAGTTACGCAGTTTTCATTTATTTCGATTGCAGGTTGAATTTGAACAGGTGCCACTGATGGTTTTTCACTTGGGGATTCACCTGAACCAGAATGTCTACTCCTTGTGGCTCGGCCAGAATTAGGACTTTTAGAAAAAACATTTCCAGAAATTTCATTTGCTGTACAATTTTTTTCCTCGTCTGAGGAATCAGAAAGCACTATTGTTGGAATTTCTTCTTTGACCTTTTTATTTTCAATTGCGTTTGATTTTCTTGATGAAAAATTGTTCTTAATTTCTTTTGATACAGCTTTAAATGAATCTTCAAACCTTGTTTCTTTTTCTTTTTTCATTAGGTTTTTGTTTTCATTTAATTTCTTTAATTTTGTAGATGGGCTATGTAAAATTGGAACAGTAATTTCCTGGGTAGCCTTTTCATATTGTTTTTTCTTTGTTGGTGATAGTGGAAGAACTTGAGCAGATTCTTCGCTTCTGCCTTTTCTAGTATTTTGTTTTTGCTCTGGTCTTCCAACAAGCGACGATTTAGAATCATCAGATAGTTCCTGGTCTTTTAATATGATTGGGTTAGCATATTTACCTAAGCCTTTTCTTTTTTTCGGCTCATTTTTAGGTATGATTTTGTTTTGTGGCTTTTTGGTGGAATTAGTTCTTGGAGATGTTTTTCTAGCAAATTGTTTCTTAGATGAAAAAATAGGCTTGTCTAATGCATTCTGAGCAATTTCAGAAGCTGGAAGAGAAGACATTTTTTTCAGATTGTACTTTTTATTAGTGCTCGTCTTTTCCTGTTTATTAAAGACAGTTTCATTTGTCAGTGCATTATGTACAATATTATCACTCAATATTAAAGACGAATTGTTTTTAGAATTAACTGCTCGGCCTACTTTTAACTTTGCCTTCATCTTTATTAAATTACCTATTTTTTTCACAAAACTAGGTTTACTATTTTGTCTACAATTGTCCTTGGATTCTAAAAGATGGACAGGATCATTTGATTTCTTATTTTTATCACTTTTTCCAAATCCTTTATTTGCTCTCGGCCTGTGCTTTATTTCACAAAATGCTTCAGATTGTACTAAAGAGTCAATTACTTTTTGCAGTTCTTTCTCCCGAGAGGTTGAATTATCTTTTGTAGCACTTTTAACTGGTGATGAACACTTTTCTGTTGGAACTTGTTCAACATCGTCCTTGGTTTCAATAAGATTTTTTTTTACAGCATTACTAAATTTCTTTCTACCTCTTTTACTTTCATTTTTCAGCAATTTCGACAGACAGTTTTTAACTGGTTTTTTCTGACTTTTAGACTGCGAAATCTTTCTCGGCATTTTTGTATCATTCACTTTTAATTGTTTCATCTTTTCTGTATTTTCTTTGAATTCTTTGAGTCTTTGGCTCAAGGGATAATTCTCATAGTCTGAAGAACTACCATCATCTACTTTTCCGTCCGTTTTTTCACTTTCAACATTGTCTAACGAGGATGAAATATTCTTACTTAATGTGTCGACACTCCCCTCCTTTGAGACAGGTAGTATCCCCGTGCGAGGTGACTTACGTAGATTTGAAAAGTCCTTTTTCTTCATTATTCTGGATTTTTTACCTAAAAATTTGTAATACAAAATGTATTATTACAATAAATAATAAATCAGAAGTATAAAGTTTTTCAAGCCATAAATTCAATAGCAAATTAAAAAATGACAAATAAAAATGAAACAGTACAATATGCTATTATTTATAAGAGTAACCATTTTAATTAAGAATCAAAGAAAATGTTAATAATTTCCAAAATTGTTAGACAGTAATTAATTTTAAAAAAATCTAATTTATAAAATATTTATAATGGTACTTGATTATTTTAAAATAATAATAAATTAAACTACTTAAAGAAAAAGTGTTTTTAAAAATAAAAGCATTTTAGTTGAGAGAAAATAAATATATTAATGACACTAACCTTTTGAGTTTGATTCACTTCTGCATTTTGAACTTGTTAACTGTGAGTCAATAGTGACGCTAGAAGTAAAAATGGTAGGTATATTTATGTCCTGAGTTTGCTGTGGGTTCGTTGGGTACGGTAAAAACTTCTTTGTCTTTTTATGCAGTACATACGACAATTGAGTATTGTCTTCTGGGCATATTAAACCATTTACATGTTTGAAATCATGTTCTACAACATTGCTGGGAAGCACAATTGGTTGTATAACATTCTGTTCTAGGTTCTGAAAACATTTCTCAGGCAGGATGTTAGTACTAAGCAGGTTTTGTGTAGAATAGTGACCACCTGGAGACGCTTTTGTATAATTTGTTTCAATGTCGTCTGAAATCTTCTCTAAAGCATAATCTTTGTGTTGTTCTAACACTAGTTTTTGACAATTTAGTGGATCTATCTCTTGGGTTTTGATTGGTGAGGGAAAATTTTGGTTTGTTTTGCCTGGAAGATCCGTTTCATAAGATGTGATGTTAAAAGACCGATTTATATTTGCGTCAGATTGCACAGGTGCATCACACCGTACTTCGTATTTTTCTTGTTCCTCACTTTCACTTAAGGAATAATTCATTTGTTCATTCATCATTTGTGCATTTTCGGTGCTTTCATCAATTTTGTTTTCTGTTTCAACAATAACTTCTTCTGTTACAACTATCACTTCTTCTGCCTCAATGGGATCATCAATTCTAACTGTTTCAAATTCACCGACATTATTATATTCGTTTGACTTCTGATAAAGTTCTGTGACATTTTTAATCTGAATGCTTTGTTCCTTACACTCCATATCTGAAGCTTTGATAATTATTTCATTTACAACTTCTCCAATAATCTTTGTATCTGATTCTTGTGAAGCTTCAGTTTCATGTGTATTATAAGTCTCTATTTTGAAAGAAGACTCCATTTCATTGAGATCATCAAACCTTTTTTTAATGGGAGAAATGAATTTCTCTTGATTTTGAATTTTATTTAAAGGCTCAATTTTCTTGTCGGCACATTCTGGGTTCTCCTTTTTTATTTTAATATCTTTGGGACTTAGTGATAGAATTTCCTCAACTGTATGCATAACTTTATTTTTTGGTCCTGTGTTATTCTTAGGCTTGAAGTAATCGACATTTTGGTCATACTTCTGTTGTCTATTTTCTATGAATTTGGCAATCTTCTCAAGGTTTCTCACTTTATCCTCTTGACTTTTTTCAGGGCTTGATTTTTTTACAACTTTCTTGTCAGGTGTTTTAGCCAACAAGTCCATTCGGGCACTTTGCTTCGTTGTAACTTTTTTGTATAGTACAGGAATCATTTCAATAGGCTCTTGAACAATAGAATTAAAACTCTCGACAGATACTGCATCCTGTACTGGAATTTGTTTTCTCCTATTGGACTTCAACTTTACATGATTATTCCACCAGTTAATTTCAGAGTTCGAGTCTCTTATGACATTTCTATTCCAGCTATAAATGTTATTAACAGTTCTGATTTTGTTGTTCTTGTCTACGATTGCATTGTGCATCTTAGCAATCGGTACACATTTACCAGTACCATCTGGAAATTGTTTCTCACAGTTGTCATTGCATTCCTTGAGAATGGTGACACAGTTTTCAAGGGGGATTATTTCTTCTTCATTAAACGTATCAATTATCTCTCTGTGGTTCAACTTACTTTTGGACAAGCTGACTTCTCTTTCTTCGAATTTATTTCGACCCACTTCTTTGTTTAGATTTGGCATTTTAGCATCGGTAAGGGGATTTTGCGATACCCAACTCTTTAACTTGGTAGTGGTCAAACTCTGTTTTTTCTTCAAAGAAGCCATTATAACATCAACTTCTGATTGCAATGGGCTTTCCTTCACTGGGATTGAATCTTTTTTATGTTTTGCAACTTGAAATGGCCTGTTGCTTGTACTATTCAGCAATTGTGTATTAAACTGGTTCACCGGTATTATTTCTATATCTTTGGGAAGTAAATCTTGGATTGAGAGTTTACTTTCTAAGTTGTTCGAGAGATCGGTTAAACTATCGTCTTCGGCTTTTTGATTCCTTTTTGAATGATCAATGTTATTTAACATTTTAATTAAGTTGGTGCATTTGTTCTCACCAATTGGGGTTACTTCATTGTCATTTAAGGAATTCGTGAAAAGAACATCATTGTGTAAATCGCATACCTGCTGTAGCAATGAGCAACAAAATACAAATCCATCACTCTGAGAAAGATCAAATGTCATGCTTCCTTTTTTTCCATATATTATTTGTTTTGGATCTGTTAAATTTTGACTTGACGCAGAAGCTTTATTCATATATTCCAGTTTAGCTGTGACCGAATTGTTTTCTTTATTAGTGTTCAAAAAATTTAATTTCAAAACATTGTCAGGGACTATACTATGTTGATCTTTGCACGTGAATAGTGGAAAATGTTGTTTTTGATTTTCAAGAAAACGTTGCTTTAAAGAATCACTCTTATTTTTTATATCTTGAGAATCTATGTTTTTAGTCTTATCATTGCAATTTTCTTCTTCAGATGAGGCAAGGAAACCTTCCTGTTTTGTCGAATTGTCAGAACCCTTTTGAATCTGGAACGGCAATGCTGTATCTATTGATCTTTTGTTTGTAACTTTAGTCAAACAAACATCTTGAAAGTCTTTGACTGCTTTTGCACATGGTAAATTACCAAAATGAGCATCAACATCTAATAAAATATTTTGGTCCATTGCCTTAGACTCTTTTACATTATTTCTTTCACTACTTCTCATTTCTGATTCATTTCGTTTATTACCAATAATTAAATCTTTGGTTTTAGATAATCCGTGTAGGTTTTTATTAATTTCTCTTGATAATTCTTCAATTTTAATTATCGAGACTTTCATAGTTTCTTTGTCAAATTTTAAGTTTCTTTCAAGAGAAGTGTCTTTTTTACTACTCCTTTTGTACATATGATCTGATTGTACGATTACTTTGCCATCAGAAGATCCACTCAAATTTTTTATATCAATCCTGAGATTATTTGTTTTGTTAAATAATGCATCGTTTATTTTAGCAGGCTCAATTTTGGTCTTGTACATTCTTTCATCTTGTGCTCCAATATCAACTGTGGCTTCTGTAGAATTTTCAATATTGAACTGCCCTCCTATAAATGTGTTTTCTTCTTTTCCATCAACCATTTCTTCTTCTTGCACATCAATCTCATTAATAATTCCAGAGTAAGTCCCTTTTTGCATTTTGTTTGCACACACTTCTTCCGTCTGGGTTTCTGTTTTGTTGACATGTCCATCTACTGAATATTCTTTTTCAGCAAATTCATTTCTGACTTTTTCGTAGTTTTTACACAAATGTACTGTCAGAGCACTGATCTTATTGACAATGGCTTCTAATGAATTATCTTTGAATGGATGATCAATAAACGCTTCTTTCTCTTTATCAAAACCTGTTTCTGCTTTAGGCAACTCTGCTTGAACTTCTATCTTATTAATTACAGTAGATTCTATTGAATTTTTATTATGAAATAGATCTTTCTGTTCATCGCTTCTTTTGTTTTTCTTTATTTCTTCTGTTTCAACTTCAGTTTCATTGATAAAAAGAGCTTCTGTTGGATTTTCTTTATGTAATAAATGATCTTGCACTTTATCAGTTGTTTTGGTTTTACTTATTTCTTCTGCTTCAAGCTTAGTTTCTTTCACAAAAGGAGCTTCAGTTGAATTTTCATTTTTAGAAATTTTAACTTCCATGTTATCTATTTCCATTTTATGTTTATGTAATTTTTCATCTTCAATTTCTGTAGAATGTTTCTTCTTAGAAACTTCAAATTCTATTGTACCAATATCTATTTTATCGTTACATAATTGTTGCACCTTAACTTCGGTATCAACATCAAAAGAAAATTTTATTGAATTTTCCTTCTCAGAAACTGCAGTTTCCATGTTGTTGATTTCAGTTTTATTTTCACACAATTCTTCTCCTTGTTCTTCAATTTTATTAACAAAAGGAGCTTCTGTTGAATTTTTCATTTTAGACACTTCAACTTCTTTGTTGTCCAGTTCTATTTTATTTTTACACAATTCTCCTGCTTCAACTGCAATTTCTGTTGATGTTTCCTTCTCAGAAACAACTTCCATGCTAACGATGTCTGCGTTATTTATACAGAATTCTTCTGCTTCAACTTTTGCTGAATTCTCTTTCTCAAAAACTTCCATTTTGTCAACTTCTCTTTTATTTTCATGAAATTTTTCACCTTCAACATCATCAAAAGAAGTTTCTGTTGAATTTTCCTTTTTAGACACTTCAACTTCTATGTAATTGAGTTCTTTTTTATTTTTATATAATTCTTCTGCTTCAACTACAATTTCAGTTGAAGTTTCCTTCTGGGAAATATTAACTTTCGCACTATCGATATCTGTTTTATTTTTACATAATTCTTCTGCTTCAATTTTTGCCGAATTCTCTTTCTCAGAAACTTCAACTTCCATTTTATTTTCATGCAATTCTTTATCTTCAACTTCATCAAAAGAAGTTTCTGTAGTATTTTCCTCTTTAGATACTTCAACATCTATGCTATTGAGTTCTATTTTATTTTTATATAATTCTTCGGCTTTAACTGCAGATTCTGTTGAAGTTTCCTTCTCAGAAACAACAACTTCCCTGCTAATGATATCCATTTTATTTTTACATAATTCTTCTGTTTCAACTTTTGCCGAATTCTCTTTTTCAGAATCTTCAACTTCCATTTTATTTTCATTCAATTGTTCACCTTCAACGTCATCAAAAGAAGTTTTTGTTGAATTTTCTTTTTTAGACACTTCATCTTCTATGCTATTGAGTTCTATTTTATTTTTATATAATTTTTCTGCTTCAACTACAATTTCTGTTGGAGATTCCTTCTCAGAAGCATCAACTTCCGTGCTATCGATATCCATTTTACTTTTACATAATTCTTCCGCTTCAACTTTTGCTGAATTATCTTTTTCAGAAACTTCAACATCCATTTTATTGCCATGCAATTCTTCACCTTCAACTTCATCAAAAGCAGTTTCTGTTGAATTTTCCTTTTCAGTTATTAAAGCTTCCTCTTTACTTTTGCATACATTTTCTCCTTCAATTTCAATTTCATTGACGTAAAAGGCTTCTGTTAAATTCACTTTCTCAAAAAATACATCTTTTACCTTATCCACTTCTGTTGTGTCTATTTCTGGATGAAATCGATCGACGATTGAAGTTTCTGTGAAACTTTTGCATAAAATCTCTTCTGCTGAATTATCTTTGTGTTCTTCTGCTTCAACTTCTATCTCAATAATGCCTGAATCTTTTATTATATTTTCTTTCATAAGAGATTCTTCTGCACTGGAAATTTCTGTTTGGCGTTGATTCAATTGTTTCACTTCATTTTCAGTATTTTCATAGCTTGAACTTACTGAATGTTCATTTTCACACAAATTATATACAAGTTTCTTCATACTTAAATTTTCTTCTTGAATTGCAGCTTTGTTAAGATTGTCTTGCATAGAACTTCCTTTACATTCTTTGCTTTCTTGAATTTCAACCTCTTTGACAGCTGAGGATTTAGTAAAAGTATCTTCTTGATTAAATAATACTTCTTGTATTTTCTGTTTACAAAATTCAGCTTGTATTGCAATTTCGTTATTTAAAGAAGGTTCAATAACCAGATCACCATTTTCATATTCTGTATTCGTGTTGCATAAATCAACTGATGGGACTTCAATATCATTAATAACAGGGTTTTCTGTTGAATCTCTTTCCTCACCGGTAGAATCAGATTGCATTTTGTCAATGTTGTAATGATAAGGAAGTTCTTCAATGCTTATATCTTGTTCTACTTCGTACATTTCTTCAATTAAAATTTCTTTGACGTCAGCTTTGGAATGCACTGTCTCCATTTCACTGTTCTTTTCTTCATTCAAATTTGAAGATTTGGATGATGGTAGTACAAATTCTTGTGTAAAATCGTTGATTTCACTTCTGACATTTTCATCCAACATGTATGAAATTTGAGGCTGTTTTATTAAAATTTCATCAACTACTTTAGCCAATTCGTCAATATTTACTACCTTGTTGTCACCGGGTGTAGGCTGGTTAAATAATTCGTTCTGATTTTGGGCAGTAATTTCTTTTTGGCTCTGTATTTCTTTAACCCTCTCTTTTTTGTTAATGAATGAATTCTTTGACTCTATACTATGGTCTTGCAAAATTTTCTTGCAGTCATAATGCTTTAATTGCGCCTTAGTGGGAACATATACAATGTCATCAATTTTCATTTTGTATTCACTCGGCGCATTTCTCGATTTTTTACTTTCCTTTCTACGTGGAATATCATCTTCGTTCCTCGTTAAAATAGGCATGGACTCTTTGTTAGAAATAACTTCAATATTCTGCGGAGATAGAACAGGAATTTCATCATCAGAGTCGGTAAGGCTAGGCATACTCAATCCGGGTTGTTTTTCATCTTGTATTTTTGTTAGCGTTGGTTTTTCAACAAACAATTCATTGTACATTTTGTCATTAATAGAAGAATTTTCAATGATGTTTTCTTTTTGTGGAATGATGCTGACCTCTATTTCTTCTTCAATCAATTCGTCGGCCAGTTTCTTCCCCTGCAGTTCATAGAAATCTTTCATAGTGATATCTTTTTGGCTCGAAGCCTTTTCTTGTGACGCTTCCTCGGGTTCGTTTTCCAGGGCATCGCTCTTGGAAATGTCATCCTGCACGATATCACTAGTGTTGAGCACTGTCTCCTGAGGCTCGACAAAGATCCAAGGTAACGAGTCGGAATCTATGACTTCCTTCTTCGGGCTACTGCAAGCTGATCGTTCCGATCGCTTTTGCGTAGCATCTCTTGCGTCTGTTTTGTCCTTCTCATCGAAGGAAAAGTTGGACCTGCCGTTTAAGAACTGCGGGATCTTACTGTACACCGAATGCTCGAGGATCGAGTCAAGAGTTGAACCGACAAGGGCATCGTAGCCCTGTTCGGTTCCGATCCCTGAAGCGATGGCGCTGTTCGCTGCATTATAACTTTCCACACTATCCGAGTCATCATCGGATCCGGGAAGGGACTCCGCATTAGACTTCTGAGGATCCATTGACTGAGTAAATGCTGAGTGAGCAACACCCAAAAAAAACTCTGATTAGCATCTCCTTTGAAAGTTTTCGTCCTTCTGATGTATAAGCATCAAAAACACAATCAGTAACGCTTAAGCTATTACCTTTCACCGACAAATGAGCGATGCAAGTCGAAAGTAAAACTTCGTCTTTTGCTGATCCATATAGCGAACGGAAAACGCGAACGGCACAAAACGCGACTCAAAAATGACAACTCTTCAAAAAGAGTAACGCCTTTTTCTAACAAATTTAACTCAACTGAATGTCCAGATCCATGCAAATCGTTTCAAATTTACCTTTTCCTTGTGCATAAAATAGGTCTAACCGCGACGGACCCAAACTCGACAGACACTCACTCTTGGTATTCTTTACAATTTACGGGGGAAAAGTTTCTTGTATGAAATCGTGACTTTTGACGACCGTGAAACTATTAAAATAAAAATAAATAAACTAACTGAATGGCAATTTTACAAACGGTCGCTGTCAACCAAGTAACCAACTTTTGCTTAACTTAACAAGCCACTGGCGGAATGCTACGTTTTATAACAGTTGTCAGGTTATGTTCGTACTTTTTCAACCCAAGACTGGAAAATAATTATCTATTTTCACTGGCTGCAATAAATAATAAAAATGTTCAGATCCGGTTTAACGAGTGAGTTTTAATTTAATTTATTCATATTTTATGATATAACATGGTTTTTTCATAACGCAGCAGACTATCTTCAAATGTTTCGAAAAATTTAAAATTTCCCACACGTTTCCAAACGACAAGACGTTTATTCTGCCACGTAGGTTTTTATTTAACTGCAAATAAAAAGCTTCTAAAAATGACTACAGAATGGTTACGTCAACATTACACAAGATTATTTTCTTTTGATGTTCAGAATCGACAGAATGAACTATTTTTAAAGTATTTATGTTCAGTGATCTAATTAACCATATTAATTATTTCAATTAATTATTCTTTTTTATGTAAGATCTTGGGTGAAAACTTTTAAAGGTTGTAGGATGAGATGGGGAGTTGGTGTCAGATTGTTTGAAGTCATGATAGCTCAAGTGGTTAGAGTTGCGGTGTATTGAGCTGAAAGTCCTGGGTTCGAATCCCTCTCGTGACTAACTTTTTCATCGCTACCAAGACCTTACATAAAAAGAATTATATTTAAAGTGTTGCACATTTTTCAAGTATAATTCGACCTTTTCTAGAACAATTGTATTTTTCCCAAACAAAATTCTAGCATTTCCCAAGAACTGAAACAATTGTCCAAAGTATATGTTTTCATATCATTCTTCTACATTTCCTCATACCTGAATAAAAAAGGTATTGCAAATCTCGGTTTTTGGCCACCCATCAAAGGCAATCTTCAGGACAGTCGTTTCTTTACCCTTGAAGACATTAGTCTAGCGTCTTGACCAATGCCACAGGCCTTGTATCGTTTTCTCAATCTTGACTCGAAACTATCCAAGAAGCCCATTCTTAAGCAAGAGTATCATGATTTCGTGCGAGAGTACATATTGCTTGGGATTATCCCCCATCATTACATTGCATCATGCAGTAATAAAGATTTGCAACATATGTACAGGTTCTGGGTCTGTCAATGAGTATGCTGGATGAGGGAGATGTGTCACCATCACACGCACATGTGTATTCATTGAGGTTGTTGTAAAGATTCTCGTGGATCAACCGAAAAAGTATAATTTGGTTTGAAAAAAGTGTAGTTTTAAAACACAATTCAAACGCAAAGAAGTTATTCTGCCACAAAGGTTTTTTATCTTTACCAAATGACTACAAGCAGGATATGTCAACATTATTATTAACCCATTTTACATTTTAGTGGTCAATTGACCAAGTTGCTTCTTTCAATTAATTATTCTTTTTATGTAAGGTCTTGGTTGAGATAAAAAGTCAGTGTCACGAGCAGGATTCCAATCCGGCTAAATACGCTGCTGCTCTACTTACATAGCTCAAATGGTAGAGCAGCAGTGTATTTAGCCGAAGGTCGTGGGTTCAAATCCCGCTTGTGACACTGACTTTTTTATCTCAATCAAAACCTTAATTAATTAAAATTATTGTTAACATTATTCACTACCTAGGTTCCATCCAAAGAAATGAAACAGTTCAAAATAAGTTTCTTAAATATCTTGCATTAAATCCAGTATTCCTTTAGAAAACCAATCATACTTTGAATTAAGTTTAGAAACATTTGAAAATAGAAGAACTATCTGTGATGTAAATTTTATATTTAATCTATTACATAACTGTGTAAAGTGCCCTAAATTATTGGAAGAGATAAAATTAATGTCCCAAGTAAAAAACTAGGTATGTTAATTCCTTCTCTATTCCTACCTGCAAAAATAACTACACCTTCTTTGCACCAACAAGTAGAGCATGTAGAAGACTTAACAAATTAGGTATGTTTAGTAATAGCTGATTTATGTTCAATGAAAAAAATAATAAAGAATAAATAATAAAAATAAAAACTACGCTCAACTATTAATTTACTATGCATTAAAATAAATAATGTAATAAAATAATTGTAATGTAATAGTATATTATGCATTAAAATAATTATGTATATTGTCTGTGAAAATGTTTAAGGCCATTGATAAAGTTAAATAAATAAATTTAAAAAAAAGTATATGTTATATTCTTTTGATGTTCGGAATCTACAGAATGAACTAATTTTTAAAGTATAATTTGACCATTTCTAGGTTAAATTGAATTTTTTTCCCCAAGCCAAATTGTAATATTTCCAAACCAAAATCAAACTTTCAAATAATTTGCATTTCTCAAAACTAAATTCTAGCATTTCTCAAGTACTGAACTAATATACAGTATATATGTGTGGTGTTTAGCGACCGTTAGTCAATGATTATTCGAAGATCGTGAGATGCAGTCTGGTGTGATGTAGGTTTAAGAAAAACATTTTCTGCCAACATTTCGATCTTTATAATAGATTCGATAATATCATCTATAGGGCTCAAAATGTTTGTTTTCCGTGTAGATGTCATTCTTATCTGTGGTGTTGAGATACCGGCACCTTCTTTGCACCAATAAATAGAGCATATAGAAAATAAATAAATTATAGATAGATATGGTAATACCCGATTTATGTTCAATAAAAACAATAAAAAATATTCTGTGCTCAACTATTAATTTACTATGCATTAAAATAAATTATGTGATAAAATAATTTTAATGAAATTATGTATGTATTATGCACTAAAATAATTATGTTTATTGTCTGCAAAAATGTTTAAGGCCATTAATAAAATTAAATAAATGAAAAAAATATATGTTATATTCTTTTGATTCAGAACGAACTACTTTTCAACAATAATTCGATTATTTCTAAATCAAATTGAATTTTTTTCCAATCCAAATTGTAATATTTCCAAACCTAAATTAATCTTTCAAAATAAATTGCATTCTCAAAATATAAAGTCCAAAGTATAGGTTTTCATATCGTTCTTCTGCGTCCTCATATCTGAATAAGAAAGAAATTGCAAATCACAGTTTTCGACCATCCATCGCTGGCAATCTTCAGAACAGTATGTCTTTTCTTTACCATTGAAGACATTAGTCAAAACATTAACCATCCAAAAATTTTAAAGCAGAATTCAAATATAAAGAAGTTTTTCTGCCATGTAGGTTTTTATTTCAACCACGTGCAAATAAAAAGTTTCCCCAAATTACTACAAGTAGGATATGCTAACATCATCGGATGTTATTTTCTTCTGATGTTCACGATCTTCAGAATGAACTATTTTTAAAACGTATCCCCTTTTTCAAATGTAATTTGACCATTTCTAGATCAAATTAAATTTTTTCTGAACAAAACTGTAATATTTCCAAACCAAAATCAATCTCTTTCAAAATAAGTTGCATTTTCTCAAAAAAAAAAAAAAAAAAAATCTACCTTTCCCAAGTACTAAAATAATTAGACAGAATGTAAATGCCCACAAATAAAACACTTCACAAATGACCACAGAAAGGATACATTAACATTGTCCAATATAATGAAATTTTAAAAAGTTATTGTTCTTTTCCAAACATAAGTCAACCTTTTCTGGAACAAAAGAATTTCCAAACCAAATTATGCTTCTTTCTTTGGATGGTTTTAGCTTCATGCAACTCTGCTTGAATTAATTACAGCAGGTTGTACTGAATTTTCATTATGAAATTAATCTTCTTTCTATTCATTGCTTGTTTTGTTTTCACTTATTTCATATACTCTGACTTCATATCACATATTCTCATATATGTCATAAGTATACTTTATACTGAGTTGGGCCTGTCAGACATGATTCGGAATTTCGTTATCTTTGGGGATGTCTGTGTCACAGATGGCAAAATGTCAGAACACATCTGTCAAATCACAGATAGGTAGATCAAAATGATCAGTTACAACCAAATTACAATGTTATACTGTACTGTTACACTATAATCTTATTATTTTTATACATTATTATTTTATTTTTATCAACAAAGTGAACTGTTTTAAAATTGCAAATATACGTTATTTTCAAGTTTATATTCTAAGTCTAATTTCTAAACTAAAATCAACCTTATCCAGATTGAATTGAATTTTTTTTCAAACCAAATTACAGTACTCCAAAATTGAAGAGTATTTTTTTCAAACCAATTTAAAAACAAGTCTTCACATCAAAATAATGAAGTACATGACCTTAAATTGGAATATATTTATTTTTCAGAAATATGCTGTCTTGTAAGGAATTCTCAGTCGGCTTGCGCTGCCCTGGTCACTTCAACGAAACTTTCACCTGTAATTTCTTCGGCATTTTGGCACAACAATCCGACTATGGCCGTTTGTAGGAATTTTCATGGGACTTTTGCTATAAGCAGCCTTGTGCAACAGACGATGAAACATGGGTATGAATAAAAAATAAAAAGATAAATATAATTTATTTATATATAAATATAAATTAAATTGAAAGTAAATCTATCTTGCGATTAGTTTTTGGCATGTTAAATAATTTCCATTTTAGGTTTTTACTTCCTAAGCAGCCATTAGATGTACAAGTCGGTAGAAGAAACGTGATAAAATACTCTTTGAAGACTGGTAAACGGAAATCTGTAAAAGCCGTACTAAAAAGATTCTACAGGCTAGATTGGTAAAAACATCTGCAAATAAATGACTTTATATATTTAGGACAATTAATAACAGGAATTATACTACTAGGGGCATTTGGATAAGAACTAGATGTGGCCGTGCAAAAAAGCTGTATAAGAAATCGGGAAACAGGATAAGAAGACTGAGACAACATGTTTTTACAAATGCAACACAAAGTTATTTGTTGGACAAAATGGTGACTCGGTATTGGCGAAAACCAAGGTTCTATCCAGAAGACCCGTACAATCCCTACCACAAGAGGGAGGAGTTCCCTTTGACAAGAAAATCGCCTCTCCCTCCTGATACATAGAACCTTACATTTTGTAACATAGCTGTTCTTATTTGTTTTTGTAAATAAACATTTTGAACATTTATTTAATGTGGTTATAAACAATATTTCTTGTGTTTAGTCATCCTGGCCTGCCTATCTGTACTAATAAGGTCTGTTTTACAGCATTTCACCTCTTCACTGTCAAAAGACAACTTACAATATTTTTCTATTGTATCCATCTTTTTTTTTTCCAATTATTATTTCAACTACAAGGTTATTTGTACTCTTGGCACCCCGATAGTTTTGAAAGAAAAAGCCCATGTGTAAGTATGTTGGGTTCGAATGCAGAGCCGCTGGATTCGACCCCAGGACCTTTACCTTACAGTGATGAATGCTATGTCAACGCCTAAACATTGTGGCCACCAATGCCCATTGGTTTAATTTACTTTTATTTACTTATTTATGTTTTTAATTTTTATTAATGGAGGCTACCAACAATGGAATCGTTTGAGCACAAACGCACAACCACATTCATACAAACTATAGTCACATAACAAAAATAAATAATTAATACATACAATATTTACATATTAAATGTGGGGAAATAACCCTGTTTTCCTTAAAAATCAGAACAAGGGACTCGACAACCTACTCTCATACTCAAGGGCTGTTTTTATATCTATGCCTTCTTGCTTACATTCACGCTAATAAATAAATTCAATCTCAACACACGTTAGGGATACAAAACTATCATTACTATACAGGGTGTTCGGCTACTCATGTTAAACACTTTGCCAGTAGATTCTACATTCAAAATGCAACCAAAAATCCCTAATTAACTATGGTCCGAATCTCAACAGTTTTGAAGTTATTCCTCTTTTTATGATTTTGTAAGATTTCACGACCTTGCTTCAAATAAACAATGATAACAACAAAAACTAAAAAGTTTTGGACAAATCTGTTGATATCATTGAAAACTATGGAAAAATGAAAACTTTGAGAAATATATTTTTTTAATGTTGGAAAACTTACTATCATGATACTAAAGTACTATTTCCAAACCTAGAGAACAGCAAATTTCAGAAAACGTACTCTATTTAAAATATCCTTGTTAGTGTTGTAATTGCTTTTTTCAAAGATGTAGAAATTGATGAAGGAAAGGAAAAACCCTGGTTGATGTATTGGTAAGGTGGAAAGATTAATTACTATAAAAAAATAAAAAAACTTAAGCAAATTTTGAATGAATGAACTAAAAAATGTTTTAAATCTTAAAACTATTTTATTCCGGTGAATAATAATATAATAATCTTTTAATCGTTTAATTGTAAGTTGCTGTTGTGTTGGTACATTAATAAACAATTGCACTATTTCGGTTTAGAACCCAAATTAACAAACATTTAATCAATTCATTCAAAATTTCCTTACATTTTTAATTTTTAATTTAATTAAATCTTTCCATCTTATCAATCTGTCAACTACGGCTTTTACCTTTCCTTCATCAATTTCTTCATCTTTGAAAAAGTAATTAAAAAAGCAATTGCGCTACAAATACATTAAAAGGATATTAACTGGAGTACATTTTCTGAAATTTGCTGGTCTCTAGGTTTGTAAATAGTAGTTTAGAATCACGATAGTAAGTTTTTCAACATTGAAAAAAAATTTTTTTTTTCAAAATTCTAGCTACTAAAACACTTATTTCACCAACATTTACAAGTTTAGTATTGATCAAATGTTATTGGAAATTTAACGTAGTTTTCAATGGTATCAACGGATTTGTCTAAAACCTTTTAGTTTTGGAGTTATCATTGCTTATTTGAAGCAAGGTAGTGAAATCTTAAAAAATTAGAAAAAGGGGAATAACTCCGAAACTGTTGAGATTCTCCAGGATCTCTCAAAGAACCATAGTTAATTAGTACTTTTTGGTTTCATTTTGCATGTAAACTGTACTGGCAAAGTTCGTAACAAGAGTAGCTGAACACCATGTATTTAATAAAACAACACTGATTCTTCTAAGAATCAGAATAGGAGACTCAGATACTTGCTGCTGGGCTCAAGCACGATCCCCATATTAGTGGCATTCCTACTTGCTGGTCAAATCGAGCATCTTATCTCTGCACGCTGGACACATGAACAGGCTTTGGCCCAAAAGTGCCCAAAAAAGCCTGTGTTATTTAATCCCTGAAGATTTGAACTTTATACTTTGTTTGCTTTATTTGAAATGTAAATATACTAGTTTGTTCACATAAGCGTAGATCGTAATGTTGAATGACATAATGAGTTTAACACAAATAAAACTATGATTGTTACATTATATCCGCATTTCCATACAGTAAATGTCCGTTTAATTATAGATAAAAAGTTAGCTAGTGTAATTAATAGTGCGAATAGAATGAATGATTAAATGTTACTAAAGATCTGGCAGGAAAATAAGTATTTGTCTTGGTAAAATTTGTTGGAAACTTGTTACCTTTTTGTTTTATAGGTGCAACTTACTGTTTAGTGCATAACTAGAAGATATAAGTAGAATTAGTGCATAAAACTGAGACAAATGTGAAAAACTATCCCGGCTTTTATTAATTTAGTCACATTGAATATTTTGAGTGCCATGGTTTGCACATGGTACCCATGCTGTTTGACGGGATGCCATTAGTTAAAACGTCTGTCAGTTCCAACTTCATCTTTGTTAAAATACATTTGATTTGTAATTAACAAAGGCAGAAACGTATGTATTTTGAGTCTTGGAAGTTGTTCGACCCATTTCTCTGTAGTTGTTTTAAGTATTAATATAGACCGTTAGTAAATGATTATTCAGAGATCGTGAGATGCAGTCTGGTGTAATGTAGGTTTAAGAAAAACTTTTCTTTATCGTGGCAACATTTCGATCTTTATTAAAATCATCTATAGGGCTCAAAGTGTTTGTTTTCCGTGTAGATGTGTCATTCTTATCTGTGGTGTATCTGGCACCTTCTTTGCACCAATAAATAGAGCATATAGAAGATAAATAAATTATAGATAGATATGGTAATAGCTGATTTATGTTCAATAAAAAAAAATCTGCGCTCAACTATTAATTTATTAAGCATTAAAATAAATTATGTAATAAAATAATTTTAATGAAATTATGTATGTATTATGCACTAAAATAATTATGTTTATTGTCTGCAAAAATGTTTAAGGCCATTAATAAAGTTAAATAAATGAAAAAAAAAGTTATATTCTTTTGATTCAGAATGAACTACTTTTTGTCTTGGTAAAATTTGTTGAAAACTTGTTACCTTTTCGTTTTATAGGTGCAACTTACTGTTTAGTTGCTTGCATAAAACTGAGACAAATGTGAAAAACTATCCCGGCATTTATTAATTTAGTCACATTGAATATTAAACTTTTCCTTTCCTAATAATTGTTTTAATGGGATCTGTTTGAGTGCCATGGTTTGCACATGGTACCCACGCTGTTTGACGGGATGCCATTAGTTAAAACGTCTGTCAGTTCCAACTTTATCTTTGTTAAAATACATTTGCTTTGTAATTAATAAAGGCAGAAACGTATGTATCTTGGAAGTTGTTCGACCCGTTTCTCTGTAATTGTTATAAGTATTAATATTTTCATCTGATTAAGCAGGATGTCAAACAGACAACGATAAAAATTCAATAATTAAAAAAAAAAAAAAAAAACTCCCTTTGGGCTAAACATAAATGAAGGGTTGAGTTGTGAAAATTCTTTAATTGTTTGTGGGCGTTAAATAAAAGTCAACGACCCTAACCGGTAATGAATCCCCACGAGGGCAATCCAAGTTTTAAGAAGGAACGAATGACTTTGAAAGTTAACAAACTCTGGAAGGATTAATACTCCCGTTGAATAACATTTATAAATGAAATTATAAAGAAGAAAAAAACCCTAAGACAATACGCTCTCTTCCGCCATTTTAAATAAACAATTATCCCTTTGCGCGTATTTCGAAAACTTTCATTTTTCTGCCCTACGGGTTATGCAAAAAATTTTCTCTTCTAAGAAATCGGAATGAGGGAGTAAGAAGTTGTTTGTAAAACTCTGAACGATTGTATTTGCTTCGAGAAAGTTGTTGCCACCGGAAATTACAGCCCTCCTACAAGTATCAACCGCTTCCTAGTTAAAGCTCCGAACCCTCCTGACACAGATTCTCAATTTTCTTTTCTCCCTTTGGTATTTAGCTTTAAAGCAATCTTACACTGTTATTCTTAAATATGTAAGAAATATTTAAAAAATTTAAATAGTTAATTAAGCAAATAAATTACTAACGCTGAAGTCTAAAAACTTATTTGGTTTATGCTTCGATAGTGTCTTCAATTATGTACCTCATTGTGCAGTACAGTTTTAAAATAATATAACATAAATAATACAAAGCGGAATGTTCTTCATTAATCAGCCTGAATCTAATCTGTGGGACCACGCCTATTGTACAAGTTGAACTCATTTATCAGATGGACTGTTGAGGGTGTCCCCTGTCATAGTAAAACCACATGAACCGGACATTCAGAATGCTACACTACCGGTTTATTACATCGTTCTTCATTCCGTTGGATTATAATTTCGAGAAAAATTAATCACCAACACCATATCAGGTGCTTCAATTTAATGGGGTATGGTAAAAATGGCGTACGGCCTTAACGTGCGACTGTAGAGATAAATACTTCGAACGGTTAGGACAAAAAATAAAAGACGCTTATGATTTATATACGCTTAATTCTGCCCATAATGCACTTGGGTATATCGAGCCTATGGATTCTCGCAGCCTGTTCTTACTTCGATGTTTTGGTAGTCAGAGGTCAGGCCTCGGTATTGTCCGTATTTCCGTAGAAGTTAAGCTATCGATAACAAGGTCAATTCAGCCCCAAAACACATGCAGTTTTAACTTAAACATATTCAGTCTTAATTACATTCTGTCTTATTTATTTTCCTTTCACTCAAGGGTGATGGAGTACTGGATGCTCCATCATCATTTACGCGTATAAACTATACAAACACTACCTGGTGAAATTGAGGGTCGATGGGGTATTGAATATTACACCATAGACCTTCTTGTACGAAGCACATTCACGCTTATAAATACATTCTCACAACAGT